ATCGTTGTTTAATGTTTACAAGATTATTGGAGCTTTTGTGTTGATCACCGTGGTCAAGACAATTTTTATATTGAGCACAAGTAAAGTAAAACTTGATCTACGATATCATCGAGCGTTTATGTTGGAGGGCAATTTAGCTAGCTTTTCATTTTCACATTCTGTGGCTTTTGCTTCGGTCGTCTATGCTGTGTATGTAAGTAACCATCTGGTGTTTTTAATGTACGCGATAGTGTTTTCAAGCTTGCTTGGTCATTTAAAGCCAATGAGTAATCTTTACCTACTGCATTATGGCCCCCAACGGTGCATAATAATTACTTTATTTTTTATTCAATTATATGTAGGAAATGATAGTAAAGCGTTGTGGAATAATAGAAAAGCCTTAGGGAAGGGTAACAAAACGCTAAGGAATTATGGTAAGCGATTACAATCAGGGCCGGGCTGGGACGCTTCATCGAGATCTATTTTCGACAACTCAAGACAATTAAAAGAAATAAAAAATCATCATTAAAAAGAAAAAATATTGTGAAGTAAAAATTTAAATAACTTTTTATTTATTATCACAGTGGATAGTGATTATGTCTTCTTGAGTTAACGATTATCTTGTTTTGTGGAAACGGTTTTGCATGAGCGCAAAATTTTAAGCTTTATTAACCATTTTCAGACGTTTAAAAAACTAAACAAAGAAGGAAGAAAGATACGAAGCCAAGGCTCATCGTTAACAGAAGCCTTCGTAGTGACAGAGATATTAAATGTAGTGAAATTGATAAAGTATATCCTTCTACCATTTGTACTGATCGCAGCTTCTTCCGGGAGTGTGTTTTTTGCTAATTTTATATGGTTGATTACTGGTCGTATAAAAGAAAACGATAATTCTTATAATGCTCTCATCACGGTAAGGCATATAAACGTTAAAACAACGTATAATCTTTTTTTTATTGTACGTCAGGCAAATTAAAAAACATTACATTGGTACGCCTGTATAACAAATCTTTCGAAAATTGTTTATACAAAATGTTCGTTTTAGAGGAGTTCGTTATACAGTATACGTATACAGGAGTATCACTGTATATGTGTTTCTTCTTTTATTTTTTTGTTTTATATGAAAGTACAAGGAACCAATAAACAACATTTACAGATAGAGTACATATTCGCATCAACCTACAATGTCTATGTTAGCGTTGTTATTCTATGGTGCTTAAAACCGGTTCAAAGAAGTTTCTTGCGTGATTTAACATGTGGATTAAATAAACGAACATACCAAGTTTACCCAGAACCCACAGAAACTAAACAAACGACGAACCTGTACTTTGAAAACTTAAAAAAACAATGGCAATAAAAAAAGATTTATAATATTTGTTAAATACATTATCACTAACTAATAGGTGTGTACTGTAAGAGAACGTAGGAATTGGTTTGTGGACCCTGCGTACCAATTATAATATATTTAAAGCTTTGCAACGTAATTTATTTACCGGTAATAATTAAGTTTTACGTCTATAGTTTGGGTTGAAAATGAAAACTTATTGATAGGTTAACTATTGTTAACGTTTGTATACACAACGACCAACAAAATTATTTTTACATAATCTTGCTTTAAATTAATAATGGGTTTATTTGGACTAAAGCTGCTAAATACTATGATTAGAAAGTAAGTTATGAACTTTTTGGGTCGAAAAAACAAAAAAAATTGGGCCTCCTTTTTTGCATTGAACGAAATCAATAGATTGAAGCATCAATTCAATGGGGTCGAGTACTTAAGAAATTATCCTAGCTTGAATAAGACGGCAAGTTCAAATTCTGTCGATTTCGTTTTGGCGTTTTGACATTATGAAAAGACGTTTTGGCTAGCCAAACAATAGTTTGTTTTTCGAACATATTTTTTAACCATGAGGATACAGTGGAACTCCTATTTAACAAACTCCTCTATAACAAAACCTCCGTATAACAAACAACTTTTGAATCCCCGTCTACCACTACACAGTGCATTTAAAACTCCCGTATAACGGACGCCTTTATAGCGAACAAATTTCAAGTCCCCGAGCAATTCGTTATACAGGAGTTCCACTGTATTTGGCAAACGTTTTAGATATTTGATGCAATAGTCTGTAAATAAAATTTTATTTTAAAGTATTGTCCTAAATGTTTAAAACAGAATGTTACATTTTGACATTTATATTATGATAATTAAGTATTTGTTATGTTTATAATTTTAAAATAACGTTTATAAAAGCTGATCATAACTATTTACAAATTTGAATTAGTTTACACAAATTTACTAGTCAGCTAATACTACGAAAACAAATACGTTTGCGTGTTCAACACTTTAAATCGAATGTAACATAAAAAGTGGCAATAAACCAAACGTACTGTTGTTTTCCAGTATGCTTCCACAGTAATTCGAGTTGCGTTTACCATTTAAATAACGTTTGAGTTTACATTTGTTCTATATTACTTAATTTTTATTTTTTACTACAATTCAATTTTTTTATTTTTTCATTTTTTTAAATTTAGGCTAAGCTAAGCTAGGACTAAAATGTTTTTGATTGAACCAAACTGTCAGAAAAAAAACACGCTGGGTTTAAAATTAAAATTTTTATAAAAAATTTTTAATTTGGGCCGAGCGGGGCATAAAACTTTTTGATCGGGCCGGGCCTTAAAAGTGGATTTGACCAGTTTCTCAGCGTTAATCTCATTATCTATGTTCTTAGTCTTTCTCACTTTTGTTGTAAGACCTCATTTATTGTTTACTGTTGGGAACCATAATGAGGAAATAACTAAAATTAAATTAAACATTAAAATGTATTCATATGTTTGTCAGTATTATTTTTACTTTTAATTTTATTTTTTAATAATCATTTCCGCCGCAAAACACACAAATGCTTTTAACATGTTAATCACCTGTTCTAGAGTTAATAGAAATTGCTATGCGGTTGGGTAAAGGTTAATCTAGTCTAGTCAAGCCCCTCGTTACAACAATAATCACTGCACAGCTAACAATGGTCGTTATTTGTGGCTTTATTTCTCTACAAATTTACACTTTTGTTATGATTGTATGTTGTTATTACATATTTTTACTATAACAACTTTGGCTGCGCATATGTTTTTGAGTTGGATTGTTAAAAAATTTACTATTGTATTAGTCGGGAAAAAATGGGGTTGGTTACAGAGGAGTTTGTTACACAGTTTTGTTTTACTTTTCAAAATTACATAAATACTTTCTTAATAAAAAAACTAATAGTATAATTACAGTGTACAAGGCCGAGCGGGGACTTTTGGCCTGGGGGCGAAGGTCGAAAATTTTTTTTTCAAAAATTTATAGGGGGACCACGTTAAACTTTTTTTAAATTTTTTTTTGGGGGGAGCAGGATTCTTTTCCCATCTATCCTCAGCGCTCGGCTCTGACAGTGTATGTACGTATTTTGGTAGTCTCCTGTTTCTGTAGGTTGTGCCTTGACTTACTTTTATTGTTCTATTATATTTTAGATTCGACCTACTCCTACTGTAAAACATTTTATTATTTTTACATTTTTATATTTTCGATGAATGTAGTTTGTTAAAACTATGTGTAATAATTGGAAAGGCAGTACTTTACACTTTATTTGTCATGTGTATCAAGTTCTTTTTAATAATTAAATGGTCTTTTAGTTTTATTTTTTGAGTATGGTTATACTGTAATTATCACACAGTTTTGAATGTGTGAGTACATTAATTCGTATTTCCAGTTTGAGATATGTTTTAAAGCACGTAAGCAAATTAAAGTACTAAATTAATTGTTTTAATTGAGTAATATTCTCAAGTATGGTTTGAATAGTTTAATAAATGTATTGTTTTAAATGGATTTGTAAGTGTATATAATAGTTATGATCATACTTTAAAAAAAAGAATTGTAAATTTTAAATGTTGATTTCTTTTTTCAACGCAAGATATAAGGTTTGTGAAATAGTGAAAGGGGGGAGGGGGGGGCAAATAGTAAGGGTTTAGCGAAGACCATCAGAGCAATCTATTGTAGCAGTTCCCAATTGGCCATCTGCAGTTGTTGTAAACATATTTACAACATCCTACAAACATCAGTTTCAATTACTGTCGTTTTCTATCGTCTACCAAAATAACTGTTGGTTTCGATTACTAGTCGACCCACCAATTACGCAGAATGGATTATCCATTAATTTTCTTTCTACTGACAAAGATACGTTGTTGTCGCATATCATATAGGTATAAACGAGCCATAGCAAAATGTAGTATTAAAAGTAATACTTAGATTGGTAATTTCAACGTACTATAAGGGCTAGGGTTAGGGCTAAGGCTAGGGCTATGGCTAGGGCTAGGGCTAGGGCTAAACATATATGCTAAAACCTGTAACTACTAGGTGGTGATACATTAATTACACGCCCACTTTAAGCAACGTCTTTTTTATCTATTTTTAGAACGTACTTTAGTCATGCCATTTATTACTGTTTCTTAACGTTTAAATTGTAGAGTGCAACAACTGTAATAAGTTCTATTTTGTAGTTGGAAAAAGTGAAAAAATTTTTCTTGGACGCTTCAACTTTTGTTCGCAGGAGTTTTAGTACGTAGGAGTTTTAGATGCATTTTGTAGTGGTAGATGCGGATTTAAAAATTTGTTGTTGCCAGGGAATTTTGGTAAATATGAGTTCTTTGTACAAGATCTGAGCCGTTTTACAGGAGTTACTCTGTATTTACGAATTTAAAGCGTCGGACATTAATTGCGAATGTGAGAAAGAATATATATAATATAATGAAACAGCATGTACGCCAAGCTTAAAAAACACATAACTTTGCTTATTTTTAAGTCTATATTCACACAGTTTTTTAATCATGTAACTTACTTATATTTTTTTTGTCTGACTCATTGTTTGCTCAAAACTAGTACTGATTAGGGCCGGGCTGAAGCAATTTTGAAAGATACCAGGCTAAAAGCTGCCCCTTCCCTCCCTTTTTTTTGCTACAAAATTTAAAATTAACTTTCCAAACATTTCAGAATGGACCCTCCTCCAAATGTGTCCACGCCATTTGATTTATTTGGCTATGACACAAATCATACATCGGTTCGGATCTTGTACATGTTGGCTTATTTATCATCTACATACTTGCCTTACTACGAGTTTCTGAGTTGTGGCATATGCTTGTTGGCTAACGGTTACAGTGCTGTACGCTTTATCAATGCTGGTACTTATAGTCGGAATTTTAGGATTGTCATGGTAGGTTGGGGGTATGAAGTTGGTGTTTTAAAATTACAGTACTATTTGGTGCAAAAAATATAGCAAAGGTTGCAACACAGAACCTTTTCACAAAGTAGTACAAAGCTTTTAGTATAGTTAACCTAGTACTATTTCATTACAAAAACCTAGTCAAAACTAATGTTACAGTACCTTTCAGATAGCGACAAACCTAGTAATAAACGCCACAGCCCTATTACGACCAATATACTTTCTAGTACCAGAAGAAACGTACTATATAGCATCGAAAAACTACTTTCGTATGTTCGTCATGTACGCGTTAGAGTACATTAGTCATGTCGCTATACTAATGTTTGATGTAAAGTATATTATCATTGGATACGAGCGACGTGTAGCCTTTAAAAACCGAGCTACATACGAAAATAACCAAGGAAAAGGTACCATCATGGTGTTCTTGTTCGTACTAGGTGCTGTGAGTATTAGTGCTGCAATAAAAGCAGTGCTATTCATTGCTGTTAGAGACCTGCCTATAGATACTGCTTTGCATAAGGCATTCATGATGGATGCGGACTTTGTCACTTGGTTTGCTTCACACTTCTTGGCACTTGGAGGGTGGATATACGGGTACTACGTAAGTTTAATTTTTTTTGTAAAGAGGATTTCATCGTATAAGTCATAAATTTACTTTGTAGACCTTCTACGACCTAAACAAACAAGCTCATAAGCTAAAGTACGCTGGAAACAGCCTGAGCGAATCGTTCACGTTAAAGGAGATTGTCAGTGTGCTGAAGGTGATTCGACCGGTAATTAAAGCATACATTGTCATATTGTTGAGTGGAGTGGCTGTGGCTAGTTTTATGTGCTTCTTCATGCTGGGTGGTACTATGCACGAGGGGGACATGTACTATCGGGCTTGTATTACGGTAAGGTTTGCAAAACAAAAAAAAATCGTTTTAGCTCGAGTACAGTCTAGCCGCCTCCTACAACATATATGCCAGTTGTTATACAATTTGGTACCTAAAACCGCTTCGCAAAGCCCTACAACAAGATTTGACATGTTGTTTTCGACGGAAATGCGTTGAAATTGAGCCTAATGCGGTTGAGAAATACGATGCGGTACAGGAGACCAACATCTACTTCGAACAACTCAGTAAACGCTGGGATATTGTGCTTGTCAAAAAGAGATGACAGACTTACTTCAAAGCGATATGACATATCTATTTATATATAAGGGTGAATATATGTATATTTTCTGATTTCAAAATTTTTTTTAGTATTAGAGTCTTCAAGTATTTCCGTGCAGCCCGAAAATTTGCTTTGAGAGAGCACAGAATCATTTGAATAATCTTATACTAGAAAACGTCATTATTGTAATACCACGGGTAAAAATAATAAATTAAAACAATATGACTTTTCAAAATTGGCCAATGATATGCATTATTAGTACTGTATGCCGGATTGAAAGATAAAAAACATTTTTTATCTTTCAATCTTTTAGGTAACGACAATTTAAAAAAAAAAGCTTCAAACGGGATAAATTAATGACTAGATAAAACATTAAAACAATCTTGTTAAAAACCGATGTGTATTAGGGCTAGACATTTACTGGTAAATTGATCTTTCGGTAAAAAAGCTGGTAAATTTACCAGTAAAAACCGGTAAATATGATGTTGATATACATAGATGGTTTGAAAAAGAGAATACAAGACATTCTCTCCCCACAGGAAACGCTGAGCACAAGTAAAGACATTAGAATACCTTCCTCATTTCTTAAAACTTTAATAATTCATTTTACAATTTAAAATATTAAAGATAATGTTGTTAATATACGTTTTGAAAAAGGGAATACAAGACATTCTTTCCCCACAAGAAACGCTCGGCACTAGTAAAGACATTAGAATACATATAAAAATATCAAATAGATGTCATACTAAAGTTATATTGAATCGAAATTCCTCAAAATTTAACAATTTTTTATTACAGCACAATAACAATATAAATTTGTAAATAAAAATAAAATCAAGCTGCCTATTGGCAAACGTTGCCTAAAACAATAAAAAAACCGTAAAACGTAATCAGCACCGTTAGAGACCGTGATATGTAATAAACCGTATCAATGTGAGTAGAAAGATACAAACAATGATGCAGAGTAATAGTGGCAGTAAACTTAGTAATTTTGGGTAAAGCAATGAATATAAAATGACATATTAAATATGATATTAATATCATCACAGATTATATATAATATATTAAAAATGTAAAATTAATATTGCAAGTGTAAAAAGGTTAAACAAATGATTGTAGACATAAAGTGAAACCGCAATAAAAGTCTTGACGCTTTTCAACAAGAAAGACTGTAAATTTTACAAAAGTTCACTACGACATAAAAAATAATTTTAAAATTTTTTAAATCAGTCTATATTGTGAATTCAAATATCCACATCAAATCTTCTTTCAGCTTCCTTCCTCAACCTTCTATTCCTCCTCTTTCTGGCTGTTTTTGATAACTTTGGAGCAGTTTGATCCGCTTGATTGGCCGAGTCCTCAACTTTGTCATTCTTCTTTGCTTTCTTCTTTTTGGCCTTCTTTCCTGGCTTTGGGGCCGATAATACGCCTTGTACTAGCTTCGCTGCCAATACTCCTTGTTCTAGCGTCTTAGCCTGTATTCCATCTGCCAGCTCATTGGCTGATGACATCCCCAGTGCTAGCTTCTTAACCGACATTCCTTTTTTCAGCTTCTTGGCCCACACTCCTTTTGCCACCTTCTTTGCTGTTTCTTTGCACTGTGCTAAATTTCCCACCAAAGCCTTGACATTGCCGTTTTTTGTTTTTCTTGAATTAATTTGCATTTTATCCAATCGTTTGGCCAAATCATCAATGTCATTCTTTCCTCCATTTTTGGTCTTGAATGGAAGGTCTTGGTAGACGGCGTCGTTGGCTTGTACATACTTGATGAATCTAGAAAAATCAAAGATAATGTTTTATATTATACTAGTAAAAAACTAAAAATAAAACTACAGTAAAACTCCTGTATAACGAACCGCTCCAGAACCTTTGTTCGTTATAAGAGTTTGGATGTACAAAAACTTAAAATGCACGGTGTTGTGTTAGCCTTAAAAGTTGTTTTTTATACAGAAGAAAGCTTTAAAAGTTTTTTTTTATACGGAAGTTTCGTTATAAAAGAGTTCGTTATACAAAAGTTCCACTGTAGTAAATACATGTAAAATAACAAAAGTTTTCACTACGAAAACCATAAAGAATCCTACTTTTTCCAATTCCCATGTCTTTCCAAATTCTTCCTGTGTCCCACTACGATCAACAGACGTTGAGCTCTGGTAATGGCTGTATTCAAACGCTAGAAAAAAAATTAACATCAAAAATAATCGAATTTAAGTAAAACTTGAGTAGGACTAGAATAAACCATAGAAAACCAAAAGAAAAGAATAACTAGGGTGAGACATAGTGAGTAGTATAAGATAGAGTAGAATAAGGTAAAGTATGGTAAGGTAAATACCAAAAGCATCCACATTCAAACCCCTTACCAAATCACAAGCCAAGAACCCAAGCTTTTGAGTCCTCGCCGTAGTCATAATAATGACTTCTCTTTCCGATCCCTGGAACCTCTCCACCGAATCCACAGTTAACATATCCAAAACTTTGTCGTTGTAAATTTTCAGGATTCGTTCTTTGACCAGCTTCGTGTGATATTTGTAGGGAGATACAATTCCAATCTTGTCGAAATCAATAGCCAATGTCTTGTTCAGGAAACTGAGGAGATCACAGACGACTTTGGCTTCGTATGGGTTGCCAACGGACGCTCCATTTGGCTCGATAATGTGGTTACTCTTCTTACTGTCAATGAAAGCAATTGAGAAGCCCTGAAAAGGCAAAGGTTAGCAATACAAGAGCATTAAAAATATAGTACTAAGATAGTACCAACAAGATAATACTATAACAAGACCAAAAATAGTACAAAACAGTACCAAAATTACTAAAAGTCCCACCTTATTTAACCATTTTGAATTGTTAGCCAGCTTTTGCTTCCAAGTTTTGTCTCCAGAATTCATCAACCGACTCTTGTAGAACAGTTCTGATGCGATATGAACAATACTTCCATGACATCTAAAGCAATCACTGAGACGTACACACAGCCGTCTGAAAAAGCCTAATGTAACTAGATTTGAAAGGCGGCCAAAATGGACCGACCCAGACCAAAGCAAATTTTAAAGGGACCGGTTCCAGTAGTTCGTCTGAGCCGTCCGAGCGACTTTTTTCAGGTCCGACTAGTGGTCCGGACCCCCACTTGTAGGCCCGCAGACTGAACCTAAGTCCATAGTCCCCGGGCCTAGGTCCCGCAACGAAAGATTCAGCATGCAAAAAATGTAAAACGTATCCAATTTTAAAGCTATTTACTTCATCGAAACCACCAAAAACCTACACATCATTGCTGTAGTCACTCATCTTCAAGTATCTATTCAGTGGACAATCCAAAAACCCTGAATATTTGCTTGGAAGGTTCATAATATTGACTGGTCCAAGCTGTTTTGGGTCTCCACAAAAGATGACAGAAGTGTTCTTTGTGGCACAGATGCCGATTGGGATCCATAGCTCCGATTCCATCGCTTGACCAGCCTCATCTACTATAATATGAGTGAATTTTTCGCCAACAAGCCGAACTGCCGATGATAAGGTGGTGATTACAATGCGGTATGGCTTGAAATCACTAACAAGACAGTAACAATCTTCATCGAGGTTTCTAAAGTAACATTGGATTAAGTTTTAAAGCCACAAAAGCTTTAAATTTTATTAAAAATCAGCAAAAACCACAGAAAAGACTAAAAAATCAGCCTAAAACCAGTTTTTTTAATTTTAAAACTTCGAACCCTTACACAATGCGATCCAGCTTCTTCTCCCTTCTCTCATAGTCCGCAGACATGGCTGTTAACCTCAATAAGTTGTTATATGTCAACACATCTTCGTCAATCTCCTTCACCAACTCCAATGCCACTTTATCGGCGGCTGCATTCGAAGGTGTGCAAATCAGGATTCGATTCTGATCATCTTGTCTGATCAATTGCATTACTGATGATACAATAGTGACTGTTTTTCCGGTACCAGGTGGACCAAAAAGAATGAATGGACTCGGCTTGTTTAAACCTTGTGAAATAGTGTAGACAGCCTTGAGTTGTGCATCGTTGAGTTTCTGATTGGCCGGATATTTGGACACAAACTCTTGTAGTTTGTTTGGCAGTTCTTTGTTGAATTTTTTCATCTAAAGTATTATCAAAAATGACTTTAAACAAACAAAAATGAAAGAAAATTGAATTTTCAAGTAAAATTTCAGTTTTTTCAAAACTTTTACAACTTTTTGTCTCATGACTTAACTATAATTAAAAATCAGGAAATTTATTAAAAAGCAGTAATTCATTTTGTCAACCAAAAAAATCAAAAAAATTCACAAAACTTTTAAAATTACTGTACTTTACCGCAACATATCTTACACTGCTCATACTATTACTGCAACACAACTTACACTGATCAAATTGGGCTTTGGCATAATAATCTCATTCAGTGTGCCTTTTTGAATGTTACTAATCGCTATGGCAGTTGCCTTTGGTACGAAATCAGTAAAGGCAATGTATACATCACATTCCTTTTTCTTTGTGGGAAAATTTCTGTAAGCATCTTTGCCAACGGCAATACCTCTAATTTTGAATCCATTCTCAGTAGTGCCATACGCTTTTCCCTAAAAATAAGAAAAATTATTTTCAAATTTTAAAATTCCAAAAAATTAATAAATTCGTTTCATTAAGTTGTTCAAATAATTCTGAGCCCCTTTTTAAATCAAATTTCCGAAGTTAGTGGTGCATAATTAGTTGAACAACCTAACATAATATAAATTTTAAATTAATAAAAAACATCGAAATTGCCATTTTGTAAGCCTCAAACTTACAAAAAATAAAATTTCAAAATGCTTTAATCAACAAAATTTCAAAAACTCACAGTTATACTTAATAGATCGTCTTCATATCTCAACTCCAGATATTCCTTCGAATCCAGAATTATGCTGTTGGCGTTTCGTCGATGCGCTGGCGTCACAACCTCAGCATACCATTTGAATTTGTTTTCGTCGTTGATTGCATGATAGCGAAACTGACAAATAATTGCCCTTTCAAACACAGGATCTATTGAGCGAATAAAGTCCCGTGCGTAATATAGTGATAGAACTGCAATGTTTCGTTCAATTCGATCTTTAATTGTCTTCGGTTTGATAGACAACACTTTCTTCAGCTCCTGGAATTATTAAAGAAGTCATATAAAACATTAAAAGTAGCAATATGACCTAAAGGCACTGTTCTTAACGAGAAAATCCATCAAAGTACGGAAAACACAATAACTTTCAAGATGGCTCCTTCAATCAAGTGTAACATAGTTATATAACAATAATTTCTAAATTCCTTTTACAGTGTCATTACCAGGCTTGGACACAGGGCAGGGCATTGGCAAATTTCCACGCCATGCCCTGCAATGCCCCGCCCTGTACAGGGCATTCAACTTTCATGCCCTGCCCTACCATGCCCTTGCCCTGCAGGGCATTAGGTCATTTACAGGGTATTTACAGAGCACTTGGGTAAATTTTGGCGGACGCCTCCGCCGAGCGGTCGATAATCGGCGGACGCCATAACTTGGTTAGTTTAGCAGCTAGAAACATGTAGTTAAGTGCAGAAGTTGTTATCTGTTATAATTTACACATTAAGCCAGTAATTTATGTTTTTAAAAACAATATTGTTATCGACCGGTCGATAATTTACAAATGTTTAATTTGTACAAAAAACAAGGTTTTTTGCTTAGAATTGTATCTAATGCAATTTCTATACAATTTAGAACACCAGAGGGATAAGAATATGTATAAAATTTGCAATTAAAATATACTAAAAATTATCAACCGGTCGATATCAATACTACATTTAAGATCTTAAAATTACGTTCGTATTTGTAGCCTATGACGTATAATAATTTCTGAAAAGAACTACATGTTTCTAGCTACTAAACTAATCAAGTTATGGCGTCCGCCGATTATCGACCGCTCGGCGGAGGCGTCCGCCAAAACTTACCATGACACAAACAGGGCATTTGCAGGGTAATACAGGGCATATGAAATGCCCTGCCCTGTCCCAAGCTATACCATGCCCTGTAAAAAATTTTTAAAACATGCCCTATACCATGCCCTACCATACCCTGTAACAGGGCATGGTACAGGGCACCCTGCCCTGCGTCCAAGCCTGGTCATTACACATCATTTGGTTTATATGACATCTAAAAACTAAAAACATATATCCATTTTTCAAAACGTTATAGAGCTTAATAAACCACCACCGAAATCAAGATTTATATCGCTTGAAGGGCCAGAACAAGTCAATAACTGAAAACTACTAAAAACCTGTCTAATAATATAAAAGCTAATTTTTCTTATCTATTTTTTTGTCAAAAAAACTATATCAATAAGTGAGCTTACAGCTTTTATCAATAAATTAAGTAAGACATCAGAAGAGCAGATCAAGTATAAGTCGAAATCCCTGTAACTTTTAAATATCAAAAGATATCCAAGAAAGAGCTTGACACATTTAAAACTAAAGGTATTTTCTATGTGTTAGCATAAAACTATTTACATCCGCCAAAACCTACTAATTTTACAAGCGCAATCACATCTGGTGGACCTAAACACCAAAAACAGTTAAAAAAACAAAACTTACCGGACTTTTCTTAATTGATGCCTCCGTAATTTCTGGCTCATTCAACAAGAACTTGTACTTCCAAGGTATGTCAAACTTCTCTCTAAAAATCAAGAATAATAAAAAGCTATCAACTTACATTGCTTTTTTATCCATTTCTCCACCCGTAACCTGCAAAAAATCAAAAGAAAAATTAAAGTAAAATGTAGAAAATAAAATTCTGCATAAAATAACTCCAATTTTGTACAATATTCTACACAGTAGAGAAGATAAGAAGATCAAAAGTAGACATGGCAATCGGGCCGGGCTGAACCTTGCCGGCCCGGCCCGCTCGATTTTTTTTTCGGCCCGGCCCGGCCCGCTTGAAGCCCGGCCCGGCCCGCTTTAGGCCCGATTTTTTAAAATTTCTTAAAAACTGTTAAATTGTCATAAAAATCTTACTTCAAAACAAAATTACAGTACTTCAACCCAATTTTTCAGTGTAAAAAAATCTTAATTAATGTAGAACCACTGGTTTTCAAAATTGCTGTACTATTTTTTTATTGATGTTGTATATGCTATTATCTTTTATATTTATGGAAAGCTTTTCAAAATTTCATACGGTGACAAAAATACTGTATTTCGTATAACTATTTCACGCGAAAATTCCGCAGATTGTCTAATCTCGGGCGCAGCTTCGCGCCTTCCCACGTTCCGTTTTTAGTAAAAACGGATCGAATGTGCGAAAAATCCTTTCCCACGCGAAAAAACACCCATAAGCCTAGCCCCCGTTTCCAAAAGAGAGAGAGGCGCAAGCTCCGCCCCCCTTTTTTCGCCGCCAAAAAAATAAATAGGAAAAAAAATTTCTGAAAAAAATTTGCCGGGCCGGGCCGAAAACTCAGCTCGGCCCGCGGGCCAGAAAGTTTCGGCCCGGCCCGGCCCGCTTGAATTTTTTGCAAGCCCGGTCCGGCAGCCATGTCTAATCAAAAGTCCTCGGAGGACGAAAATTTCTTTGAAAAAATGAGCGGGATTAATTTTCGATGGGCAGCTCGCGAAGGGTCATTTATACGATGAAAGAGAAACGGCGAAGCCTTCGGCAAGCCCTGGGTAGACTAGGTATATTTGAAATTTTTTTTGTCAAGCGCTTTATCTTTGAAGTGGTATAACCACAAATTTTTTCAATTTTAATCAAGTTCCCCAAATTTTTTTGAAATTTCAAACTTTTTATTTTTCAGCACAATAACAAGTAAATTATGTACAAACAAAGATGAAAATAGCTAAATAATATGCATAGATAAATATAAGTGTATAAAAACCGTAAGTTAAGCAAAACTAACCGGAGGGCAGAAAAAATTGAATGAAAGACCAGAGTATCACTATTGACTTGATGTTAATCTTAAAAATTGACTTGAAACAAGTGATAAGACCGATAAAACTGTCGGCATTATAGATACAAACCAGAAGATAAAAAAACAACAATATAAATACAAAATTAACTATAGAAACTAGAAGTAGATAGTAAAAATAAACAATAGCGACATATATTCACTTAAATTCTACGTTAAATTAGCGTTTCGTTCTTATTAGCAGGAGTTGATTAGGTTGAAGCCTAATTCGCCTTTAGCATTTGAAGCTTTTGAGCCTTCTTGCCTTCTTTTGTTTGTACCTTCTTTTTCTTGTCTTCTTCTTTTCTGATGTGATCTCACATTGGGCCACCTTGTCGGCCCACGCTTTATCAATGTCACCAGGTTCGGAGTCAGCAAATTCCAGGACGGAAGGTTCATCGGGAATACGGTCGTACATTGCTTTGTTTTTGACAATATAGTTGATGAACCTACAAGAGAAATGATTGTAAAAGCAAATTATTGGTGTTAACAACTATTCCAGTAGAGTCAAGATAGTATCTAGCTGTACATGAAGAGAATTTTTGAAAGGTTTTCAGCTTACTTTCTCCGAGTGTCATCTCGATCCAAATTGTTTCTGTTCCCAACTATAATGAGAAGACGTTGGGCTCTGGTGATGGCTGTGTTCAGACGCTAAAAAAGGTCATTTTACATTTAAAAATTGAAAAATTTTAATATTTATTATTAAATCCAGATCATTAGCACCTTATAAACGTAAAAAAGTTTCAAAAACAAAAAAATTAAAACCCTTTAAATGATCAAATCCCAGTCTGGGCCTTTTAAACACCCCTACCAAATCACAAGCCAAGAATCCGAGCTTCTGAGTCCTCGCTGTTGTCATGATGATCACTTCTCTTTCCGATCCCTGAAGCATTTTTCTAAAAAACCGACAATCTTTGTAAAAAATTGGTAACTTTTAAAATGAGTTATGGTTTCCGCCGAAATCTGGTGTCTCCGCTGATTTGTTAAAAATTGTTGATACTTTATTAAACTTTGACAATTTAAAGAACAATGGCAATGAATACGATTGGTTTTTGTCCGATTCAAAAATATTAAGAACTGGCCGAGTTATGGCTTCCGCCGAAATTAAGTGTCTCCGCCGAATTTTTGAAAATTACCGATTTTTTATAAAGTATGGCCGATTTTGTAGAAAAATGCTTCAGAACACCACTGGTTTTTGTCCGGTTCAAAAATATTAAGAACTGGACGAGTTATGGCCTTCGCCGAATTTCTCCGCCGATCGTCCGCCGACATTGCAAAAAAGTTTTTCATTGAAAGAAAATGTTTTTGAGTAATGTTTGGGCAGCATGCGAAAACAAAATTACATATTTTTTGTTCAAAACATTAAAAAATCAGTCTCCGCCGACCTCCGCCGAGCCTCCGCCGAATACTCTAAAACCATGTACCAATACCAAATCCGCAAGCAATTTCTAGTCTAGTGCAAAAAAAATCGTCCAAATCGGACCAGTACTTTTTGAGATCGGAGCTTTTACTTTCCTTCAAAAAATTTTGGACACCCTGTATATTGTGATATGAAATATTTAGGTAGTACCGTACTCAAAACAGTGTAGTTTTTTGTTTCATGTCGGTACGACAAATTTGAGCCAAGTTATAGTCTTCGTCGATACTCGGCTACGTCCGCCGTTCTTCCGCCGAGGCTTCGCAGACACAGAAAACGCGGTTTTCCAAAAAAGAAACCAAAAAATGTCAAGAGTCGACGAAAACTGTTCATTTACAACCAAAATATGTGTAATTTAGGTGTGAAATGCTGATCTTTAAAAATTCACAATGACCGTAATTTGCACTTTTAAAAAACAAAATTTTCCATAAAAAAATGTACTAGCCTGTCTTACCACTGTGCCAAATTTGGCATTTTTAGGACGCATAGTTGCAAAGTTATGAATTATTTCTAGCGACCAAATTTCTCGGAACACCCTGTATTTAAAACTCATATGTGCGAGCTAAAATTTTCAAAGCTACTATTGGTGGAATTCATATAAAAATTTTCAGCTGATTCTGAGCGAGGCAGTTTGGGTACTTTCCTTGTAAATAATATGTTTTTACGTAAAGTTGATCAGTTTTGAAGAAAAAAAATAATATTATAGTAGACGTATCTTTGAATACCGCCACAAAGCTAGCCGGAACAATTGTTTGCCACAAAGCTAGCCAGAAAAAGAATAGTTTTTAAAATAACTTTTCATCCTCTTTTCAAGTCATAGGATCTTATTGATAGGTTATGAAATGCGCAATATTATAGTAAGTGTGAGGTAGTCAAAAAATAACATTCTAGAATGCATCTTATAAAATAAACCTTTGAAATACAATGAAATGAACCTTTAAAATCAAATAAATAAACCTTTAAAGTCCAATAACTCACAAAACTTTTATTAATCGTCGATGCATCAATCTCTTCCTCGTCCAAAAGAAACCGGTATTTTTCAAGTAGATCGAACTTTTCTCTAAAAACCATGAACTGAATAAAGAACTTTTCTCTAAAAATCATGAATCGAATAAAGAACTTTTCCTCTAAACATCAAATAAAATAAAGGATAATATAAACCTACCTTACTTCCATCCTTCGTCTTTTTCTGGGCCGCAACCCTTTGTCTTTTTTGACCCGCAATCTAAATTTACCAAACAGAATAAAAATAATTTAGCAACCAAACTAAATTCTTATGATTCATATGAAAAGAAAATTTGCATTTTATAGCAAAAAAGGAAAGAAAAAAATCGAAAAAAATATATTATACGTGTCTCACGCCGACCGCAAATGTCTTTTTATACAACGAAACGTGTGTGTGAAAAAAAAGTTTTTAAAAAATTGAACTCACTCATGTCAGTGGTACCTAATTGTTAGTAGAGGTGGGAAATAGGCCGAGCCTACTATTTAAGCCCGGCTCGAAACAAAACGTTTAGGCACGGTCCGTTTTCTGTTCAAAGTCGGGCCGTTTTCGCTAGACATGAGGAACTGGCCGGGCCGGCCCAGACCTGTGCTATATTTAGGCTGGGCCAGGCCTGGAAATCCCAAAAAAAGTCCGGCCCGTCCCAAAAAGCCCGGCCTATTTGCACGTACAAAATTTAGCCCGGTTTTTGCTCAAAGCCTGGCTGAGCCTACTGCTCCAAGCCGAGCCTATTTCTAACCCTTGTTTATAAGACAGTTCAAAAGATCAGACTACATGTCAATTATATGTTCGTTTTCTAAATTTAAACTAGGATTTTTGGGCTTATATCCCTTTTAAACTGGGATTTCCGGGTCTATATCACGCGTTAACTATAACAAGATGTTTCGTTAAAAACAACTTAAAAAGACTATTTTTCTGTAGTTTCAACGCCAATATCAGTCTATAAAAGCCAAGGTTATTACATTTTTTTTATTAAAAACATTTTGAAAATATGGAAAAAAGTCTTGTCGCTAATTCACGTACAAATCTGTGTAACTTAACGACAAGACTTTTTAAAATACGGACAAGACTTTTATAAAGTAACATAAATTTTAAAAATCACAAAACAGCCACAATTTAAAGTAATTAATAATCATAAAAAGCCACAACTCAAAGTAAAATTTTAATGTCAGTGTAAATATTCGTTTTTACAGTTAGTTCTATTAGAGTTTGAATTGTGGTTGATGGGGAGGGTCGTATTCGTCCAATTTCCGTTTAAAATAGTCGATTTGAAACAGTTCCAGCGGGGTTTGATGTTCGATTCGGCGTTCGAATGCCGTTAGTTCCAAGGGGGATCTAGCTGAAACGGCAATTATTAGTTCTCGAGAACATAATCAGTACTATTGATACAATATCGGTGCTAAAAAAGTTTTGTCGCTTTTAGACGTGAAAAACTTTATATTTATACGACAAGACTTAAATTTATTTTTGTCCCTGAAATTTATTTAAAATTTTTGTTAAAAAATTAACAATAAATTTTGAAACCAAAAAAGCGCGCCATTTTTTTCGCATCAACTTGAAAAAATTTTTCTTACCGACTGGATTTGGGTAGAGTTGAGTGAATTTGTGCATTTGTTTTTGGACATACTGTACCATTTTCTCTCCTGACAGGTCAGTAAAGGCCATGTGGAGCTCTCCGGTTCTTCTTTTATGGTTCTGTTGATCTAATACCGCACAGTTCATGAAATACGCCACGTTGTCGGCTATCAAAAATCTGAAAAAATTTTATAAAGAGTTGCCTTGCCCTACATTAGCTTACGTTACCCTAGCACTACGCTACCCTACTTTACCCTGCCTTACCCTACTCTACCCTAGCTCCACCTTACGTACCCAACCCTATCTTACCTCCAACACCTTACCCTAGCAATACTCTACCCAATTCCAAATCAATCAACTTACACTGCATCCAAAAGATCCGGGTCCGTGACTTCTTTCTCCACAAACTCCGTATTGACCTTAACGTCCTTGAAGTTGTCGATCATTCTCATTTCGACCAAAGCTTTCGCGTACCTGACCACAAACTCTTTCCAGAATGACAATGTAAAGTACTCAACGAGCACGTCGACTCTCTGGTCCGTGCTCCACACCTGCATCTTATCCTTCCGCTCCAGGCCAAAGACTCGGTTCGCTTCCACCAAGTCGACTAGACTACTTTTACCGGTTACTTCGCCTCTATGCACCATCGAGTCGTCGGCTCGTGAGCTGTTGATCGAGGCCGTGAGCACAGTGTTGTTGTCTTTTTTTCGCCATACTGTGCGAGCACGTTCGATTGGAGATTTGGGTAGGGAAGGGTGGCTGACACTGAAGATTCTCGGGCTGCTCAAGGTTGACACTCCACTGTCGGTCTTTGAGGATGGTATAGAAGATCGTTGGGATGGTGTAGTAGATAAGTCTCGTGCCGTGAACGAATCTGCTTCTCTGGCTGTTGACAAGCTGATATCGAGGATGGAATCCGTGTCTCTGGCAGTGTTTAAATGGGATTCTTGGGCAGTGTTGGAATCGGAATCTCTGGCTGTCGTTAAGTCCTGTAAAAGTCAAAACTTAGTAAAAATTAATCTTTTTGTTACCTAAAACTCACAAATCTCCTCATTTATTACCTAAATGTTATACACCCCTCCACTTCGTTACCTTAAGCCCAAAAACACCCCTTTCAGTCGAAAAAAACTTTATTATCCACCCCTACTAACCTCCTGAATACTATCACTTGAGCCTCCATTCCCATTACCACTTTGTCCACTTGATCCGCTTCCTCGCCCAGTTTCCGCATTAAACTCGGCTCCACTTTCTGATTCAGTTGACGAGAACTGTGTACGATTCGTCGACACTGTAGCCGATTCTTGTGACTTGGCTTCTGTTGAACTTGACCGTGCCGTGCTGGCCGTGTCGCTTGATTCTGTTGAGATCTGATTTTGAATCGACAAATTTTCTGAACCCCTAACTTCTGATGGCTCTTTCGGTTTCTGAATTTGAGTAGAAAGTGCAGATTCTGACTTCTGATTGTGAGTAGAAGGTACAGATTCTGAAGCTTTATTCAAACTTAGATTCTTGTCTTCTGCGTCTTTCATCAGCGTCAAGTTTTCGGCTTCTGAATCCTTGTTCAACTTCATTTTTTCAGCTTCTAAACCCTTTTTAAACTTCAAAGACTCTGCTCCAGAATCCTTTTTCTCCAACTCCAACTTTCCAACCTTTTTCGGTGGTGACGCTGTTGCATCAGAAGACGAATGAGGCTGTTGTCGTCCATCAACAGACGCTCTTCTTGGTATTCTCGACTTCTGGAAGTTGGTTGGCGTTGAAGATTCTTTTGATTCGACCGGGGTTTGAAGCGAAGAACTTGGACTCGAATCTCGAAGACGTAACTGAGGAATTCTCGACCTAAAATAGGGTAAATTAGTGGCTCCTAAATATTTCAAGCATGTTTAAACACGTTTGTCACATCACAACACAATAAAAAAAAATATTTTCAAAATTTTACCTTCTTCTCTTGTGGCTGCCAGACGCTTCTGACGCTCTGCTTTGACGCTCTTCCACTGATTCTAACAAAGAATCCTCAACTTTTGGAGAATCCAAATTTTCGGAAACTGGTATATCCGTATGTAACGATGAGAATACGGAAGACTTTGAGCGTCCAGTCTGAAATACAGGCAATTTTTAGTTGCAAGACCAAAGCTAGGCCCCTAGAGTCTTAATTTATACCCATCCCTAAAGCTCACTGCCGGCCTACTAATTTTCAAAATGGCTTGAGTCTCCAAACCTAGTAGTCCGCTTTCAAATTTACTTAGTCCCTTTTAAACATAACATATTTCTTTCAAATCAAGACAAAAGTTATAACCTACTTCTGCTTCTTGAACATTCTCTTCAACTTTTTCTTGTTCCTCCTCTTCGTCTTCAATTACTTTTACTTCTTCGTCACTTTTTTCATCTTTTTCCTTCAATTCCACTTCATGTTCTTCAACTTTTTGATTCTTTAAATCGGCCAAATGAGCTTCGTACAACGAATCCACAGTTTGTTCGATAAAGTCTAAGTTCAGGACTGGTACTTCAATTTGTTTCGGTGGCTAAAATTACAAGTTTTTTAATACCTTTGGTCATAGACAAAATGTTTTTTAAAACTCGAATGATGCCTAGATCGCCCAAATTGGACACAATATCCCATTTTGATCCCTAAGTTTAAAAAATTTTAAAATCTATTACCTAAAATTTGAAAAATCATCAACTTTGTTACCTAAAATGCAAAATCCTTTATTTTTTTACATGAAATATGAATGTTACCTAACACAAAAACTTTTTAATATCTAAATTTTAAAAAACCTTCATTTTCATTACCTAAAATCCCTTTTTTCCTAAAAAAATCTGAATCACCGCCTACATACCTCCAGAAGGACGCTTTCACTGCCTGATCGTTCATTCTCATTGCCACTTTGTGCACTTGATCGGCTTTCTCGTCCTTCTGCATTAACTTCTAGCCCGTCTTCTGATTCTTTATATTGAGTCCGATCTGTTGAAACTTCAGCCGATACCTTTGGTTTAGCCTCTGTTACAATTGAACGTGCCTTATTTGCTGTGTCAGTGATGAAAGTGACTTCTCTGGCCAGAACCTCTTTTAGGGTCGATGAATTTTGCGAAGTTGCAGCTTCTAAAGGCTCTGTTAGCTTCTGATCTTGAGTAGAAGGTTCAGGTTCTGAAGTTTTAGTCAATTTTTGATTCTTGGCTTCAGAATCTTTATCAACCCTCAACTGTTGAGACTCTACATCCTTGTTAAACCTCAGGTTTTGAGCTCCAGAATCCTTAACCAATCGTTCAGTAGCACTTTCAATCTTGCTTAATTTGTCCTTCATTCCAATTTTGCTTTCATCTACACCAACGTTTTGCTCTACCGTTCCATCATCTACTCCAACGTTCCGTTCCACCGTGCCTTCACTTAACCCAACGTTCGGTACCGATTCATCCAGCCACTTCTGAACGAACGGTGACCTGATTTGACCTGTCGGCGGTTCCAACGTGCGTATCTCCACCTTCTCCGACGGATCCATCTCAATCGACGGTATATCATACTGTGTAGACCGTGATGTGTTCGGTACTTCTGCATCTGATCGTACTGAATCTAAATCCTGATCTTTCTTAGATGCTGTTGGCCGTTCCATACTGTGGTAATGCTGATTAGTACTACCACGTTGTTGGTGCTGATCAAGAGCAGATCCTCGTTTGTCCCCAGCTGCTTGAACATTACCATTGCTGATTAGAGTTGATGAGGACGATTCGTCATCACCAGCCTTTCCAAATGTTCTGGTTGGAAATGACGTTGGCATACGAGCTGAGGTAGCCACATCTGACGTTTTTGGAGCTAAAAATAGAGAAAATATTATACTGTCTAACTAAAATGTTACCTAAAATTTAAAAATTTCAATTTTTTAAGAACGTAAAAAATACATTTTTAGGTAATAAAAAACTAAAAAAGACAAAAAAAAGACTAGTTTAAGTAAGAAAATCCTTTAAAAACTGTATTTTAGACAAAAAAAAACTCTACAAAAAAAATTTAATTGAAAAGTAGCTAAAAATCAAACTTCAAAAACGAAAAACTTAAAAAAATCAATCAAAGACAAACAAAAATGATCAGTTTATTACAAAATGAACAACAAAAACATACAACAAAAGAAGGCAAATAACTAGAACAGCCAAAAAACTTATTAAAAATATGAAAGAAACCCACCCCACTTCCTAGAGCGAATTATGCTTCAATATATACCATTACCTTATTACCTTATAGCCGTCATAAAAGTCTTGTCGCTTTTTAACGTGAAAAATCTATATACATTGACGACAAAACTTTTTTAACCATGATATGTAAATCATACTCCAAAATTTAAAAATCTATATCAAAACTTTTAACAAAATTTAAAATTTACCGTCATTGGTCCGCTGCTGAATGAACTTGTCATAGTCATTCATATTCAAAAACATGGCTCGTTGTCCCCGCTTCTTTTGAAGAATCTCATTTCTCAACCGAGCGTCTTCCAGGAGTCCATTAACCTTCTTTTCCAAATCATCCAGGATTTGTTGTTCTTGCACTATCATTCGTTCAATGTCAGACTATAATAACGGTTTTAAAATTCAACATTTTTACTATATTTTTTATTTTGTTACCTAAAACTACATTTTTTAAATTTTTGGCCCCAAAGCAATAAATTTTTACTTTTGTTATTTAAAATTACCTTTTTAAAACTTTTTGTACCAAAGCAGTAAATTTTTAAATTTTTGTTACCTAAAATAGTTTTTTTTTAAATGATCTGTTTCCAACTTTACCCAATAAAACCATCTATCAATGCCGCCGTCCTTCCCTATGACTGCACGTTATCCCCATTGTGTTCAAAAGTAATATAACCCTAAACCCTGTATAATCCACCCTTACCTGTGTGTACTTCTTCCTCTTGCACTCGTCCTTGAACCTTTGAATTCGATCAGACAACTCGCATACGACATTCTTCTTCTTCTGTACCACCATCAGCTCCATCTTCCGATTCCCAGTGATTTGAGCTTCTTTCTCGTCCTGAATCAAAAGATCGACACGATGACAGTAGATTCGCTTCAAAATCCGGATATAATGTTGTTTTATGTTCGCGGATGTTGAGATTGTTGATGTGAATAGCTTTGATGTAGTCGATGAAAACGGTTTTGAAGTGGTTGAGGTAAAGGCAGCTTCAAAGTGTTGATGAACTGAAATGTGTTGATGAAACTGTTGCACTGCTTGACGTTGAACAACTCTTTGATGTTGAACGCCATAATCTCGTTGATGTTGAACAGCATTATCATTACCATATTCACCTGTTCTTTGTTGAACAACATGTTGTTGATGACAAAAAACTTCTCGCTGCTTTTGGCTACCTTCTCCAATACCAATATGCCCTTTTTCCACTTCATATTGTACTTCTTTACGGTGAAAAACACCTTTATCCTTCTCGTCATCAACAACATGATCTTGATTTTGAAGAGTTCTATCATGTTCATCATGATATTCTTCATCATTCCTGTGCTCCTTTTGATGTTTATAAGCCTTGTTTTGCCCATAAACATCCCTTCTTCGCTGATCTTCACCACCAAATCCTCGTTTTTCCTGTTCAAAACGCTTCTTTTCTTTCAAAACTTGTTCATCCGCTTGAACAAAATCTTTTTTATGTTCATCTTCATCATTTCTTTTATTCTCTGCACCTCTCTTTTCGTCTTTAACACCATCATCTCCACCATGATCAGCAATATGTCTACCATCTTTATCTTCACAATGACTACCAACACTTTTATCAAAATCACCTTCATCACGGCCAGCAATGTGTCTATCATCTTCATAATGACTATCAACTTGTGCACCATGACCATCAGTACCTTCACTATGCACATCCTGCCTTATACTTGGTCGGAACGGTATAGAATAAGTCCTGTTGGCAACTGGAGTAATACATTCTTTCAAGGTATCTTTGGCTCTTTCTAATCGCATGCAAACTTCCTTCAGGTTCACTCTTTCAACTTCGTAATTATAAGTTGTGTATTCTCGCTTTGGCGTCGAGAAATCTCTAGGTAATGTTGGAGTTGGATCGTCTCTATCAGAATCCTCGGAATCGTCGAATTGTAGCAACGCTGAAAAGTCAAAAATTCAATTAAAAAGCGTCGGCATCTTCTTTTTCATACCTAAAAATCAAAAAAAAATAAATAAAAATAAACTTTACTTTTATCCCTAACTTCAGACTCCATATTCTCCTTGCCTCTGGCCTTTCTCATCGGTGTATGGCCAGGCGATCCAACTTGACTCTCCTCCAATGGCCAATCTTGTAGACCTTTTGTTGTGTATTTCTTCTTCTGAGTAACTTCATCCAAATAAACGACCGGTCGAACTGGAGGCGGGCTGGAAGGCGCTGACATTATGATAGGTCTGTTGTGATTACAAGCTGAAGCTGAGCAATTTAGTTCGTGACAACGACGAATCGACGGATAACTCGATGTGAATTTACCTGAAACTAAAAATGGTTTTTTTAACTTAAAATTTTCGCATTCAAAATTAAAAATTTTAGGTAATAAAATAAAATTTTGGTTTTAAAATAAAAATGTTTACTCAAAAAACAACCCAAAAAGATAATTTGGAACCCTGAAATGCAAATTAAAACTAACCGTTCTTATCCGCCATAGCAGTGTGTAGATTAGTTGAGAAATGTTGTAATAAGAAACAATGTACACGATAATGGCAAGAACCTATGTTCAAAACCTGAAAAATAGAATCATTATATCAAACAACGTTTTTATAACAACATAAAATTTTATTACAACGCGTATAATGACCGAAGCACGTCAAAACAAAGATTAATCACGGCATGCTATAAGGTATCGCTATAACAATATGAATTAGCTCTAAAACAACATAATCAAGTGTTTTTAAGTATGGCAGCTGTACAAGACGTTAAACTACCTTCTAAACTTCATTTTAACACAAAGACTAGTAATATGTAGACATTAACCACTTATCAAGGTTTTCTTCAAACATACCTCTTCTATTACTATGTAAACTAGCTCTGAAACTTTATAATCGAATATGTTTAAACAAATTTACTGTTTTAAAATTTTTTTAACTTTCTGATCCATCTTAGCACATAAAAAGAAGTTCAACTTAAGCAGAACAAACTATCTTTAAAAAATTCCCTTACACAATTCTATAACAATATATAAAACTCCTTTCAATACCTCCAAATTTTCTTCTTTTTCTTCTTAAACCTTCTAAAACACTTTCAGTACCTTAAACCCCGTCTAATTACAGGGTATTCCAACCTAAACACCAAGAAAACAAAAGAAACAACTTACTTCCCAAAAGTCCCATCAAATAACATAAAGTAAAAACATGAAAACTGATAAAACTAGAGTAAAATAAACACCTAAACCAAAGTAAAACGAATATTTACTCTCCCGTATCTTAGCAACTTGTAAAACATCTTGTTTTTCAATTACCGATAAGGATCAAACGCAAATTTTCTTTTTTTTCCCCAAAAAAAAACGATTTAATTTTGCGAAAAGAATATTTTTTGAACCGAAAAAACGCGCCAAATGCGTTCTCCTCACGTTGTTTTGGAAACCAGAAAGAAATAAGAAGCTTTTGAGAATAATACGAGATTGTTTTGTCAAGATTTGTGGTATTCGAATAAATAACACAGCAGGAAGTTTGAAAATATTCATGAAACGGGGTTTTGAACTTTGTGTAACATTGAATTCATGCAAGAAGATGTATTGAAATTAAAGACTGTAAATTTAAAATTTTCAATAAAAGGCAACATCAGTAATGATATAAGTTAAAAATAATTTACAAAATGCAAAGTTACTAGGAAAAACTGCCCTGCCCTGCCCTGCCCTGCCCTGCCCTGCCCTGCCCTGCCCTGCCCTGCCCTGCCCTGCCCTGCCCTGCCCTGCCCTGCCCTGCCCTGCCCTGCCTATGTTTAAAATTGTAATGTCGTCTCACAGGTCAGTGAAAGATGTCTCGAGGTAAATTGGCACAAGCAATCTATAAAAATTTGAATTTTTCGGATGATATTAGCCTAAGGGTTGACCTCGGCGTTATTATATAACACGACAAGACCATACGAAGTTTTCTGTTTCACCTTCCTAATAAATTCATTCATAGTATTTGCCTAGGTACTGGATGGTCTGACATGCTGTTTTTACTCGTAGATATTATTAGTAATGGGTTTGAGAGCTTGTGGTATATTTGTTATTATATATTATATTATATAATGGTATTACAGGCATTTACATTTTTAAGTTAGTAGTAGTTTTAAGTACAAATGACGATTTTGGAATAGTACTAGGGGGTTTAATATACTTTGGAGAGGTTTGATACTTTTGGTCTGGTCTAGTAGCATACAAGGCATGGATTACATTCTTCAAAAATTTGTATTTGTTTCTAAGGTACTCTAACTTTTGTCAATATTATTAACGTTTGGATGTTGGTTACTGTCACAAAACCGTGATATTACTTTTTATTTACTTATTAGAGTACGGTGCTACATGAAAATTAAGCTTTTAAAGACCTGTATCAATTTTAAAATTTGATCTAATAGTTTTGTTCTGAACTCGTTCAAAAATTTGTTTTATCAATATATGTATAGGTTTATTTGTAGATTACTATAGATCTACAGTGTAAATAATTTCCGAAATTTTATATTGATTATTGTAACTGTATTGGGATGCTGTTTTCCATTCATATTACGGTAGAGAGTATAACATACGTTTTTAATTACATTTTTCCATTAAAAACCTCGAGGTAAACAGGCACATAAAATTAACGAAAGTTTTAATTTTGCTTATGATAAAAACCTAAGGTCAAGCTTGATATTATTATATAATGTAGATAAAACCCTGTGGCCTTTCCATTTAAATCTAACATCATTTACATATCCTGTTTAGGTGAGGGATAGTCGGGTATACAGTTTTTACTCATGTCATGCTTCTATGGGTATAATTAGTAGGCAGTGGCGTTGGGGAGCGTTTATGGTACTTTAAGCTTTTGGGTATTTTCTGAATTAATTTTTAAAAATAAAATAGTATATTTTTTAAAATTAAAAATTTTAAAAAATTTTGATAACTTTTAGTACTAATAAGCTTTTTTACTGCGTTTTTATAAAATTTTTATAGTTTTAAAACTTTTTAAACCATAGCTTATATTAGTATTATAAATTAACTTTTACGTGAATATCTTTGTATAAATACCGTCTATGTCAATTTTTAAGTTGAAATCCATTACTTCAGTGTTTTCATTAGCAAAGATAAAAAATCATCTAAATTTAAAAAAATGTATGCGGAGGTCTGCCTCGAGGTAATAAGGCACAAGTAAAACAAGTCAATTAAAATTTTTCTGTATGCGACCCTAAGGGTCAGTCTCCGTATTATTGCGTAAGTCTAGATTAGATTTTGTGAACTTTCTGATTTTACTCCTCCAAATCCCACATCACTCATAGTACATGCTTCGGTAGTGGACGGTTGAACATTTTTTAAATTATATATTCATAGGTGGCTACTTATACGTGTATTAACATTGGGATTGTTAATATGTTTTGGGTGTTTTAAGGGTACTGTGGGGCTTTATGTTAAGGTGTTTGACAGTAAAACTTTTCAATATGAATACATTTTAACTGTGATATCCAGGGCCGGACGGGACCTTTGGTCTGGGGGCGGGGGTCGAAAAAAGGTAGCTACCTGTGCACTTTTTTCCAAAAATTCACAGGGGGACCACGTTCAACTTTATTGAGAAATTTTTTTTGGGGCGGGACTTTCTGAAAAATATCATATAGAGATTGACAATCAAAAATCAAAACTATTTTTTAAAGATCTGTCTCAAAAGATCGCCTCGAGGTAATACGGCACAAATAATACATGTAAATTTAAATTTGTATGAATATGCGACCCTAAGGGTCAGCCTCCGTATTATTATGTAACTCTAGATTAGATTTTGTGCACTTTCTGATTTTACTCCTCCAAATCCCAAATCAGTCATAGTACATGCTTTGGTGGTGGACGGTTGAACATGTTTTTTCTTGGCATGTGCATAGGTGCCTGCTGATATAGTTGTATTGTCATTGGGATTGTTAGTAAGGTTTGGGCGCTTTAAGGGTATTGTGGGGCTTTATGTTAAGTTAATTGACAGTAAAACTTTTCAATATGACTACATTTTAAATACGTTATATAAGGGAAGTTATTTCGAGTATATATATATATATATATACATATATATCGTGTTGTTAAAACCAAGAATCCTTGTTGAACTTTATTGTTTCCTATAGCGATTTTTTTAAAACGAGGGCCAATCTAATTACTTTTACCACCTTATTGCCATATGTTAAAAAATATCATATAGACATGTTAAACATACCGTTTTTTCTACTTTGTCATTAGTCGGACTTCTGAATAACCGCCACCTTCTCTATTCTCATTGGCCGAATTTGTCTCGCCGTATAAAAGCATAAATATATTTCATTGTTTTTTTGACATAAGTTATTTTCAAAAATATTTCAATTCAAAGTTTTCTGTTCAGGGTTTTCTTCTACGGAATATGTCTTCGGGCAACCAAACACATGTTAATTAAACAAATTTTGATTTTTTCTGAAATAGGGCCTTATAGTATTATCTCTGTATTATTGCTCAAACAAGATAAGATCCTGAGGTCTTCCTGAATTATACACATCTAAATCTATCTTCACTCATAGTATCAACATACCTGGCAGACGGTTGGACATATTTTATAAGCTTGACCATGCATCGTGATAGGGACAGTAGATTGGACACCATAAGGTGTTGATTTGCTTTATACTAGAATTTTTAGTACAGTAACTGTATATAAACGGATTATTTTTATTAAAGGCGTTATACTTTCCCAAATCACAATATGGGCTTGACTTATACTATTTTTGACTATCGTGCGGTGGCCTTACATAAACAACAAATAAGTGGTTATATTCTAAATAAATGTATTGCTATGAGATTTTGATGTTTAAAAAAAACCTTATTCAATATTAACAAATTTTTAATAACCATAACATTGTGTTTCAAATCAAAGTTGTTACCCCAACCCTAAGTCTTGATCTCTCGTGTGCCGTTCTCGCCGTGCTCCGCTTGTAACCGTGGCATTTCGCGTTAAATAACAATACGCATGAAATATAATAAATACTGTAAAATAAAACAATATAGTAAGATGCATTTTTCAGAAATCGATTTTCTTACATCTAAAGTTTTTTTGAAACTTAAAAAAATGCAAGCTCACCAAAAGCCCACCACCTACGAGAAAAAGCCCCTTAAGCAAGAGCAAGATGGAGTTCTCTATCAACACAATGATTATTTTGGGATTGGAAAAGAAAGGACGTTCAAATCGTAAGTTTATTAATCAAAATCTGTTTTGTTAACTAAATAAAATAAAAACCCACTTTAACCGCAAACAAATGTTAGAAAATGGCATTTACATCTTTTTAGCCCAATATAAACAAATAAAAATGAAACAAAACAATCAAAATTACAACTATAATGTTTTTAGGTATGACGACCTTGTCCATGCCATCATCCAGTATGAGATGGCTGCCAGAGTGCACCTTCTAAGAGGTAGCTCGAACTTCTTAACAGCGAACAAAAAAGTTAACTTTTCTGAAGAAACCTGTCGACAATTCGTTTTCGACAGAATAGTATTCAAATGCCCCAACCATGAAGTAACTAAAAGGTTCGATAGCCAGACTGGTGAGGCGTTGTACAATAAACGAGTAACAAAAAAGAACATTAAAGACACGAGAAACTGTGAATTCACGTTCACAGTATAATACAACCCGGACATAAACCGATTGCAAATCAGTGCCGGTAAACTATATCACACTGAAAATTGCGACCCTAGGGTAAAGGACCTATTCCAATATGTCCCAAAGGACGAAAATAATAAAAAGAAAAGGGCCATTCGTAAGTTAATACATTTGAATTTCAATAACGGCGATTGGTTTTAAAGAAGGACAACCATTAAAACAATTAATTTAATAATAACAAATTACGCAAACTAAATATCTATAAAACAAGTAAACCAATATAAACAAAAATATAGAAAACCAACATTTTCAGCAGCAAGAATTGAACAATTCAACCCTGGTCAAGTACCTAACTACAAAAACGTAAAAGAAACAGTTGCCTTTAGAAGTAAGAACAGGGCTTTGAGAAAACCAAACTTAGAAGCCCCAGAATGCCAAGATACAGATGCTCCAATCCCAAAGTACTGTGAAGACATTGAAACTTTGATTAGTCGATACGACTGCATAAAAAAGCCAGTCTGTCAACCAGCTGAAGCCAGAGCATCAAACGGCCGCGGAACCAAACGTCGTATGGCAGATGATGGCGGAGTTGTGGCGAAGAAAGTATTATTCCCAATGGGACAAGTTCAGAGCGAGTGCCCCGAAACACCAAACCAGCTATATGAAGAGCAGGCCAGCTTCTACTGTCAGAGCCGATATATCTATCAACGGGCTGGTCCAAGTCAAGCCTATTGGAACCAGCCGGTTAGTAATTATGATTCTTGCTATGCCCAAACAGCCACTCAACAAGAATTTGGCCAAACAACAACTTCAAACAATGCTTATGGACAACCAGCGGCCAATACGGAGTTCTTTAACCAGAATTGGACCCAGTACAACACATACGGCCAAGACATGTACCAAAAGTCACAATACTATAGCCATGGCTTGGCCAATCCGGTTTTTGAAGAAACAATTAATCAACCCGCCTATATTCCGCCATACAACGAATATATCAATAACAAAGAAAATGTAAACTATGCAAACAGCCAATACGTTGAAAATAATCATTGGAGCAACTGTAGCAACAACTACGTTGATTCGCCAACAGAGCAGCCGCTTCAGTTGCCAGTCCAAGAATTCGAAGCACCGCCGCTGGCCCAGGATCAAGAAATCGAAGCAGCAATCCCACCCATCGAAGAAGAGGTTGTCCCTGATGAAAATGATCCACCACAGAGTCCACAAATCTACTACGATGAACAAGAGATGAATGAAGTCGGTTCCGGTGGAGCCGATCTTATCCTAATGGCATTAGAAGGGCTTTATTAAAAAAATAATATTTTTAATCATAGGTGTCTTTATAATATCAATTGTATCTCAATTATTAATATCTTACCTCAATATAATACAAAAACTACATAAATCTCAATGCTATATTACATAACCATATTTACCTCATAATATTCCTTGTATAATTTCATTATATCAACAGTTATAACAATATTGTAAACCTCAAAGTAAAAACAACAAATAAATAAAATAAAAGACGATTCGAGTTGTATATTGAACAAAATCTTATACCAAAGACACATAAAAAGAGAAATATTGTAAAAAAAATTTAATTTTTTAATGTAAAAAACAATATTTATATCAAAACCACGAAAGACTTACTATAACATAACAAAAAATAAATACATTAAAAGAAAGTTTAAAATAATTTCACCAAATAATTTGAAAAATAACGCAAATTGTTGGATGAACAACAATGTCAACAAAAAATTTAAAGTTTAACGATGAAATTTACACAAAAATATGAATTTAAATTTAAAATCTTAAAAAATTTTTCAATTTCACACTATTACTTCAAAAACAACGTCAATAGCACCATGTTGAAGAAGAGTTTCTTATTTTTATTCGTTGAAAACAAAAGAAGTGAAATAATTTTGGGCGCACGCCGCTGACGCTTCTTTTCGTTTACTGCGGCCTGCGGTGGAAAATAAAAAGAGAGTTGGGATTTCAGTTCAATAAGAAATAAGTCAGTAATAAAAATATAAATACTTTATTGATTATAGTTTACAAAAAGAGCACAATTGATCTGTTTTTAGTTCTAGTTGATGTAAAAATGCGAAAAAAGTTGGCTTCAGAGCCCCTAAATTTAAAAATTCCGGATTCAGCCCTGGCTCCGATTTTTTTATAAATTTTAATTCCGGCTTCGAGTGTCTTTAGTATAAAATGTGAAACTTTCTGATGCCGGCCCCAGCTTCGTATTTTTGTAAATCCTTGTCCTGGCTTTAACTCCGGAGCTGGCGTTTGCCTTGAAGCCGGAGCTGCTTTGGATTCGGAGATGCCTCAAAGCCGGAACTAGTTCTTCAGGAACTCTGGTTGCCACACACTTAAAATTATTTGTGTAAACTCAATTAATTACTATAACAGAATACTATTGAAAATCGAGTTAGTGACAACAGTATGAAGTTATGGTAAGTTAATTGTTATTCTTTAAATTTTGTTTTTTGATGTCTAAACAAGAAAAGTTATTCTGAAATTCTTTATTCAGTCAATTGGATAAATGGTAATGTTCTCAAATTTTCCTTTTTTAAACTTTTGTTGCCGTTTTCACCTGTAACGATCAGTTTTTGACTTTATATTGATAAATAAAAATTCACGTAATTTGCTGTTTTAAAAAAGTTATATTAGGTTGTTCAAATATTGCTGTGCCTTCTAACTACGGAAATTTGCTTTGAGGGAGGCACAGAATTATTTGAACAATTTTATAATTGAGCTTTGGGCGTATTTCCCAAAAATTTAAATTTTTAAAACAATTATTTAAAATTATTTATAGTTTTTGTATATTTTTTTAAATTCCAATCGTGTCAAAATTCAAAAATTTTATTTTTATTTTTTTTTTCAATCACCAAAAAGCTTCCTGGATCAAGTTTTTAAAACCAATTTTGCAAGTTTTCGTTTTTTTATGTAGAAAACGTTAGCATTTTTGATAATTAACAGGAAAGTAATTGGAAGTAAACAAAAAAAACTAATGTTAATAATATAAAATGTAGCAATAAATAATTTTATGGTATGGTTTTTTTTCGGTCCACGGCTTTTTTTTCAAATTATGGGTTTTAATTGCTACGGAAGAGAATAAAGTGAAACCTCTCTAATAAAACTCCGCTTATAACGAAACCCCCGTTATAACGATTTTTTTTGAATCCCCTTGAGATTTGTTATACAGGAATTCTACTGTATATACTTATTTTTCATTAAATAATTGCTCTACAGTTGTATTACGCAAAGTTCTCAGAATTGTATGTTGACGAAGTTTCAATTATAATAAGCATGTAATTAGCGTAAAATGGCTCTCTCTAAAAATAACTTGTTGTACTTATATCATTTATATCCTATGTTTAAAATTTTAAATATAAACTTAATTGACGTATATCTTTGGCTTTGATAAACTATGATATGAACAGTTTGACCATCTTACACATTTTTACTATAATAGAAAACAACATAGCTCCAAGTCATTCGTGTCAATGTAGGTACTACAAAACAAAGTGCTCTACATTGTTACGTGTGGAACTAAGTGTTTAACAGCTTTTCCATTTTTTTGGCTTGCTCATAACACTTCAATTAATTAGGTAAACTCCATTATATTGAAGTATGTTTGTTTACAACATAACTAGTCTTACTTGTTAGCTCTACGTTAGCTTTTCTTCAGTTTTACTGTAGTTTTACTATTGCTCTTTCAAAATATTACTATTTTAACATCTAACGCTTTTTCTGCAAATACAAGCAAGTTTGGTTAAGTAGGTATTATACATACATCCTATTAACATGTCGATTAAATTGTGTGGTTGTAAAACATAACAAAAGCTGTGCACTATTACAATACTTACAGAGTTCAATTAGAACATACATGATAAGCAAAGTTTTTCTTCTATTGTATACTTGTTTTAGCTGAACAGCTTTTACTTTGTGTTAGTAAATAATTTTTACTTTGTGGTAAATTACTATTATAAATAATGTTACTGTATTAAACGGAGTTTACTTTTTTTGTCTTTATTTAATGTACTTTCGTTATATAATATTAATTCGTGTTTTTTTAAATGTATGCTCGGGTGTAGTACATATATGGTAGTATATACATTACTTCAAATTCCAGACAAAATTCATTACAGTTGTTATGCTAATTGAATATGTAAATAATTTAACAACGATTATTTCATTACTTTTAACTTACTTCTTCTGTCGTACTGTGAATCAATGTAAACAATTTCATGCTAATCTCAGGTTGTATTTGGTAAGTCATGTATCTTTTTTAAGCCTTAGTCTGTGCCCTAGCCTTAAGCCCTAGCTCAGAACTCTAGTCTGAAACCCTAGCCCATAGCCTTAGCTTATAGCTCCAGCCCAGAGCCCTAGCCCATAGCCTTAGCCTAGAGCCTAGCCCAGAACCGTGGCTTAGAGTCTTAGTAGAGAGCTCTAGTCTAGTGCTTTATCCGAGAACTCTAGCTTAGACACTATCCCATTATCCCAGAACCTTTGCCCTCAAGGGTCTACCGTAACATAATATAAGTAAAAACTTTCATTTTTTTCAGAAATTTATAGTACTACCCTTAAACTTGGTTGCCTTCACTCGACTGATCCAAGACGTTAATACACACCTTATGCGTTTTCAACCGACCGGTATATTCTGCAACGTTCTCAGTTCAATCCATGGGTTTGCAGTTGGAATTAGTGCTTTAATGGCAGCTGCTATGGTCACTGAACGATGTGTAGCTACGTATGATCGTAAATATTACGAACATAGAGATACACGAAAGTCAAAGACATATTGTCTTGGGATAGTGATAGTTGGTGTTGTTTACTCATTTTGTATCAATTATTTGTCGGGTGAACAGTATGGTAAGTAAAAGTGGTTTTCACGAACAAACTTTAAAGTGTGAATTAACATTTACAAGTATGTAACAACAATAACTAAATACAAACTCAAGTAGAAAGTACGTTTTTCAGTTACATTTTCCAAAATGTGTATTATTGTCGACCGTTCTCCCGTACTAGATGCCATTGGTTTGTTTTTATGCGGAAGTGTTACGCTTTCTACAATGCCATTCATGATATACCTCTATGTACAAAATAAAAGGTTGATAAACAATAGAAACACAATGGAAAGTTTGAGTTCAAGGTTTCAATTGTCTGAGAATCTCATGATTTTAAAGTGCTTTATACCTGTTTATATTGTGTGCTTTCTTGTCATTGGCAGTATTGGATTTTGGACTTCACAAATTGCAGCATACTTTAGTTTTTATCACAAAGAACATCTTTTTTGTATGACCTCTTTAGTTAGGGTAAGTTGTTTAATTGATTTAATAAAAGGGTCGGAGGAGAGGCAAGATAAGTATGAAAGAGTTAAGATAAACAGAGCAAGGTACGACAAGGCAAAAGGTAGAGTAGAGCTAGTGTTAAGGTAAGGCTGATAAGGCAGAATCCAGGTAAGGCAATGCTAGGATATAATAAGGCTATAGTAAAAGTAAGAATAGATCAAGGCAAGGTAAGAACTAGGGTAGAAAATAAGACTAGAGTATCATCTGGATGAGGCAAGGGTAGGGCTAGAATACTGCAAGGGCAAACGAAAGACAGAGCTAAAGTAAGATTATAGTAAAAAGAACGCTGAGGTAGGCCTGATAAGACTAAAATAAGCCTAGAGTAGAATTAGGGTACAGTGGCGGCAAGAAAAAATGGGACAGTCGGTTTTTCGTCAATTTTAAATTTTTTTCGAACGTTTATAAATTTGTACCTAGCTATTATGAAAACGTAAAAAAAACGTTCGAAAAAAATTTAAAATTGGCGAAAAACTGACTGTCCCATTTTTTCTTGCCGCCACTGTAAAGCAAGGGTAGAGCTATTTAGAATAAAGCTTTGGTAAAAGTAGGATAGTGTTAGGAGTAGGGTTAGAATAAGGTGAACGCAGGACTAAGGTAAAGAGATGCCAGAGTTAGAATAGAGCTGATGAGGCTGAAATAGTACTAAAGTACAAGATCCAGGGGAGCTACAGCTAGAATGAAGTTACATACATATAAGTCTCAAGTATTTCAAAAATGAGTACATTTTGACCATCGATTAGTTTTTGTAACCTGATTCTATGCAGATATCCCACATATGTGCCGACTCTGTTTGCATATCAATAGCGTTGATATTTCTCCGATGTCATCCAGCACTATATAATCGAATACAATTGAAACTGTTTCAAAAACGAGTGGCCGATGATTATGTATTCAGCGTTACAACTGGCCGTTATATGACTGATTATCAAAAAGAAACCAATTTTTACTTCACACAACTTAAAAAACAGTGGAGTTTAAAATAATTTAACAGTGAAGTAGAATTTGAAATTAGTTTTTGAAACACAAAACTTAGAGCAATAATTTTTTTTTGTTAATTGACTGATTACTTTGTTATAAATATGCTTCTTATGGTTTATATTATATTTATTCCAAATTTACTTTTTTTAAATTCTATAAAAAGCTACGCAGATCTAGGTCTTTCTGAATATTTCACGTCGCACGGCTTGAGGGTCTATACGTTCTTTATCGTTTTTAATTTCTTGTGCGCAATACTAAAATATTATACAGTATCTTTACATTGTAATCAACAAAATCGAATGGCTTCTAAATTATACAAAAAAAAGCGAGCTAGGCCAGTACAAGTAAGCTCGAGAACCAGACCGAAAAATCGGGTTTTGCCCGGCACTTCTTTAGATCTACTTCTAATTTTGTTCAGAAACCAAAACTCTACAAAATTTCTTACTTTAGCCTCATTTCCAATCAAAAACTTTTTCATTCCCTTTATAAACTCTTCCAATTTACAGCCGATACCATTGTCAGCCTGACACACAACTAGTTCGTTGCTCAAATCAAAAATTTCTTTTTGGCTTCTTCTGTACAATATCTTAACACAACGTTCATTTGTTTTTTCATTCCTCCAAAGTTCAACAGAAATGGCAGCGGCTGTTTCTGTATTGCGATCTCTATTGTAATCAAGCTTTTCAAAACCCAGACTTGAGAGGAAGCCTAGGATGTTGACGTCGTGCTGAAGTGATACATGTTTTGACATAATAAACAAAATTTAAAAAAATTTAATTCATACTGTAGGGTAGGATAAGGTGAAATAAGGTAGGGCTAAAGTAGAACTAAAGTAGAATAAGTTAAGGCTAAAGTAGGTCAAAATCGGGTCTAAATAAGGCTAAAATAAAGCAAAATTAGAGCTAGGGTAGGGATAGAGTAGGGCTAGGGTAAAGTTAAAATACTTCTAGTGTAGAGCTAGGTAGATAAAGTTATTTTAGCAGAACATATAGTATAACACACCGCAGAAAATACCCTGTATTTCAATGGGTTAATAGAAGAGTTTGCCTTTTCTATAAAGTCATTGAAAATAATATTCAACATTGCTCCAGAATGGACTTTTGTCAACTCGTAATGCCAGTCAATGCCGCTTTGAGGTGAAATATCTAAAAACAAACAACGTATAGAAAGAAGACAGCAAAACTCTTGTATGACAAGATTTTAAACTTGTTCGTTTCAAAGACGTTTCGGTATAAAGAAGTTTGTTATATAGGAGTTCTACTGTACTTCTATGTCAAAAAACAAAAAACAAAAACCAAATTTTTTTAAAAAACCTCAAGTAAAGTAAAGATATTTAACAACTTACCACGGTCATAAGCAAATCGAAAAGCTTGAACATTAAGGCTTTGGATGTCGTTAATCACTTTTTCATATTCTGGCGCCAGTTTTAATCCTTTATTGTTCTTAAAACGTATAGTTTTTGAAAATAATTTCCTATTTTCTTGTTATGCTCTTTAATTTTATACAGGTCTTGTTCTAAACTCCCGAAAGATACTTAATGATACTTGCTTGTAAGTTGAAGTTAGGATAGGAATAATGAAAGCTTATAAAAAAAAGCAAAATTAAATTGAAAACAGATTCCAATAAAGCATAGGACTTGAACTAATCAAGAGTAAGATTGCTCAATAAAGCTAAAATAAAATTAAATTAAAACTCACTTCATACACAATTGAATCAGTAACGCCTCCCAGTAGTAGAGGAATCAATGGCTTATAACCTGTAGCGTTAGAGAGCATGTTTATAAGCTTCTGAAACGTAAACTTTTATGTTTACAAAAAAAACGCTTAAAAATAATTTTTAAAGATACAAAATTATAGTTGATACTTCAAAACCCACCTTAAAATTAAAAAATTTAAATTAAACTACCTTATTCTTCTTCACATACTCAACTACTTCCTTTGTTTTCATAGCTGTAGCCATCAATGAAAAACCGTAATCACAGTTCATGAACGGCATACCAACCATGTCCAAATTGGTTACTTGTGGAGTATAAATCCTAAGTATGTTATGTTCAATATCATCCCCATATAAACCTTTGAAATTGTAGAGAGCACTTTCGCGAGTTCGATTGTAAGCTGAAGATTGAATTTTGATTGAATCGCCATTAAACTTTTGCGGCAAAAAGTTTAGTTTTTGTACGTATCGCTGCTTTATCCATTGTCCTAATTTATGATGTTGTTCCATGCCGTACTGAAACGTCAATTTTTAATATTTAAAGGTGACAATATGGGAGGAGGAGGAAGGGAAAAGGCAAAAAAAAATTTTTTACCTTGCCCTGTTCAAATTTGACTCGGCCTGATACAGTCCAATGCCGAGTCGGGCCTAGTGTTCCCATACCCCCCCCATTTCAGTTCTAGTGGTAGGAAAAAAATTTTTAGGCCTGACGACCTGGCCCGCTTGACCTATCCCGGCATCCCTAAAATTTGTTTTTACCGTGTCGAGAACAGGCTGGGCATGGTGACTTTTTATAAGGTCCATACTCTTAAAAATACTTTTTATTTCTCTACTACACCCCCTACGAGACCAACCAAAAATACCCTCCGTCTCTTGTTACGCTGATAAAAATAATGTTGATTACCGTACATTTGTTAACTGTTCATATCCATTGTCCCAATGAGACACGTTATACGAATCATTTTTGAACGTTCTGGTTGGTCCACGATCCCCATGTCTCCATAACTGAAATTTTAGAAATATTTACGTTATAATAAGTTCTACCTATCTTTATATATAGAGAAACCTTTTATTAAGGCCAATCTTAATATATTACTGTCAGTATTAGTATATTATAACAAATCTTAATATATCTTAATATAAAAATTTAGAAAATAATAAAAAATAGTACACACAGCAGCCAAATACTAGTTTTTGCCCAGCCGGTGCATCATATCCCCATTCTTCTCCAACCTTTCCAGCGATGACTATATCCGGTAAAACACATAGTAAAAGCAAAATTTTCATGCCAGAGATTTGGAGCAACTATTTGATTTTATTTACATACATTTTATATATTATATGGTTTGCATAAATCATTTATTTTCAAAATTAAATGTTTTACATCAATATTTATAAGAAATTCACTTTGAATTTATTCAACATAATGCTCCGTAGCAAAACAAATACAACATAACTAACTATTAAGTTTACAAAGTTACATTAGACACTTGCTATTATAAAAAGTATAAAATAGTGTATTATTTGCATTTTCAAACAATGTATTACATATTCATCAACTAACAATCAAAGCACTTTTAGTGCTGCAGTTTGCGCTGTTTCAGTTGCATTAAACGAAAAACTTTGCGTTGCTAGCGTTGCTTGACCGTAAAAGTCAATTTTTGCTGTTCGCCCACTTATTTTGAAGATCACTGTATCTTTTCTTGCACGATTTTCTGAAAAATCAGTAAAAGTTTGAGTTAAAACGTTATCACTAATAAAAGATAAGGTATTTTTACAAAGGAAATATAATAAATAGCTTTAAAATATGAAAACAATAAACTGTTAATTTAAGTTTTTATAATAAAGCATTTGTAATTTTTTGTTGGATCAACTACTACAATTTTTTAATGTCAACTTACCTAAATTTGTAAATTTTATAACTAAATTTAAAAAATCTTGTCACATAGTCCATTTTACTTTTCAAATTACAATAAAAACATTAATATTGAAAAGTAAAAGTAACGTGTGTAGTAGACTTGTATATACGTATTCAACAGTTTTTGTGCGTCAAAAATCGTAATTTAGGCCATAAACAATCATAATATCAGTTAAAAAACAATTTATAAAAAACTTCTAAAAAGTCAAAAAAAAATTTTTGTTTTTTATACACGTTTTGAAGCTACAATACTTTTGTATCATTGCTTTTCGACTTCAATGCACGTAAATTCCATCGCATAACGTGTCACCCGCAGTTTGCAGTTTTTCCCGCGACTTTTTCGTTTCGAAATCGAAACTTCTCGTCAAATTTCTTCAAAATTCTAGCGATTTATCCCGAAAACACTGTTTATAGCATTGATAACGATTTTTGTACATAATTTTTCACTTAATGGAGGAATCAAAGTAAGTTTAAACATCAATTCTGTGCAATATATTGTTTTAGATTCATTCTCCCGGAAGAATACGAATTCTTGGTGGATTTGCCGCAAATTGATGCCAGTGTTATTCAAGGAAATGAGGTAAAGGTTTTCTTATTGGTTTTTTTTTATGTTTTTAGGCTTGTATTGAAGGGATTTGAGTTGAATTTGAGGGAAAAAGAAATGTTATAGTAGGTTATGGCTAAAGTTGAAGGTTTTTGATGAAAATGAAGGTTTTTGCGGGTAAAACAAGGTTTTTTTTGCATAGAATAGGTAGTTGCGTCTTGGGCAAAAAATTTTACAACGAATTTAAAAAAAAAATTTTGGGTAACAACTTTTTTCAGAAATTATTGCAAGTCTTCTCACGTGTACCTAAAAAGCTTCGTCACTTCGTCGAGCGCAATTTGGCTGTGATTTCCTTGAATTTTGCTAAAGATTATATTGAATTCAGGAATCCCATCTTTCTTGGTGCTGTTACGAAACGTGTTGATGTTTACTATGTGAATCGAACAAGACCCAAGTTTTTAGTTGTTCTGAAACTTCCGAAAGAACAATGGGATGCTAGTTATGTTCCTGTGGCTGTGAATGACTTTGTGAACATTGAACGGAATGTGAAGTTGATGGCAACGGTAAGGTTTTGGCTCTTTTTCGTTTTTTAGGTAACAAGAATTTGATTTTGGGCGAAAACATGGGTAACAATTGGATCTTTGTTTTATTATGGAGCAAAAGATGAAGATTTCTTTGATTTTTAGGTTTTTTTTATTTTTTTTGGAATTTTAGGTAACATATTTCTTCTTTTTGTTATCTAAATACTATTTTTTTTCTCATTTGACTTATTTTTAGGGCAGGGTCTATAGTGTTAGTGATAGTGAGATTGAAATCAGAGGAGATTGGAGATGCGATATTAAACTGCCAGAAGAAAATGATACTGTTGACCTCTACAAGCATCTAATCGATTTCGTGCCAAAAGCTGTCCAAACGGCGATCAAGCGGATTAAGAAAGGAGAACTGAACAACATCATTTTACCTCAACCGGAATTGGGAAAAGTAGGGTTTTTTGAAATAGAAATGAGGAACAGGCTGAGCCTAAGTGTTAGGCCCGGCTCGATCTTAACAAAAGGAATGAAAACAGTTTTATTTTTAGATATCCAGCTTTCACAAAGGCCATGCGTTCACTTTGATCAAGTACGTCGATGAAAATCCGGAACTTTCGTTTCTCAACAATGAACAACTTCAAGCAGTCTATGTTATCGATAAAGTTCTTCACAAGCCATGTCCTTTTGTACTGTTTGGACCACCTGGAACGGGAAAGACGGTCACAATTGTGACGGCAGTTCGACAGGTCATAAAAGATGCGCAACATAACGTCTTGATCTGTACTCCTTCCAATACTGCGGCCGACCGTGTGGCAAAGGAGCTTCTGAAGTATGTAACGGAGACTGGACCGCTGACAAGGAGGAATGTGGTCAGATATGTGTCACCTTCACAGGACTTTGATAAGAGGGACAAGACTTTGGATCTGATTGCGTGAGTTTGATTTGAAGTAAAAATTTTTTTGATTTGTGAGGTTTAAAGGTTTTTGAAAGTTGAAAATAAACAAAAATCACTTTTGATATATTCAGAAACGTCAAAGAAGATGGATACAACATGAAGATAGACTTTACTGAGTACCGAATAATCATTTGCACCTTGGCCACATCAGCTCGGCTTGTTGGCAATTACTTCAGTCATCTTATCATAGACGAAGCAGGACAAGCCAACGAATGCGAATTATGGATTCCGATCGGGTGTTGCGCGACCAGTGCTTCTTCTGTCATTTTCTGTGGTGATCCGAAACAGCTGGGACCTGTGAACATGTTGAACTTGCCAAAGAGCTTGTCTGGACACATGGAATGCCCATTGATAAGATACTTGACCCTACCTGAATACAGCACATTGAAGTGGGTTTATGTTTGGTTTTTGTGGGTTTTGGACTGGTTTTGAGATTCAAAAGGCTGGGCAGGTGTAATTTTAAAATTTTTTGAAGTTTAAAATAAAAAATTTAAAAAAATTTTGAATTAAATTTTTTATTTAGTGGTCAATGTACTACAATAGGCGCGACTAACGTACTGTATATAATAAAAATAGATATTTTGTAATTTTTGTTTATAAATGGTATTTTAGACAGTACTGTGTCCAGCTCGTCGAGTGCTTCAGATGCCACAAGGATATTGTGAGTATTGCATCGGAACTGTTTTACGGTGGCAATTTGGAGAATTCTGGAGATCAGAAATGGAAAGAAACGTTGTGTGTCGATGACAATTGGATCAGAAGGGTAATTTTGTTAGTATTTGACACTTTAGCGGCATTTTTCGAAATTTTTTGAGATTTTTTAAAATTTTATGACATTTTTTGAGATTTTGTGACATTTCTTATTAGATGTTAAAATTTTGTGACATTCACTTGAAATTATAAGTTTTTACGACATTTTCATCAATTCCAGGGCCGTTCCATTCTGTTCGTGAACGTGGACGACGAACAGCACATCCAAGACCCGAATGGCAGCTCTTTTGGCAACAAAGCCGAAGCCATGGTCGTTTTCAAATTCATCAAACTTGTACATGCAAAACTGGGCGTAGATTTCAAAAACATTGGTGTAGTATCCCCGTACAAGTATCATTCGAAACTGATTCGAGAGTTGGTCATCAAAAAATTTGGCAAACAGGTTTTGAACGATTTGACTGTGGATTCGGTAGAGAGATTCCAGGGAAACGAAAGAGAAGTGATCATTATGTCAACGGCCAGAACTGAAGGCAACGGATTTCTGTTTTGCAATCTGGTAGGTATTGTGTGTGGGACTGGGTTGTTTTTTGGTTTATTTTTTGGCGGGGGGGGTGGTGAGGTAAAACGTTTTTTTTAAATGTTGATGTTAAAAATAGGAGAGGGATGGCATTTTTTGGATTTAAAAAAAATTGTTTGAAGGGCTGATTTGTCTGTTTTCTCAACCGTAGAGGCAAATTCTAGAGTAAAAAAAAGTAAAACGAAATTTTAAATATACTTGTCTTACGTGCAAACTTCAGGTATAAAAACGGAATTTTTTCAAAATATTTTTTTATTTTAACACTTTGAACATACTTTTGGTTTCACAGTAAGTAAGTAATATCAATGTTTTCAGCGTTTGAACACGGCTATAACCAGAGCTCAAAGACTGCTGATTGTCGTTGGGAACCGAAGTTTATTGGAGAAACATCGAAATTGGAAAAGGTAGGTTGTGGAAGGTTAGAATATAGGGTGGAATAGGGTAGGCTAAAGTAGGTTAAAAGTAGGTTAATGGTATAATGGAATAAATATGGTAATGCAGTAGATTAGAATAAAGTGGAGTAGAGTAGTGTAAGGAAAGGCAGGATAGTATAGAACATGATAGGTTAAGATAACGTTAGATAAAGTAGGGTGAACTAACATAGGGTAGATTTGGGCAGATCTAGTGGGTAGAATAGGGCAGGGTAGTGTAAGATAGGGTAACGTAGTCTAAAGTAGATTAGGGTAAAGTGGGAGTAGATAGGGTAAGGGAAGGTGGAGTAAAGCGAGGTTTTAATGTTGGAAAATGTGTGTTATTTTGCCATCGATTCATAACGTTAGTTACTTTCTAGATTCATTGATTTTGTCGAAGAAAAGAAAGGCTACTGCAACTCATGTCCGATCAAACGAATTGTCAGGAAAGGAGAAGATAAATTCGAAAGTTGTGCTATTTCTATTGAAGAGACAACTAAGGATGAACCAGCCAAGAAAGAACTACCGAATCCAGAAGAAGAACCAAAAAAGAATGACAAAATGCTCAAATCGGAAAATGGTTTTATGTGTGTGGACAAGCTGTTCACGAACTTTGGGGGCTGGCCAAAGACGAAGCCACGAAAGTTCATTGATGATTTCGGACCAAAATTGACACCGCTTCAGAGGATACTCAAGAACGAAGGGTACACGATGGAGTACATGAGCAGTGGGACCAAAGTCACTCTAACCGAACGGCCAAAATATAGGAAGCGCTAGAATGATATTAGTTCTCGGGTGGTATACGGTTTGATTTTTGAATGATATAGGTCACTTTTGTCACATTTGTTGTTACTGATGGGATAGATACGTCTGTGGAACCGGGTCGGGGTGCTATCTTTATATGAGACATATTGCCATGTTTCATATAATTTTGGCCAAGATATGTGATACTAATGTACAATTTTTATATTTTTTGTTAATTTTCCTTTGCTTTTTATCCTAATTATGATGGCTTTACTTTGTTTTTTGCCATTTTTTGTGATTCTTTTGCAGTTTCTGGTCTTATTTGTGATGTTTTCCTTTACTCGTTCTCATCTATGATGTTTTTTCTCATATTTTTTATATTTTGTTGTGTCCTGCTAAGATAATATCAATTGTACATTGTTATTTCGTGATGTCATAGCGATTTTCGTCTATTTTTTGTATTTTGTTAATACTTTTCAACTATGGTAGAGTGTTCTAAATGGTATTTATTGGTCTTTTTGGTGTCTTTTATTCGGTTTTTTCCTTTATTTATAATAAGTTAGAATAAACGTTTTATGGCCAATTGAACTTTCAAAAGTCTTCCGGAAGGAGGAATTATATGTGTTATGGCACTTATTACCTATATTTTTAACTAACTTTATTTTAGGTCAAGTTTATATGGTTTTTGGATGGTATTGTGGAATGCTATTCGAAATTGGTTTTTTTTGTGACAAATTTTTTGTTGGAAATTAGGTAACACTTTTTGTATTTTTCTTTTCTGTTTCCTATTTTCGTATAAATAATTATGTATTTTTTTTAATTTATCATGAGTTTGTATTCGATCTTATGCCAACTGTCTTTTTTACTTTATTTATCTTGAGGTATAGTATTGTTATTATTGTTGAGGTATGGTGTTAAATAAGTAATTATAATATGAGGTTTGTACGGTTATTAAATACAATTTAGTTGTTGAATGACTACATTAATTAGATTGAGGTATAATATAGTTATTTGAGGTACAATAGTTGATATTAAATAGACTAGAGATCAAAGGTAATATATAGTTTGAGGTACAATATTTGATAGTAAGTAATCTAAAGATCAAGTATAATATTCACAGATTAGTAAGTTTTCTATTAATAGAAGTTTCCCCATTCAAAATCGTCTTCATAGTAATACTGTGGAGATGTTTGTGGGCTCGGTTGAGGGTCCTTTTCAGCTGGCTCTTCGATTGGTGGCGCATCGATTAGTGGATTCTGTGCCAACAGTGGATCTGCGTTCTGTGGCACCGGTTCAATATCCTGCGATGTGATTTGGATCGGCGTTTGGAAGAATTCGTTAAAGAAAGCCACGTCATTGTTTTCATTAAATTCGTGGGTTTCTTTGTGTCTGGTCGTGGCAAATGTGTTGTTATATAATGGGCTGTATGCGCGCTGCTCCATTTGGCCGGCTTCTACTGGGTTGGGCACACTTTGGCTATAATAAACCGGTGGGTAGCTTGTTGCTTGAGTTGAAGTGCCGTATTGACACCAGTTTTGCTCATAGAAGCTAGTATTGGCCGATGGTTGGTTGTAGGTGTTGTTCGGAGCCATTGATTGTTCATAGTATGACCCCGTATTCGCTTGACTGTAGTAAGGCTCATAACTCCTAGCCGGCTGGTTCCAATAGCCTTGGCTTGTACCAGCCGGCTGGTAGTCTGCCTGAGCCTTACTGTAGAAGCCGGCTTGACCTTCATGTACTGGCTGATTTGGTTCGGCTGGTGCTATATACTGGGCTGGTCCGGTTTGGCTTAAGTAGATGTCCTGGGCAGGTTCATTAAATTGTGTGTTTGTAAGTGGCCTCAGGGCACGCCCATCATTGACCTTCTTAGCTGCTACGCCACCTTCATCTGCCATACGCCGCTTGGTTCTTCGGCTGGTTGTTGGGCCGGTTTCAGAATCTTCGCCAGCCGGCTTTTTGACACAGTCGGCCACATATTGACTGATCAATGCCTCAATTTCTTCAGGATACACTGGGATAAAGGCGTCCGTGTCTTGCTGGTATGGCGCGTTTGGATTTGGCATTTTCATCGTTCTGTTCTTTGACTTAAACGCTGTCGTTTTATTTTCCAATTCATATTCAACTGGCAGCTGAGTTGGCATTCTTTCTTCTATCATTTTGTCTGCAAAATACAATCTTACAATGTTTTTTTATTATATTGGGTTATTTACTTGTTTATTCATTTATTTGCTACTAAAATGGTTTTTTTATTGTCTTTTTGTTTTGATGTTTGTTACTATAGTAGTTGTTTAAATTTAAGTGCATTAACTGACGAATAGCCCGCTTCTTTTTGTTATTCTCGTCCTTAGGAACATATTCAAACAAATCCTTAGCTCTGGGGACACAACCATCGGTGTGGTACAACATCCCAGCGCTAATTTGCAACCGGTCAATTTCCGGATTATACTGCACGGTGAATGTAAACTGGCATTTTCTTCCATCTTCAATGTTCTTTTTCGTTACCCTCTTATTGTAAAGAGCCTCTCCGGTACGACTGTCATACCTCTTGATCACTTCATGATTAGGGCACTTGTAGACCAGCCTGTCGAACACAAATCGCCGGCAGGTTTCGTCCGAAAAGTTAACCTTTTTGTTGGTTTTCAAAAAGTTGGAACTGCTTCTTAGCAGATGGACTCTGGCGGCCATCTCGTAACGGATCAACGCATGAACCAGGTCATCGTACCTATAAACGATAAAATTGTACTATTTGTTGTTATTTATGCGGTTTAGCTTAATTTGAGGTAAAAAGCTGTTTTATGGTTTATATTTGTTAGTGTTTATTTGATGCAAAAAGAACGGCGTGTTTAAAAGTCTAGTTAATTTTTATTGTTATTTTTGTCTAATTTATAAAAACGCCATCCTTTGTGCTTCGATATATGTACTGTATTACCGTTATTTATTTTGTTTAATATCAGACTAGTGTATCTTATCTGATAGCTGTTCTAACTGTCAAATGTTAAGACGTTTCTAAAACTTACGACTTGAAGGTGCTGTCTTTTTGGATCCTGCAACCGAAGTTGTCAGCAAACTTGCATCCCCACTGATTTTGTTCGAGTGGGTTTTTCTTGTAGGTTGAGGGCTTCTGGTGTTGCATTTTTGTAAGTTTTTGAAAAACTTTAAAGCGTGAATAGATCGTAATCTAAAAATTATTTTAATTTATTACATGGTTTATTTTTATACGAGTATTGTAGCCTTGCGCGAAAAATCACGTATTTGAGGATGACGACGAGTTACGGTGTGAACGGAACACTAAAGATTGGGTAGTTGGGGTCAGACAGTGTACTTTTATCAAAACGTGGGAAATATTGTTATATTTTAAAGGCGTAGAAGCGTAGTTTTTTAAAATACGGTTATGTTATTGATAGGCGGCATAGCACGGTAATTGTGGGCACGATGCATCACGGTAACAGAGTAGCACGAAGAATCAAGAAGTGAAAATGTATTTTTGTGAATAAGACTTTTTATCACTTATTAAAACCATTTTTTTTATAAATAACGTGCAAGTTTAATTTGCGATAGTATGATGTGGTACAGTAATAAAAATACTCTGCCATATGTACTATTGCAGATATACAGTCGGATTTCTCGTATTTTAATATGAAATGCAAAATTGTTAAAATTTATTGTTTTTACATATGGATTCACAGAAAAAATTTAAAATTATATTATAGACCATAATACAGTATACAACGACTTGTCACGTAATTTGAAGCACGGTAGGGTGAATAAGTAAAGGTTGATTTTATCAAAATAGCTTGTGAATTGATCAAAGGAGTGTATAGTGTTTATATCGAAGTATATAAAGATTGGAGATTTAGAGCCACGCGATAGTTGATACCTTTGCCGCGTAATTAATGCTCTAGGCATAAACTTTGCCGCGCATTTAATGCTCATGGTATATACATATAGAAAGTCGGGTTATAGTTTTATTGATTTTGTGGTATTGGCTTTAATTTTATAGAAAAATGATCTAACAAATATAAAAATGACAAAACACGTTATGTTATTGTAATTGCTAAATTAACTGACCAGGCAAACAGCTGGTTAAGATAATGGTATATTTATAAAAAATAATATAAAAATTTTTATACAGTGTCGATAAGTTGTTTTTGGAATTATTGTATTATCCAATTTGGATACATGTTAAAATTATAATATCAAAATATTACAAAGTAAGCTACCCCAAAGTTTCTAACTATCCACAAATTTTTTAACTAAACATAATAAACATCTCTACAGTACCCTAAAAAGTCTCATACTAGTACTAAAAAAAGTCATAGAAACCACCAAATGTACTATCATTACATATAATCACTACTTACTACTACATTGAGTCCTAAACAATTTATTATGCTTTATACACTTAAAATATAACCCCAAAAACCCGCTATGATTCACAACAAAAGAAGCCAGTCTAATAACCTATGAGCTAAAATAGCATGCCCAACCATCCTCTAATAGAGCAGGTAGTACGAATGAAACCCTGTATTAAGAAAAGGGATCAAAAAATGCCAGAGGATCATCTTATCGATTACGCAATAACTTCGAGGTCGATCCTTAAGCTTAAATTATAGCTAAACTTCAAATTTTGTACTTCCGACCTGTGCTTCTTTACCTCGAGGCACTTGTTTCATAATTTTGATAATTTCAAATGTTTGAGTTTATAATAGTAAATTAAATACAGTGTAAAACGATCCCTTATACAGGAGTTTACTGTACTTTTTATCTATATGTTATAGTACGAACATAGTAAAGAGAATTACTGTTACAATAATAATCAAAATTGTATTAAATTTTTATATTGGCACAAAGATACAGAACCTAACATATATAACATTATGAGTAAAGTTTACCGATAATCCTTGCAAAAGATATGGTGAGTTAAAAACTTAATTTATACTTATTACTGTACTCTAATACGTAAATATTAAGTAGTTATACGATATTGTTAAATAAATCAATATACTAGATTAAACACTCGTTACTACCTTGACTTCACGAACTTAAAACCTCCTTTTGTACGAGAGCTACTACTAGCATATAAACTTAAATTCCAGTAATATTATAACATATATAACATCTTAAAACCTCCCCCCCCCCATCGCTACCCAAAAATAATTCTAGCAAACCCTTGAATTTGTATGACCAACGTTAAGAATATGTATGACCATCAGAGTAAAAACAGTACCGACCATCCGGCACCCAGTCAGATACCACGAATAAAACGATATATTGAGAAAATAGATCAGAAAAAGAAGAAGAAGAATCTTATTTTGTTATGTAATAACACTAAAGTCGATGTTAGGCTTGATATTAATACCGGGTCAAGCTTTAGAATTTTTTTACCCAAAAAATTTAAACTTGCCAAATTACCTCGAGGCATCTTTTGCACACCTGGTTGACTAAATTAGAATTTTAAGCTTCGACATTTTTTTAACGAATGGTTTATACAGTATCTAACAAAATTTAGCTAAATGTGGTTTTACATAGTATTGTTACAAAAGGTTTAAAATACAGGACGAAAAAAATTTTGTACTGTCATATAAATGGCAAAAAATAAAACAAATCAGTTTCAAAGCTCGTGGTAAATCTCAAAACTATATTAAACACCCTAGTATTATACAAAAATCGTCTTTTGGACTTAAATTACTAATAAAGTATAAATATAAACCCAAGTAATAATATAATACAACATATACCAAACCTATGAAAACTCCTAAAAACCCATAACTTCTCATAATCAGTACAATAGTTTTACATACTACGAGTAACAGAAGCTTGTCCGACCACCCAGTACCTAGTCAGATACTATGACTGAATTTTTTTAGAATGAGAACCAAACAATCCGGAGGATCTTAGCTTGTTGCACAATAACACCGAGGTCAACCCTTAGGCTCATATCACCGGAAAAATTTAAATTTTTATAGCTTGCTTGCGGTTAATTACCTCGAGACACCTTTCACTGACCTAAGAGGTTAAATTACAATTTTAAGCGTAGGCACGGCAGGGCAGGGCAAGGCAGGGCAGGGCAGGGCTTTAAAAATCTGTATCAGTTGCTACTGTAACTGTATTCCTAGTCGAGTTACAGTAATGTAAAGTTTACCTTGCTATATAATACATGATGAATATACGATCGAGTACCACAACAAAATTCTTTGTAATTTATTGTCGCAAAACCAACATATAATGTCATTTTTGATGGGCTTTCAGAAACTGTATCGATTGCTACTGTAACTGTATTACTCGTCGAGTTACAGTAATGTAAAGTTTACCTTGCTATATAATATATGATGAATATACGATCGAGTACCACAAAAAAATTCTTTATAAGTTATAGTCGCAAAACCAACATACAATGTCATTTTTGATGGGCTTTCGAAATCTGTTTCAACTGCAATTGTAACCGTATTACTCGTCGAGTTACAGTAATGTAAATATTTCCTTGCTATATTATACATGATGAATATACGATCGAGTACCACAACAAAATTCTTTGTAATTTATTGTCGTAAACCCAACATATAATGTCATTTTTGATGGGCTTTCAGAAACTGTATCAATTGCTACTGTAACTGTATTACTCGTCAAGTTACAGTAATGTAAATATCGCCTTGCTATATAATACATGATGAATATACGATCGAGTACCACAACAAAATTCTTTGTAATTTATTGTCGCAAAACCAACATATAATGTCATTTTTGATGGGCTTTTAGAAACTGTATCGATTGCTACTGTAACTGTATTACTCGTTGATACAGTAATGTAAAGTTTACCTTGCTATATAATACATGATGAATATACGATCGAGTACCACAACAAAATTCTTTGTAATTTATTGTCGCAAAACCAACATATTATGTCATTTTTAATATAATATTCTACAGGTTATTGGCACAGAATACTGATATTATCCCGGTTTTGCATTCACGGATGTCTGAAGAAGCCAAAATTCACGGGCGATTCCATTTTCTCCTCTGCAGGTTGTGAAAAAGTTGGTCGACCTGCGTCCAAAATCCTTTAATTTTTATTTTTGGCGAAGAAAAACGGAGAAAGCTGGTTGAGCATGATGTACAAGTCATGTTGATTTTGAAGCTCAACTAAATTATTTTTGTTTATTTTGTTCTTTTGGGTTTAAATTATAATTTCTGGTAATTTTTTGTGTTAGAATATTAAGTTTGCTTTTCATCAAATTTTTATGTACGTTTTTGACGGATTTTTGTGAAATGTAAATTTTAGGTATATTTTTGACCATTTTGAGTTTATAATTTTATATGGGTTTTGTTTTTAAAGTTGAGAATATTTTGTGCAATTCCCTAGTAATATCTATTGTAAGTTCTTGTTTATATTCTATATTTTTTGTCCTATTTTTTCTAAAATGCCAAAAATTTTTTTTGTTTTTATTATTTGGTTTTATTTTTTATAGATAATATAGTTATAAAAAATTGAGGAAGACTATTGACAATATGAGATCAACTGGTTATTATGTAGGAATATAGGTATTAAATGGATTATTTACATTATTGTGAGGTATTGTATAAAAATATGAGATACAATGATAGATATTACGTGATATATAATTTAAGATTTACTGCTACGTATTAAGTTACAAACGATTTAGATGAACCTCATTGCTGCGGCAAGGATGTCTTCTTCACCTTCATTCTCTTCTTCAGTTGTTTCTGTCTGTCGTGCTTCTTCTGGAGCCGGCGCAGATTCTTGCTCATTTTCGATAATTGGCTGCTGAATAGGTTGAACAGCGGCCTCAACTTCTTGGACGGGTGGCAATGCTTGAGCTTTTTGATATATTACGTGAAGCGGCTGTTCTATTAACGGTTCGGCAAGGTTGTTTTCTTGATCATTTTCATCGAATAGGCCGCTAGCCATCCTTGCGATATACTCGTCAGAAAATTCGGCGAACATGTCGTCTTCAGGTCGGATGAAGAAACCCGGTTGAGCAATAGGGCCGGTAGCAACAGGATTCTCGATTGTTTGGCTGTAGCACTGTGGCGGTTGGCACGCTTTTTGACCAAACGTTCTGTATTGGCAAAAGTTTGGTTCAAAGATGTTCATGTCGGCCCCTGATTGGTCATATCCGTTGCCTGAAGCCTCAGATTGGTCATAATATAGTTCTGTAGCAGACGGGGAATAGTAGTGCTCATAACCGCCGACCGGTTGGTGCCAATAGTTTTGGCTTAGATAAGCCGGCTGGCAGTAGGCTTGGTGTTGGCCGTAGGTTTGGGCCCGGTCTTGAACTACTTGTTGAGTCGGTAGAACATGGCCTTCAAACATCACAGGATCCGGTTGGAACGCGTAGCTAACGGCTTCGCCTAGTTCAGCGTCTTCAGAATTCATACCTGGCCTCAGGCCACGCCCATCATTGGCCCTTTTAGCCGCTACTCCGTCTTCATTGGCCATACGCCGCTTGGTTCCGCGGCTAGTTGATGGGCCGGCTTCTGATGTTTCGCCCACTGGCTTCTTGATGCAGTCGTTTACGTACCGGCTGATTAAAGCTTCGACTTCATCACAGTACGGTTCTGTACGCACGTCCGAGTCTTGTGAGATTGGGACATTGGCGTTTGGCATCCACAACGTTCTGTTCTTACTTCTAAATGCTTCTGTTTTTTCTTTGTAATTATAAAGGACAGGAAGTTGAGTCGGTTGTAGTTCTTCGATCTTGTTGTCTAAAAGTTATAATTTTAGTATTTTGTTTGCATTGGATTACATATTTTAGATAATAATTGTTGTTTTATATTACTAAATTACTTTTTTGATTAATTATTTATGGTAATTTCGTAAAATGATAAACAGAGTAGTAACTTACGAATCGCTCTTTTCTTTTTATTATTTTCGTCCTTAGGCACATATTCGAATAAGCCGTTCACGGAGGGATTACATCTGCCGGTGTGATAAAGCTTCCCTGCGCTGATTTGCAGCCGATTGATTTCTGGGTTATACTGTACTGTGAACGTGAATTCACATTTTCTTGGGTCTTCGATGTTCCTTTTTGTCACTCTTTTGTTATACAGCGCTTCTCCTGTTTGGCTATCAAATCTTTTTGTAACTTCGTGGTTGGGGCACTTAAAGACAATTCTATCGAACACAAACTGGCGGCAAGTTTCTTCTGGGAAGGCAACTTTTTTGTTCGCTTTTAAGAAATTGGAGCTATTTCTCAAAAGATGGACTCTGGCTTTCATTTCATACTTGATGATGGCGTGCACCAGATGATCGTACCTAAAAACGATGGAGATGTAAATGTGTTACTATTTTGATTAAATATATTGTTTTATTATTATATTTTTAGCTTTTATAACTTTATCTTGATTTTATTGAAAAATGTTATTTATTTGCTTTAGTTTGGTTACTTTATCGCTATTGTACCTTATAATTGTTAAGGGTTACTAGTTTGTATGTTCTTGTAATCAATCTTCTATAAAACTTACGATCTGAAAGTGCTTTCTTTTTTAATGCCGCATTCATCATTGCCGGGGAAGATGAAGCCATCCTGATCATTGCGGACAAGAGGTTGCTTCTGGTAGGTGTTTGGCTTTTGGTATTTTTGGCCTTGCATTGTTGTAGTTTTTGAAAAACTTTTTAAAGCGGGGTAAGATTGAAATCTAAAAAATTTTAATATATTGTAAATGATTTAATATTTATCACGAGTGTCGTTGAAACAATCACGATTAAAAGAGGTAACGACTAAGCACGGTGAGTACGGAGCGCGAGAGGTCAACAATTAGGGATATGGAAGGTACGTTTAAAAAAGTTTGATAATTTTGTCATTTTTTCTTGAAAACATAATGGAAATTGTTAAGGCACTGTTACTGTATCGTAAAACAGTTAAAAGTACAGTAATATGAGATAGGATGAAGCACGGTGATGAGAAAGGGCATTTATTCACGACGTTTGGTAATTTTATAATTATTACGATAATCATGACATTATTTGTTGACTGTGACATTTTTTACATAAATAAGTTATTTACTGTGCAATCTTACAATTTAGAATAGCAGTAGAGCACGATAATGGGAGATGTGATTTACAGGGTTATTACAAGAGGGAATTCCAATTTTATTACAATTTTTAAAAAGTTAAGAAGTTAGACAAGGTGAGGTGATTTTAAAAAGATTATGGTGTAAATTGCAATTTTCTGATCAGTTATGATTTTACTTTTATTAATTAAGATTTAAGCTTACTGTAGAATAGGGTAATACAGTAGTAATAACAAACAAGGTACTTTATGTGATATACAATAAATCACGATGAACGCAGCTTGTCAACGTTGTGATTAATTAACAAAAAAAACTATATTTTCATTTGAATTTGTTTTAAGCACGGTACGGTCGTTCACAAACTATGAAATAAGGTACGAAGATTATAAATTATATACTTTTTATTGATTTGACAGTGTGGCGACTGCTTTTTTATAAAAAAGGTGAGTTTAGCCAATGGGAGTAGAGAACGACACGGTAGTTTAAAACGCCGACAAATAAAATATAAAAGTTACAGTGCAGTTTATTAATAGTTAATACAGTGTTTAGTTGCCAAGATTTAAGTGAAGAATTATTATATATATGTATATAATATTGACAATGAAGACAAAATTAATTTATTTAAATATAACAGCGTTATATTGTAATAAATACCCTCAAAATGTATCACATTTATAGTATTAAGTTGTTCCAGAAAGAATGGCCGATTTAAAACATAAATTTTTCGCCAAAATCGACCATCCTTTTTGGAACAACCTAATATCATATCCAAGCTATAGCAAGTTATTAATGAACTAATTAAAACCCCAATGAAAGAATCCCAACTTTATAAAATAAACAAAACGTAATACTAAACACAATGGTATTCGTACGTAGTAGGCAAATATGGAAATGTTAATGAAAACTAACTTCCAGCCGCCCACCACCGATGCAGATGCTAAAAGTAAAGATAGATTTAGATGGAAATGATCCAGAAAAAAATTTGGATTACGTAATGATAAGAAGGTTGACCCTTAAGCTCTTAATTTAAAAAATCATAGCTTATTACCTCGGGGTAGCCTGAGCACACATTTTTTGAATTATCTTGGATTTTTGGCTTGAAAAGGTTTAAAAACAGAAACTTTTGTCGTTAGGATGATAACAAACCTTGCTGTTTTATATACATGGTACAGTAATTCCATCTAATGGTAACACAAAAAACTACGGTAATTCATAACCAACGAATGACAGGTTAGACAAAACAATATTTTTACATTTCTAATACGCTGATGACAACAGTAAAAACAATTGTTAAGCTATAAACTACAGTAGTGAATATGAATGACACTTGAAAGCTATATACGATATGAGTCACAGTTAATTTTTAGTGTTTAAAAGGAAACTTGATATAATTAACGACATGGTTTGATAACCTATCAAGATGTTGAAAATCAAGCCTGTATTTTCAAGAAAAATCTTTTACCGTCTATATTAACTATAGTAAAAAAATAAATACACATATAACAAGTATACTACCAAACACCCCAATATAAATCACCCCATCTTCCTTAAATACTACGTATAATAAGTACAATTCGAAAATAGAACAGAACCTTATGAACATGCTAAAAACAATTCATGTCCGACCGTCTGCCACCTGAGTTGATATTATGAATGAACTCAGATTTGAGAAATTCGGATCGGAAACGCCAGAGGATCTTATCAACATCACCTAATAGCAGACCTGCAGATATTAATGTCACTTCCGTTAAAAAATTTGAATTTTACTTATTAACCAGTGCTTGGTTACCCCGAGGCATTATGTGCACACAAATTTGAGAATATGTTTGAACTTAAGATAATAGATCAAAATAGTTTCTAAAGTTGTAAAATAGACTTTGTACCATAATGCTTAAAGAGTTGCAAACAGTACTACAGTACTGTTATAAATGATCAATAGACTAAAGATGAGTTTATACTGTAATAGTCAAAAAAAAATTGTTTTTATATTGAAATAATTTACAGTATTCAAGATTAACATGTTGAACATACTAATAAGAGAATAATATTATAGTACCAATGAGTTACAGTATGAATATAAACATAACTATTTTTTCTTTAATCTTTTGGTTAAAATACGTATATCATAAACTATAAAAACGACTAGTGATAATACAAGGTTGTTCAAATAATTCTGTGCTCCTCTCAATGCAAATTTTGGGGGTTAGAGGGCACAGAATTGTCTAAACAAGCTGATATTATAGTACCAAAAAATTTTAAGTTGTCATGAAATAACGTCACTTATACTGCCACTTATACTACACAAAATCAGCCACAAAATTTTTTAAGTATCCAAAAAGAATTTACAATACCTAAAAATTACTGCTATTCACTGTGCACTAGTCTTAAAGCTTCAGCTATGAAAGTACCAATCGTGACTAAAATACCAAACTTAATGATATAAACTAAAATTGTCATATATATACCATTAAAACCCCTAACTTATCATAACCATAGAAGGTAGTCTATCCATGCCAAGAGTAAAAAAACATGCGCGACTATCCTCCACCGAAGCAAGTACTATAAATGATGCTGCATTTTGATGAATATGAACAGGAAAAGACTCCGAATCTTATCGAGATTACGGAATAATACATGTTTGATCCTTAGGGTTTTATTATACGATAAATGAAAACTTTTGTTGTCACCTGTGTTTTTATTACCTCAAGGCATTCCTCGAAAATTTTTTCAAATTAGATGAGATTTTTGAATTGAGACCAGTGTTTTTGAAAAAGTAAATCATAGTTTTTATCAAAATGCGATTATCTAAAGCAAAAAATAGCATAATTATTTAAAATGAAATTATTATGCAATGCCGAAGTTACAGTACAATGCATGTATGGTAAAATGGAATAATTACAAGTCCATATATTGGCATAAATATTTTTAAAAAGATTAAACATTCAGTAATATTACACATATAATATTCAAATAAAAGTTGATTTATAGTACTAACAAACAAAAAATTTGAAAAAATAAACAAAATAATAGTAACTGCTTCTACAACACCATAACAACCTCTTAAAAGTACCAAAAAGGACAGATCACCTAAAATTATTGCTTATAATTAATTCTTACAACTATAATATTACTTATTTTTACTAATTACTACTACGACAACTACTAAAACAGTTATCATAACTTATTATTTATGATTCAAAAGTAAACTCCCAAAATAACCCTAGAAACCCATTATTAGCCACGACATCAATAGTAGGTAGTCTAGGCTTGCTATAAGCAAAACAAACATGCCCAACGACCCTCTAATAGAGCAGGTAGTACGAATGAAACCTTGTGTTAGGAAAAACGACTGGAAAATGCCAGAGGATCTTACCTTCTTTATGCAATAATATGTCCTGAGAGATTTTAGGTCTAGAAGAGGGGCCCAATACCACGTTCCTTACTCCAGGACGTGTGTTAAGGCCAACTCTTTTTTTCCTAGATCATTGAGACAACTAAGGGATCAATAGCTATTAAAACGCTCATCACTGTACTGTCATTTATCTTTAAAAATTTATATTTTATATTATATTTATTTATGTTACATTATGACTGTACGAGTGAATTTTTGAAAATAAATAAATAAATAAATATCAAGCTCAATCCTTACCCATAAATTATAGGAAAAATTCAAATTTGCATTTCCTGCTTGCTTCCTTACCTCGAAGCACTTTTGTCAAAAAGGTTCTGATCAGCAAAAAATTTTAAGATATATGATGATATGATTAGTTGTTAATATTGCTGAGAAAAAAGTTACATAATTTTAAAAGTTTTTTGTTTATGTGTCATTTTGAAGACCTAGAAGATGAAATTTAAAAAAAATTTATACCAGTCGATAAAAAAACTATGAAAAATTTATTTTTATTTCATTTTAGTTCGTTAAGGCTCTTTGAGTTATGATTAAAATACTATAACAGTGCCAATACTTTAAATTGCCATATTTTGGTATCACAAAAAAGGCATACAATTTGTTAAAACACGTTTTTAGCTCAATCTTTTAGGTAGTATACTTAGGTTTTTAATTTTATTGTCTAAATATGCAAATTTCTAAACCTTAAAAATTTTTTTAGAGTACGGTAATTTTTTTTTAAAGTGGTTATTTTGGTATTTAAAGTTATGTTTCTTCAAATTTTATGAATTTATGTTTATTGCTATGTATTTTGCAGTATTATATTTGACAGTGATAACATATTAAATTATAACCGTAGAGTCTGGGTCGTGCACATCCAGACATTTATATATATTATATATTTGTAAAATAAAAGTCAAAGTAACACAAGTACGGATAAGATAAACTTCAGAATATCAACTCCATTGACTTTGAAGTTGATCAAAATATATCTTAGCTTCATCGTCGTACTTCTCGACGGAGGGATTGACTCGGTTGTCGATGTCGATTGAGGTACGAAAGAGGGATCGTAGGTCGGTCAGAAATACTCGTCGTAACGGTCGTAGATACCAAATGGCGTAGGAGCTGGAGTAGAAGTTGTACATGTTGATGAAGATATATTCTAGCTAAACTAAGGTAAGTATAGGTAATACAGGTAGGTATGCGTGTAATATAGTTATATATGTAAGGTAGCGGCCGTTTTCAATATAAATATTAAAATTTTCAAATAATTCTATGCCCCCTCAAAACAAAATTTTTAGGTTTAGAAGGCACAGAATTATTTGAACGACTTAAAGAGAGCACTGAATTATTTAAACAACCTAAAGGAGGCACAGCATTACTTGAACGGCTTAGTATATATCATATGTCAAAGCCTTACATTAGTCAATCCTTGATAGTAGTTACTGTACTTTTGCCATAACCCAAACATAAGGCCATACATGTTGATTGAAACACATATGGTACAAGCCACCACCACCGTCAAGTAGGCTTTGATGATTGGCTGAATGACTGATAATATATTGATCGTCTCTTTGATCTGATAACTCTCGGTCAAAGTCTTCCCGGAGAACTTGTGCTCATTAGCTGTCTTCAATAGGCTTGAGAAGATCTGAAAAGAATGTTTTACATAGTATTATAGGTCGTTCAAATAATTATGTGCCCGAACTCACGTATAGAGTAACTTTTCAGAGTAATTTTTGGCTTAAGGAGCACATAATTAATTAGACAACCTGATACTTGCTTTACTAAACAAAAATACTTTTCATCGTATAACATATCTCCCGCAGCCTGCAGTTTATAAATAGACGTAGTTTTGCATTAGAAATGAGAATTTTATGACATTTTTGGTTAGAGCTGACCATTCTATGACATTTTACTTACCGCGGCGGAATAAAGCCATGAAAATGTGGCAAAAAAGTGGGTTGATATTAACGTTGGCAAGTCGTTTTCAAGCACAAGCGCCCTTATTAGTATACTGTCTACGGGTCGCCCTTCATTGAACTTTAAGAAACACATCACTTTAGTTGTTACAACACACATGGCTAATATTATCTAGAAAGAATTTTTTATTTTAGTTCCTAGCCCTAGCCCAGCCCAGCCCAGCCCAGCCCAGAGCCCCAGCCCATAGGAATAGCCTATTGTCAGTTTTTGTTACCATATATACACTTACCATGCAAATAAACACTTTGACACTAGTATTATCCTTGCTATGTTCGTATGTTGCTCTTGATCGAAACGCAAACCATCTCTCAAACCCAAGTATAAAGTACTTGATATCAAAAATAAAAGTGCATGTTTGGTGAATGTAGGCAATAAAGTAAAATGCTGTAGTTTCGATAAAGTTACCCGTTTGATATGATATGTAATAAGCGGGGGTTAGTGATATGATTGGATGTAAAATAGAGATACCGGCTACGATGAAGTTTGTCACTATCTGAAATGGCATGTTTATATAGTAGGGTAGGGTAGGGTAGGGTAGGGTAGAATAGGGTAGGATAGGGAAGGGTAGGGTAGGGTAGGGTAGGGTAGGCTAGGGTAGGGTAAGGTAGGGTAGGGTAGGGTAGGGTAGGATAGGGTAGGGTAGGGTAGGGTAGGGTAGGGAAGGGTAGGGTAGGGTAGGGTAGGGTAGGGTAGGGTAGGGTAGGGTAGGGTAGGGTAGGGTAGGGTAGAATAGGGTAGGGTAGGGTAGGATAGGATAGGGTAGGATAGGGTAGGGTAGGGTAGGGTAGGGTAGGATAGGGTAGGGTAGGGTAGGGTAGGGTAGGGTAGGGTAGGGTAGGGTAGGGTAGGGTAGGGTAGGGTAGGGTAGGGTAGGGTGGGGTAGGGTAGGGTAGGATAGGGTAGGGTAGGGTAGGGTAGGGTAGGGTAGGGTAGGGTAGGGTAGAGTAGGGTAGGGGTAGGGTAGGGTAGGGTAGGGTAGGGTAGAGTAGGGTAGGGTAGGGTAGGGTAGGGTAGGGTAGGGTAGGGTAGGGTAGGGTAGGGTAGGGTAATGTAGGGTAGGGTAGGGTAGGGTAGGGTAGGGTAGGGTAGGGTAGGGTAGGGTAGGGGTAGGGTAATGTAGGGTAGGGTAGGGGGGTAGGGTAGGGTAGGGTAGGGTAGGGTAGGGTAGGGTAGGGTAGGGTAGGGTAGGGTAGGGTAGGGTAGGGTAGGGTAGGGTAGGGTAGGGTAGGGTAGGGTAGAGTAGAGTAGGATAAAGTAAGTCATGTGATCTACCATAATAATCCTGAAATTGTTGTTAAACGAATGTATGTTGGCAAATCGTACGGCCGAGTATATGTTGATGGCAATGCACGGAAAGCATATGGTCAACTCTATGTAGGGACATACGGCGATGAAGTTGTTCATCACATCTTTCATAGTCGTGATAATCTAAAGCATAGTAAAATAAATTAAAAATAGTAAAAAGTTATGATACTGCAACATAGTACGCTGTACAATATAGTAAATAAAAATATGTAGAGTTGCTGTCCTAATGTACTAATGCCAGTCTTAATTAAATAACAAAGTCAGAAACACCTTTTACTGGCCATAAACGCTGTTTGCAATGAACAACAACCACAGTAACAAAGTTTGACAAGATTATGCATTACTAATTTATTTTTCATGGTCTTTATAAGCAGAGTTCCCTCTTGCTTCAAAGCTAGCTCCGTGGCAGCTCCGACTCCAAAGCCCGGAGCCAAAGTGAAGCCCAAGTTAAAAATATCTAAAGGCCGGCGCGGAGCTTTTTAGTTCTTGGCTTCGGCTCTAACTATAGATTGATAATGTTAGTGGGAGGGAGAAAGGGGGGGGGGGTGAGGTAAGACATGACTATGTTTGAGTATGGTAGGACATGTTATGTCAAAGCAAGGACTGACGCTAGGGGTACGACTTAGAATAAGGCTAGAGCTTTGTGTTAAAGCTCTCGGGCTAGAGTTCTGGTCTAAGGCTCTGAGCTAGAGCTAAACATGAGAAACGGGTCGGGCGGAGTTGGGATTGAGCAAAACAAAAAACAATTCAAGCTTACATACAGGCTCGGCTCAAGAGTTGGGATTGAAAAGCGTAGGCCTAAGGATTTTTTGAGCGGGCTGAGCATGAGAAAAAGGAAAAACAAATCAGCTATAAAATGTTAAGGCCCAGTCCGGTCCAATCCTCATGTTTAGTTAGGGCGAGACCTAGGTCTAAAGCTACGGGTTAGATCAGTGCTAAGTATCTAAAATTAGGGTATATTAAGATAGCCTATGCAAACTGCTTTTTGTAAAGTTATGTTCTAAACTTACATTATATTGACACAAAAGTAACATTTATTATATGAAAGTATAGCAACCAAAACTCAAAAAATAAGAAACGCACTTGTAACAAGAATAGAAATTAGTATTTTAATGAAAAATTAACTATGCGTGCCCTTATTTCATAAGATACGTTGCCCATTTTAAATTTAAATAAAATTAACACGCTATTCGAAACGTATTTGGAAGTTGAATAAAATGTTTTTTTTAGACTATTTTGAAAAAAAAAATAAAATTCCCCGCCCAAAATAATAGAAGTCAAGTTTTTATTGAAAAACCTATGCCTATTCAGAAAAAATAGACACCTACAGCTAACAAATAAAAAAACCTCGTCCGCTCAAAAAAATGAAAACCCACTCCTAAATATTATAGAAAAATAAGAAAATCCATGCCCAATCAGAAAAATGAAAACCCAATTCTAAATAAAAAAATTGAAAACCTATCCCTTGTTAAAGAAATATAAAAGCCACTCCCGCCCAAGAAGAAGAAAATGTACACCTAATAAAGGAACAACCCAGACCCGCTGAGAAAAATTAAAAACCCCCGCCTACATAGAAAAATAAAAAATCACCCCCGCTCAGAAAAAATAAAAACCCACATCAAAATAAAAAAGATAAAAAAACCTACGCCAGCATAGGAAACACGAAACCCTACACTTAATAATTGAAAAACTCAAGTCCAAAAAATAAAATCTAGACTCAAACAGTAATAACAATACAAAATTGAAATACGTTTTCTTGTTAAAGCACAGTATTATTTTTAATAGCACCACTACAAAGATCAGCTTTAACAGTTTGTAAGGTAAATATGGTTAATTGGGCTATTCGTCTCGTTTTTAGTATTTATTTTCTGCTTAACCTTTTTTATTTATAAGCATGAAATTTGTCTAAGTTATTAGTTTTTTATTTTTAATAAGGTCATTTGCGGTCTGCATATTACTGTAACTAAAAATTTTAAACCTTTTTGAAAGCGAAGGAAAGTTGTAAATGTATGGTGGGAAAGTGCTAGGTCTAGAAGCAGAGCTAAGGCTAGGTCTAGAGAGTAGAAAACTGTAGGTAGAGATCAGGCAAAAGCTAGTCTATTTTCGCTCTGAACTTCAAACTTTTTATATGTTAAGATCATGTAAATATAAGATCTTTGGCAAAGTACTAAATCGCGCTTTCCAAGAACTCTCGAGAAAACTGAGATCAAACAACTACGTTTCGAATTTCAAGTTAAGTTGGCATTGCGTTTCAAGCTTATAACTTCGCCAATTTTTGAATTTTAATCATTTTTTAGATATACTAGTAAAATACCTTTAAATAAACCTACATTTTTAAATTTGTAAGTGCAGCTTGGCTAGTCGAAAAAAACTCTTGAAACAAAATGCCAAATTTGCCAAATTGGCAGAAAACCAAAATAATTAAAATATAGAACTAAGCGCGAGCTAAAATTTTTTATAGGTACTGTTGGTAGTACAACGATCCATATAAAAATTTTGAGCTGATTTTGAGTGGGCAAGTCGGGTCCTTTCATTGTAAGTAGGGTAGAGTAAGCATAAAAAAAAGCAATTTTAAAAAATTTTAAGTTTTTAAAAACAGACGGAAGTTTCAAATACTTAAACAAGCAGTAAAAAAGTTGCATGGCATTTCTAATTACCCTAAAATGTGTTAATTCGAACACCCATATCTTGTCATAATCGCAAAGTAATTAAATCTTTCGTACAAAAACATAACGTGCTGTATGTCTGGTGCGAGTGTAAAGTGCGCTGTTGTAAAGTGATAAAACTGGTAGAAACATTTGGTTGAGAAAGTGATTTCTGCTACAGTAAAGTCCTTTTTGTCTTACAGACAACAAGGGTTATTTGGGAAACTCTTGCTAAAGCCAAAAACCAAGGTTAAGCTAGGTTACGACTAATGCTGAAACATATGGCTATGGCTATGGCTAAGAGACTAAAACTAAAGCTAAAGATAAAACTATAGTTAAGCTAAGGGTATAGATCAAGTAACCATGCTAGAATATCCAAACGTTTAAAATGACAACATACATTACATGCACAAAACAACCTTACTACAATATATGTTTATACATTTAAATTGCATGTAATTTACTACAACTATAAAAATACCACAATGTTTTGAAAACCGTAAAATAAAAATATTGTAGTATAATGTTCTAGAAAGCTTTGTACAAGATGTTAATATCATGACTTTGCTTTTTGTTTTTTACTCTCCAATTAATAACATAACTCAATCAAACATTTGTTTACTGTCATATGTAGATGACAAGTAATGTCTTACTTTTTGAATGTTGAGCCTTTGTGCAGTCCGTTTTCGTCATTGCAAATATTATAGATAAACATTAAGGAAGAGAGAAAGGATAGTGCAATATTACGGCTAGACCAAGGTAGAACTAGAGTTGAGTTAAACTTAGGCTACAGAGAAGTAAGATAAGGTGGTGGATAAGCAAACGTAAGATTAGGGTAAAACTATTATAAATAAAGATGGGTCAGCTTTGAGTTGGACTAAAGTAAGTCTATGAGAAGGGCTAAGATAAGGCTCAAGTAGGGTCAAAAAGATAAAGCTATGCTAGGTTAATGTATGAAATGAGTAGAGTATTGTAGCCTAGAGTAGAATACGATAAAGTACTTTCCCACACAGTGACACAATTTTACTACACAACAAAATTCACAGTAAATAACGTTTATTTACAAAACAGTAACTAGCGATAAATAAAGTAAGCACAACTCACCATTTTAAACACTTACTTTGCCAATTGAAAACGTATTTGCAGACATAACTTTTTTGTGTTGCAACCACCTATAAATTACTTTATTAAAAAGAGGTGAACAATGATTTAAAACTTTAAATGACGCAAAATATACTGTTATACATTGGACTTTTTAAGAAGTGTGTATCCGATATTGTAGATATTGTTATTTATATCTGAAAAGAGACACATTAAGCCCATTTCGGCCTTTGCCTAACCCGACCGACTACTTTACCGGTCTATTTATGATAGCGTTACGATAGAGTTAAAAAATAAGTTAGAACATGATTAGTTTAGACTATAGAATGCTTGCGAAACTAGACTTTGGTTGATATAAAGCTAGATTAAATAGAGATAATAAAAAGGCGACGAAGGGTCAAAACTTTGGTCAAGAATTAGAGTTTTGAGCTAAAGCTCTGGGCCACAGCTCTGGGCTAGGACTTTGGGCTAATGCTCCGAGCTACCAAACTTGAGAAAAATCTTAAACTACTTGCAGCGGGGCTAACAGTTCTCTGGCACGCGTTTCAAAGTGGAAGTTAATAATAATTGTCGGGTAATTAAAATTCGTAATGAGAAATCTTTTTATTTTAATTTTTGGTTTAAATTAAGAAGCACGGTGGTCCAAGTGTAATGTTCACAACAATAACATAGCAGGCGGATATCTTTTATTGTAAAACATTGATTTTAAATGGCACTAATTAAAATGAAGTTGGAAGGGCATGCACTTGAGCATGGAACTTACAGGGAAAGCACCCAACCTGCAACTCTCAGAATCAGCTCAAAATTTTTATACGGATTCTTTGTATTATCAATGTACCTATGAAAACATAGCTTGCGCTTTTGAGTTTTAAAATTTAAATATTTAAATTTCCCGCCAATTTGACAAATTTGGCATTGTGTTTCAAGCACTTTTTTCGACTTTCCAGTCAAGCTAAACTTACAAATTTAAAAATGTAGGTTCATCTAAAGGTTTTTTACTAGCATATTAAAGAAAAATGACTAAAAGTCAAAAAATGGCAAAGTTATAAGCTTGAAACACAATGCCAATTTGGCGCGAAATTCAAAACGCGATTTTTCGATCTCGATTTTCTCAAGACTGGCCGCAAACCGCAACTTAGAATTTTGCATAACATCTTACATTTACGTGACCTTTCAATAAAAAAAGTTTGAACGAACTCTGAGCGTTGCAGGTCGGGTACTTTCCTTGTTAGAAGCTAAGGCAAGACCAGGTAAAGGTTACAATAAGAAGCAAGGCAAGGCAAGGCAAGGCAAAAGCTCAATATACATAAACTTAAAAGTTATTTGAAGAAGATATACAAAGTCTTATACTATGTGCAATATAATTTTTACACTAGAATACAGCTTATACAACTACAATTAACCAATAAAAGAATTTATTAACTATTAATTGTAGACATTGTAAAAGAACATCTCTTAATTAACTACCTATATTTATATACAAAACTTTGAGAAGACAATTACCTGAATACCACACACGTCTAATGACACATGTTTCATAATCGTTAGAATAAGTTAAGATACATTACACTATGTTCTTGAAACTACACAAAAACTTCTTACTATGTTTACTATAAGCTTAAGCTTTAGCCTAAACCTGAGCTACCCCGAACCTAATTCTGAATCCAAAAATCATTCTGAGCTTGAGCCTGAGCCTAAGCTTGAGCTTTAACCTGAGCCTGACCCTTAACCTGAGCCTGAACCTGAGCCTAAACCTGAACTGAGCCCAAGCCTAATTCTGAGCCTTAGCTTTACCTAAAAATATATTCTTCATCGTATAACATACCCCGTAGCCTGCTAAAGCCCAAATATTTAATTTTAAACCAAACAATACTCTGTTTAAAGACGAAACCCTACCGAATACTAAAATGTGTAAATGCTTTAATAAATACTGATATTCCAGTCTGAAATGGCTTTGTCCAGTTCAATTCATACCTATTTGCTACGTAGTTACTACAATTTACACATTTTACTGCATTGAATTTTGAAAAAGTCGTTAAGAAGGGTTAACGACATGCAACGGAAGTATAGGAATTTTGGGTTTTAGGCATGTTACTACACTTATATATTGGTAAAAATGGCAAAATAGTTTTTAATTTAGCGCTTTGTTATAGTCAATGTTCTATCTAGTATCATATCCATGTACCATCTAGTATAATATAGTAGTTTCTAATGTGAAACAAAACTGTAAATTAAGTTTACAACTAAAATCTTATTAAAGGCTATCATATATCTGCTTCAAAGTCAAAAAAGAACGTCATTTATACAGATAACCACTTATAAAAACTAAAATAATATGCCTCAAAGCCACTGATTTTGAAGCTGATCAAAGTAGATCTTTGCTTCATCGTCGAACCTCTTGACCGTGGTATCTACTTGATTGTCGATGTCAATAGAACAGTTAAAACATGATCTTAAGTCATTTAGAAACACCTTTCGTAGCGGTCGAAGATACCAAATCATATATGAGCTAGAGTAGAAGTTGTAGGTGTTTATCATTATGTACTCAAACTAAAATTAAAAAAAAATTTTTTTTTAAATGATCTTATTTTACATTTATATCTTTTTAAAGTCCGTTTCTACTCTGCTTTTCATTTTTTTAAATTAAAAATAAAATGTAAAAACACCTTTCATCGTATAATATGGCACGCGCAGCCTGCAGAATAACAATTTTTAAAGAAACAAAGCAAAACAACAAGAGAATGCCATAAAAGTTAATACTCTACCCTACCCTATCCTACCCTACCCTACCCTACCCTACCCTACCCTACCCTACTTTACCCTACCCTACCCTACTCTACCCTGCCCTACACTACCCTAATCTTCTTTTTACTACCTAAACATCAAAATCGAGCCAAAAAATGAACTTACATTAGTTAAGCTCTGATAGTAGATACTACTCATCGACCAGTACCCATAATATATACAGTACAAGTTGACACTAAGAAAGGTGCCACACAGCAACACGAGAGTAATATAAGCCCGTATAATTGGCCCAATAACACTGATTATGTTGATCGTCTCTTTGATCTGATAACTTTCACTTAATGTCTGGGCTCGGAATCTGTTTTCTTCTGCTTGTCTTTCTACTTGTCGGAATATCTGGAATTATTTACATTACTGTAAACATTTTTATAGTTTAGTTTAGTTTACTTTTACTTGTGATTGTCTTGTTAACTGTCATGCCAGTAAAAAAGCTCAAAAATAAATTTTAAAAAAATCAAAATTTTTTGGACACTTCGTTACAACCCCAATAGTGTAAAAAAAGTTTAGGAGAGCTCAAAATGCATTGCAAAATCAAAATAAAGCATTTTAAAAGCCTTTTTAAGTTTTGAGTAAAATCGATAATTTTGTGACATTTCGTCAAAATCACGGAAAAAACCTTATGTACAAAAAAAAAACAAAAAACATCGTTAGTGAAAGTTATTATATTGCTTTTTTAACAATTTTAAAAATCCAATTCTTTTCGTGACATTTTGTCAGTACTACTCAATAATTTTTGTGACATTTCGTTAAAACCACAGACAAAGCCTAATATACTATGAAGAGTAAAAACATTCAAAAACTTCAGTTCTTTTACATTTTTGCTAATTTTAAAAACCCAATAAATATTGTGACACTTCGTGATCTAATAACTTTGTGGCATTTCGTCATAACATATTTTTTGCTAAAAATGACGTAATAAAATTTTAAAATAATTTAAAAAATTTTAAAAAAAATACAAAATATTTTCACTTACTGTCATCGCATACGTCCAACCACTCAACGCCATGACATGAGCTGCTAACAATGTTGGTAGGTCATTATCGACCACAAATGCCTTCTGCAATGTCATATCGACTGTATCATTGTGATGAAATTTAACGTATGATATTATTTTAGCTGTTAGGCCGCAAAAGGCTGTGAAGATCTGAAATTATGGTCACTATAAGTTTTACTGTAAGTCGTATCATAGTTATAGTGTAGTAATATTTTTTTACTGTAGTAACAGTCATGTTAAACATCAAAAAATCTAAACATAGAAGCACCGATCAAAATAACACGAAACCCGTAGACTATAAAGCTCAAAAAACTTACAATACAAAGATATATCTTGATACTAGTACTATCATGGCTATATTCGTATGTTGCTCTTGATTTGAAGGCAAACCATCGCTCGAAGCCAAGAATAAAGAACTTGATATCGAATATGACAACACACCAATGGTGAATAAACGCGATAACATAGAAAGACGTTCCTCGAAAGTAGTACCCATTTTGATATGACACGTACTCTGGAGGTATCATAGTCACTAATGGGTGAAAAAGAGATACTCCTGCTCCAAAGAAGTTTGATATTACCTAAAACAAAAATTTAAAAAAGTTTTACTTCAACCTTAGAATAGCCCAGAGCTTTAGCCCTATCTCAGTTCTATTTAGCAGCCTATTCTTTAGTCCAGGCTAGCTCTGATTTCAACCTGACTTTAGTTTCAGCCTTGACTTAGCTTTAGACTAGCTTTGGCGCTGAGCTTTATTTCTAGCTTCAGCTTAGCCTTAGCGTCAGTTTAATCCTGCCTACAGCCCTACTCTATGTAGCTTCAACCCTAGTGAAGCTTTAGTCTAGTGGTAGCCACAGCTTACCCTTGCCTTCAGTCTAGCCTTAGTATCAGCCTAGCTCTTACATCAGCCTAGCACTAGCTTAATCCAAGCCCTAGCTTTTCCTTAGCCTTAAACTAAGCCAAACTCTAGTTTCAGCCTAGTACTATCTTCAGTTTAGCCTAACTTCAGCCTAGCCTTAGCTCCAGTCTAACCCTAGCATCAACATAACCTTCTTTATCTTTGACTCACCACTTTTTATCGTATATCATGTCATTCTCAGCTTGCAGAGTTTAAAAACCGTATATTTTGATTTAAAAATTCTAAATTCATAATGTTTAAAACTTGCAGATTTAAAAATAAGTTTAAAATCATTTTTATAACCTACTAAATTTATGTTACCCACAGTGTAATTAAACCTTACAAACTTGTATTCTTGAACTCACCATAATAATCCGAAAGTTGTTATTAAATGTGTTCAAATTGGCCAACCGTATTGCGCAATAAATATTGATGATTATACATGGTACACTGATAAACAATTCAATATATGGGCAGAATGATATGAATGAGTCTAGGTATTGGCGGACTGTCATGTAGAGCTGAAATGTTGTTTTATATTAGTATTGCAGTGAGATATAGGTCTAAGATACTGCCTTTTCTACTACTCCCCTCTCCCTTCGTCCTCTTTGTCGCTCTTTTTTGCTTCAGTGAAGAGCTAAGTAAAAATGTACTATCCACAACATCATATTAAAAAACTAAAACATTTTATCAAAATTCACAAAAAGTGCATGGCAAGTTAATTTAAAATGTGCATGTGGCCTCTGAACATGTTTGTAAGGTACAAAAAAGTGTAAAAAATTTCTTAATTTCGCAAAAAGTAAACATAACCAGGAAATAATTGTATAGTTCAAATCAAAAACTGTTCTCTGTTTAGTTCTTACTTATGCAACATTTTATAAAATGACCCCTAAACCAAGAGTATAAACTTAAACAGGCTTTATCCTGAACTTATAGTAGCCCTTCTCACCAAGCTCTATCCGCCCTTGTAAAACGAAACAATTTTCTTTATTTTAATTACACCTCAAGTTCGCAGCATTTTTGCTCTAATATGCCTTTCCGTGTTATGTTTAAGCCCTAGCCTTTGACTAGCTCAATACCTCAGTTTAAAGCTCTAGCATATACTATTGTAATGCTATGATACGTACAGTTGGCATTAGATAACTTGCTATAATGTCCTCTATAGAATACAGTATTATAATGCCAGTGTGCGTCAGCTTACAGTTTATTACAGTTTTAACAGTTATTTTTGTAAAAAAAGACATTTTATGCTTATGTCATTTTGAAAAATGTCATTTTAATAGCCATGGCAGTTAATTAAAGACAAGCTTTAAACAAAAAAAAAATTTTTAAACCATATAAATTCATATCTAAACGTAAAACATCTATAAATTATATACACATAATACACTTTCTCTCCCCACTATTAAAGATTTTTAAAATTATACGCCCTCAGAGTACGTAATTGACTCAGCCAATACCTGTAGCACAGTCTCTACGTACTGAAACCTTTTTAAAGTTTCAGTTAAATAAGTGGCAGTCAAACTCTCATGACTAGGTATTATTAAAGTGACCTAATAATTAGTTTACTATCTTGAAACTTTCTCTACTATCAACGGAATTACAAGCTGTCATTAACTAATTTAATGGCTCTACACTGTACTGGGCGGCCAATCTTGATCTGTGGTGGATGTAAAAAAAAACTTACACACCTACTTATTAAAAAGAATTCAAAATATTTTACCCTACCCTACCCTACCCTACCCTACCCTACCCTACCCTACCCTACCCTACCCTACCCTACCCTACCCTACCCTACCCTACCCTACCCTACCCTACCCTACCCTACCCTACCCTACCCTACCCTACCCTACCCTTGAACACTTACCCAGTATATAATGTCTGTCATAGTGGTGGAAGAGTTATATCATAATGTAGCCAATATTTATATTACGCACAAACAAACATTTTATCGTAGGTTGGCCAAACTTTTTCTACATTCAACTGTCGTGTCTAGTAGTCGTTGAACAATAAAGTGCCAATGAAAGCTTTTTTGGTTTGTTGACTTTTGGAAATTCTAAAAATAACAAAATATAGGAATAGTTCTAAACCAAACTTCTAATCCTGAAATCTAGTCTCTGAGCCAGCCCAGCTTGTGGATCGACCTTTTGTTGCCTACTGAAATATCATAAACGTCTTCGTAAGCTATTAGGTGCCGACATAAAGAATTCGCCATTTTTTACAAGAAACTACAGGAAAAGTATGGCGGATTCTTTATGTCGACACTTAATACATAAATACGATACCCTGAACAAAATTGTTTACAAGAAGTTTGCAAAAATTTATTGTACTATACAGTATCGTTACGTTTATTTCAATCCCAAGAATCTTTTTAAAAGTAAGTAAAAGTATAATATATACATACGCAACGAACAAAGAGTAATTAGTAGGTTGATGCAGAGACAATGAAGACTTTTACATAGGATTACAGGTGTTTCTTGGTTTTGTAAAACTATTTCGACTTCTAATTTTAAAATTTAAAATTTTTAAAAATTTAAAACTTGAGCTAATGTTAATAAAAAATACCTCAAATAAGTTCAAACATACATAAGTAGTACCCACATATATTAGGACAGTAGCCTTCATACGCTTCTTAAACTAAAAGCCTATAAGATGAGTTTATAAAATTTAGTGCAAAAAAGTTCATAAATTAGTAATGAGAGTATACCAATGTGTTATATTATACAACACATAAAAAACATAAACCTATATGTAATGTAAGAGTAATATAAAAAATATATTAAATATAAGAACTCTACCGTCCGTTAGAACGACCTCTGGACGACACTATAAAAATTACGAATTTTGACCCGTATATTATAGTATTACTAAATACTATAGCACTTGTATACAAACAGACCACCGCCATTTTATGTGTAACAAACTAATCTTTTTGCCTGCTAATTACCATATTACCCTGTCTGTATACGGCAAGAACGTTAAAGTACAAAAAAACTTACACGGCACATGGTTGACGTAATAACTTTGTAAGTAACGCATAGATTCGTTTATAGTAGTTGTAGCTCTAAATTAAAATTTTTTTGAAAGTTGTAACAATAACATTTGAGTTAGACTTAACACTGTCTAACTCTTTCCTTACGTTAGCTTTACTAGACATGAAGAACGAATCAAGTCTGAGCAAAACCAAAGTTACGCCAAGCCTAAAAGCTCGGCCGTTTTTATGTCTAGTACACAAAATCTCTACTTTAGCCCTACAGTAGCCCTGCTAAAGCCAGCCTTATTCTACAGTAGTTATATACTAATAGCTGTACGCTTGCCTAACTCTGGCTTTACTATGGCTGTTTCTTAGCCTTATCCTGCTCTGCTTTAGCCTTGCCTTAGTCCCTTTATTCTACCCTTACTTTAACTACATTCTAATCTTGTTTTAGCCCTACCGTAGCCTTGGTTTTTACTCTAGCCGTACCTTAGCCTTCTATTTATCCTATGTTTCTTCCATGTTATTTTCATGTAAACTCAATGATCAAAAGTACAAAAATGACTAAAAATTAAATTTGAAATTTCAGAAAAAAAGTTATTCCAATGTCTATTATAATATATAATACATCAGTCTACTTGCTTCTGTTTAATTGTTTTGTCATTAAATTTAATTCGCTAGTAATTTCGTATTTACAAGCTATTTTATATGCCAATAAATTATGTTTAACTACGTATATATAAAACTAGATACTGTGGTTTTGAATTGCTTTGTTCTTTCGTACGTATGTGTCGTATCTTTAATTTGTAGACTCATTTTTGTAGTTACTGTGTCTATAGTACTTGCTGCAGTAGTGTATTGGTACTGGTAATACAAAAAAATATTCAAATTTCGAATTTTATACTCTATTTTCAAAATCTACTTCATCTTACATCACCACACAAAATGAAGTTGTACAGCCTATACTGTATAGTAATCGTACTGTACTATGTTGAAGTCGCGAGTACTGTAAAGATTGATGAATTTAGTGTAGAAGAAATTGAAGAAATCTTAAATTCAAATGACAAAAAGCTTGCTACAATCCTAGGAAGACTAGATGATGTTAAGGAAGATACAAAGGAAGTACTCAAAGCTATGGTAGTACTGAATCGGAATGACCGAATTAGTAAAAAGGACAAACAAAGTTTTTCCAAATTCTTCAAATATGTTGTGCAGTAAGTGATAAAAATTGATTTTTTGTGGTTTATATAGACTTTTTGACCTGGTTTTTTAAACTTTTTTTGCATTTTACTTACTTTTTGAAGTAATTTAAAAAAAATTTTTTTAATTTTGCCAAGAACTTGTAAAATTTCACAAAAATAAGAATTTCCAACTGAAAATATGTGTAATTTAGAAAAAAAATGGTCATTTTTAAAAAAATCATAACACCCTTAGTATCAAACACTTGCTAAGTTTGTAATTTTGGTACATAAAACCGCATGTGCCAATCTTTCACTGTGCCAAGTTTGGCATTTTTAGCTTTTTCCTTAGCCAAAATATAACATTTTAGTTTTTTTCGTTTTTCTTCGAACACCCTGTACATACCTTTGACCAAAACATTTTTAAACATTGCTTTTTTTAACTTTACAAAGTCTTTGACCCGATTTACTAGGTTGTTCAGATATCCTTAAAAGGTAGCTTTGACAGGAGCACAGAATTATTTGAACAACCTAATATCAGTCTTTCCACTAAAGAATGTTACAGCTGCACGGTGCAGCCCCGAGAAAATCGCGCCCTTTTAATTCCGCTGCACAGCGCAGGTTTCCCGCGCGATCACTCGATACAGCCAACGATGTGAGGAAAGATTGCACAGTGCAATCCCTTCAGTGCTGCACCGGCCGGTTGTCGCAGGATTCAATGACTTTCAACAGTCAAAAAAACGTGTCGCAATCCTTCCATTGAACACAGTTGTGGCTTGAGCGTTGCGACAACCGCGACACACTGTCGCATAGCCATTCGAAGCGCGACACGACAGTTTGTTGCAAAGCTTTGGACTTGCGACATTGCGATTTCCATTGGGATGTCGCCGGGTGCAAGCGACTGTCGCAGACCTTGTCGCTTGTCGCCCAATTCCCGGCGCGACAGCGATTCCTTCAAACTGCACTGTGCAGTTTTGTAACATTCTCTTCGGGAAAGACTGATATTTGGAATTTTTTCCCAACTTTTTTAAACAAAAAGTTTTTTTTTAAGGGTTCTACAAACTTTTTTGGCCGAAAAAATTTTATCAAAATTTTAATGTGTATTCTACGTATTTTTTGACCAAAATTTTTAAACAAGACTTTTTTTTAATCTTAGGAAATTTTTAACCTGATTAACTAGTTTGTTCAGATATTTCTGTGCCTCCTAGTCTTGAAAATTTTTTTGAAAAGGGCACAGAATTATTTGAACAATCTAATATTTAAAACTTTTTTGTACGAAAAGTTATTTTTTTCAAACAACTTTTTTTTGTTATTCTTCATACTTTTTGACCAAAATTTTTTTTGATTTTACGAACTTTTTAAACAGCAAAACATTTTCAGATTCAAAAAAGCCTACAGTGGAAAAGTCGAAATGCTGCAGAGGTTCGAAAACTTTAAAAAGTCATTGAAGAAGATATCCCAAATGAAGAAGAAGAACAAGTTGTTTGGCATGAACAAGTTCTCTGATCTGTCTGAAAATGAATTTTCATTGCTCAAGGGTGGTCTGAAATTGGATGGATTTGGCAATGGCACGCTGAGTATTCAGGAAGACACAAGTGAGAATTGTTTTAGCTGGCCAGGTGACATAACTTGGCCTTAGACTTTGATTTTTTAATGTCATAACTTACAAATTTAAAGCTTTTGACATTTTTTACTAGGAATGAGGATTTTATGACATTTTCCATCAGAAATGACACTTTTATGACATTTTTCATTATAACTGAGGATTTATGACATTTTTCATTGTACACTCTACCTTTTTCAGGATTCTTCTCTCGCCACTCAGCCCACCACAAAAGACACCCCCTAAGGTTCCCAAACAACTATGACATCCGCGAGACCAACTGTACCACTCCAGTACGCGACCAAATGAACTGTGGTGCTTGTTGGGCCTTCTCAGTCATCGCTGTCACTGAAATCAACCATTGCTTAAAGACAGGTGAACTCTACTATCTAAGCGAACAAGAGTTGATCTCTTGTACGGTAAGTGAGCTGACATCGCCGTATGTGTCCAATGGTTGTGATGGAGGTAATCCCTATGTTGGTATTGACTATATTGAGTATAAAAGCGACTCTATGGCCTATGATTTCCCTTATGTTGGAGATGAGAACGAACGTCATATGCCTGAGTGTAGACAAGATGGAGGGCGGTTTCCGGTTGACATACGACGATTTACTCGAGGATCACAGCGGAAGATTAAGGAGGAGGATTTGCCTGCTTATATCTATAAGTATGGAGCTTATAGTGCTGGTAAGAATTGAGTATTTGATGCTGAAAATTGTGGTATTAGCTTAGAGCCCAAGCCCAGAGCCTAGCCCACAGTCCTAGTCCAGAGCCCTAGCCCAGATCCCTAGCCCAGAGCCCTAGCCCAGAGCCCTAGCCCAGAGCCCTAGCACAGAGCCCTAGCCCAGAGCCTTAGCTTAGAGCCGTAACCCAGAACCTAAATATCAAAATCTTTTCAGCCATAGCCAACAAACCCCTTCAATACCTAGAATACAGTGGTGGTATCATCACAGAAGAAGACCTCGAAACCGCTCCAGATGGCCCACTTGATCACGCTGTTACTGTAGTTGGCTATGGTGAAGAAGACGGCATAAAGTACTGGATTCTGCGCAATTCATGGGGTGACGACTGGGGTGAATACGGTTACTTCCGCCTCGAACGTGAGAAAGAACTTCTTGGATTCACTGTCTATGACTACACTTACTGAACTTATATTGTGTTAATAAATATTGATATTGACTTGACTGTGGATTTATCTTATCTTACCTTACCCTATCTTACTCTACTGTACCACAGTAAAAATTTTTTAAAATTTTAATTTTTTTTTAATTTTTTTATTCAAATTTACATTTTTTCTAATTTTTTTAAATATTTATAATTTTACTCAAATCCCACGTTCTAAATGTTCTTTATGCAAATTTCAAAACCTTGAAATCTCTCTTCAAACGGTCGAAAACAGTCAGTCGTCTATTTTGAGAGCTCAGCGGACGGTCGGTTCCTACATTGCGTGCGGATGACAGAAATTGCTGTAAGTTTTTACTTTGATACTTTGTGTTGATGCTGTTGGTCTGTCTCGTACTATTAAGCGTTTGTAAGAGCAACGTTTGTTTTGTTTTGGCTAATTTTCTCTACCTTTTCTATCATCTGCTTTGCCCTACTTTTCTTTCTTTGCGTTTCTCTACTTTTTTTTATTTTTGGACTAAATTTTACCCTGCCCATTAGTAGTAAGCCTTATTTTTTTATATTTTTTACATTTTTTGTATTTTACTGTTTATTGGCACTACTATTATCTAAGCCTTTCAGAGAAGCAAGCTAACCACAACGACTGAGCTCAAAATAAGTGAATAGCACGGGACGATCAAGTTGAACAGCACGGCACGGTCAAGAGCATCAACAGTCAAGACCAAGCGACTTAACTATTTGAATGTGCATAGGACTTAAATGGAACTGGCAAGAGTAAGGAGCGAGTATGAATAGAACGGCACGATCAAGTGGGTAGCACGGCCTTATCAAAGTTGAATAGTACGGCACGATCAAGGGCATCAACTGTCGAGCGTCAACTGTCAAGACCAAGCGACTTAACTATTTGAATGTGCATAGGACTTTGATGTAGCTGGCAAGAGTAAAAAGCGAGTATGAATAGAACGGTACGAACAATTTAAACAGCTCGGCAACAAGTTGCTTTTGTTCAAGTTGATGTTAAATGTCAATTTTCTGTATGTGCATTGACTTTTATCTTCAATAAATAGTATTATTGTGCATGTATTACTTTGCTTTGTATTGTTTAATTTGATAATTGTATTATACTTATGTGTAGTACAGGAGCGTCGTTATGAACGTCTTTCTCAAGGGTGAGGGTGGTTAAAAGCCGAAAAATATTTTTTAAATGTTTATTCAATAAGGCTATAATAAGTCTTTGAATTTTTTAAAAACTTTATTGCAATTGTATTACAAACACACTGTGTTCAAGTCATAGTAACATAGTAAAGTAATATATTAAGTGCCGACATAAAGAATCCGCCATTTTTTGCAGGAAATTACAGGCAAAGTATGGCGGGTTGTTTCTGTCGGCACCTGATAGTAAAAAAATTGTAAAATATAAGAAGCGAACGTTATGTATAACAAAAAGTGATTCGATTGTGATCTAAACATAAAATGGCACAAAATTTGACATTAAAATTAAGTTTTACCAAGCTATAGGTTAACATTAAAGACGTTACAATACAATTTAAAACAACTTTGAAAAAACAAAATTAAAAAATTGAAAATTGAAATTTTAAAAAATTTTAAAATAACAAAAAGTAAGTTCACCTTAACAATATTAAAGCTATCGTAATATAAAGTTTGCAAAATTTAAAAAAAATCAATTTGAAATGGCAATTCAAAAAAGTCAAGACTATGATTAGGGCGGGGCTTGGGCTAGGCTAGAACTAGGCGAAAACTCGGCTAGAGCTAGAATAGAGCTAAGCCAGATCTAAGCTAAGCAAGAGCTAGTCTATAGCTAGATAAGAGCTACGATATTTTTGTTACAGTATGTAATACTAGCACCAACCCAAAACCACCATTCCTTAAGTCCAGTATTAGTATTTCCAAACCCATTCCAAAAGCTCATCTTCTTCGTTACCACACACCCACACCATGACAATAATAAAGTCATGATCTAGCCATTCTTCAAAAAATCACCATCCTTCAGCTTAAACTCCTTGAAGAGATTATAAAAGTTGAGTTCAAATGACTTTACTCCTTGATCATCGTATCCCTGATGCTCTTCCTGAAGTTGCTCCTCATCGAACTCCTAACCGAAGCCCTGTCGAACACTCGTTTGCCCAACGACACCGACCCAGCTCTATGTAAACCAACATAACCAAGCACAGAAGCCACGTCTGGGTCGGTCTCTCTCATCAGATGTTCTTCATCGTCAGTCAAGCTTTCATCAGTCGATTGAGCGTCCTTATCTTTGTTTTCGACCGATGGATGAACTGGCATCTTAAGTGGCACTAATCGCTTGTAGAAGACTAACCAGAGAGTGACGGCTGTTGAAAGAACGGTGATTTCAGCGATCCATGCTGCCCGTGGGCCGAAGATGGTGTAGAGGGAACTAAAATTGAATTTTAAAAAATTTTTATGTACAAAATTTCTAATTTTTAAATTTTAAAGGTTTTTTGAAAACCTCCTGCATAACAAAATCTTTTATATCCACCCTTACATGACTCTACCCTACCCTACCCTACCCTACCCTACCCTACCCTACCCTACCCTACCCTACCCTACCCTACCCTACCTTACCCTACCTTACCCTACCCTACCCTACCCTACCCTACCCTACCTTACCCTACCTTACCCTACATTACCCAACCATAGTTTACCTTATCCTAACTTCTTGGAGATCTTGGTTATAAAAATAGCTAAAATTTTCAAACTTTGTACTGTGGTAGCTTAGTACTACAAGTTTTTCGTCGCAAAATTTTGCTTTTTTTAGGTACATTTTAAAGGCGTTATGATTTTTTGAAAAATCGTCATTTTCACCAAAATTACACATATTTTCATTTGAAAATGCTTTTTTTGCTAAGTTTTTCAAAGGTTTTCATTGAGATTTTGCTTGAGAATAGATTTCTCGCAAAATTTTCTAAGTTTCTTTTGGAAATTTTGCCGCTACCGCATTTTCAAATCTCGGCGGAGAGTCGGCGGAGGCGCGAAAATATCGGCGGAGGCTATAACTCACATAAAAATGAACGTAAAAATATAAAACAAAAAGCAATATGTTTCAAATTACAGTATCTATAAACTTATGGGTCAGAATATTTTTATTTTTTAAAAAATATTATAATGTAATATTTTTTGTTAACTATGTTTTTATACTTTAGGTTTTTTAAAATATTTTTTTTCAATTATAAATTATATTAAAACTTATATATAGTTAATATTTATAATAAAATGATACTCATTAACTTATTATATCCTAGCATATTTGAACCAAGATATGCCATTTTAGTTTCGGACATTTTTCTTGGGACACCCTGTATTATAGAATGAAATTCCAGTACAAAAAACTCCTTTATAACAAAATGTGTCCTACCCTTTCTTATCTTACAGTGCCCTAGCCCTATCTTATTCATTTTTAACTTTACCAATCTCCATAATATACACGGTGGAACCCTTAGACAACGAACTCCTTTATAAATAATAAAATTTACCCCACCCTACCCTAAACTTTAGTTTAAAATTTCATGCCGGATTTAAATACAAAACTTGATTTACTTTACAAAATAAAAAGTTATAGCAATCGTTGTCATGCCCCCATGTGAGTAACAGCAGTTGAAACCTATTAAACATTATTACACGTATTTTACCTCAACTATTTTACAGTTTGTGTGAACTTCATTCCTTTCATCTGCGTTTTTTGTCACAAAAATTCACTACTTTTCCCTCTATTTTCATCCCACCCTATCAAAACCCCACCATACCTAATCAGGACCGGTCCACTGAACCTGGCCGCTCCTTCTGTCATTTCTAAGAATCCTTGATGTGCGGCCTGCCTTCTTGGTCCCAAGACTTTAGAGAACAAAGTCTCCAATGTGATGTTGATAACACAGTACGATACGCCGACAATCAGTACAAATGACACATTATATACCCAAACATTGACTGGTTTTGTGTATGTGCACCAGGAAAGACGGTCCATGTTACAGCCAACCGGCTCTGGAGCAGACATATTCAAATGACGTTCCATGTCCTTGTTGGTGTAGGTTACAAGTTCACCTGGGAGGAAAGGCCAGGAGAACGTGATCAAGTGTAAGATGATAAGTCCGGCGAAGCCACACAGACAGTGGAAGCGGAGTTTTAGCCTAAAAATGATGGTTTTAAAGGAGGTCTGGCTAAAAACAATTGATTTTAAATTTTCATTTTAAAATTTTCAAAAAAAAACTAAAAAGTAACTTACCATCGATCCAATTTGGCAAAGACAAACAAAGCATAAGCTACAAACTCTACCACGCTCATGAAAGAATAAGATATGGCAACATATGTGACCGCTTCTTTTTTTGTCCAAGCAAAAATTGTCATCGCATAGGCTGTGCCAATTCTAAATATTTTAATATTACTTCAATTAACAGCAACATCAATTTAGCACGTATTTTACAAAACTTCATTCTTATGGAGAGCTAGAGTATGATTGGTCTAAGATACGGTACGGTAAGGCAAAATAATGTACATATGGTCAATTCCGATAGGGTAATAGAGTAGAGTATAGTAGAGTAAGGTAAAGTAGGATAGAATAAAGTAAATTAGAATACGGTAAAGAAGAGTAGCGTAAGGTGGGTAAGGTAGAGCAGATTAAAGTAGAGTAATGTAAATCTAGACCAAAAAAAGGTATGATAAGGTAAGCTAAGGTAGTAGGGTAAGGTAAAGTAGGTAGGGTTAAGGTAGGAAAACTTCAAAAATTGACTTACGTTTCCAGTGCTGTAAAAGTAAAAGTCTGCGTGAATCGCCCCAAATGACATAGTACTAGTGCCAATTTGTCAAATGGCGGAATTTTGATTTCTTTGGCTTTTCTGATTTCCTTTTCAGCTTCTTTGTCCTAAAATTATATATTTCAAATCGTAGCTTTATAAAATTATCAACTACAGCTCGTATTTTACCTGATATGTCATTTTAAAAGTACGTGATTAATAAAAACGTCAAAACACATCTCAAAAAATTATAAATGGCACAATATAACAAACAATGTGTACATACCTTAACAGCTTCATTAGAAGACCCACCAGCTAACCCGGCATAAGTTTCTTCAAACACAAAGGTCATTATGAACAAGGCTGTACTGTTCAAGAACATAGCAGCCAATGGTGGGGTAGTGTACATGTTGATTTGAAGTAGATTGAAAAGTTTAAAGCCAGGAAAGCCGAGGGGCACAAAAATTAATTGAAGACCTAAAATAAATGTTGTTTGATTTAAAAAAATTATTTTTCAAAAATTTAAAATCTGATAAACTTTTAAATTAAAAATTTTAAAAACCAGTTAAAGAACCCTTACCTGGCCCAATAGTAAGACCGAAAGCAACACCGCCGGTAAAAATAGCCATAGCTCGAGAACGGTCGGCGCTAACACTAGCTGTAGCTGCGTAGGCTTTCAAAAGGCCACTGTGACCTAAAATATTAATGTCACAGATTATGATACTCTTACATACAAGTTTATATGTATTACGAAAAATGCGTTAACTACTTAGACTTTTTTATACGTATTTTACCTAAAACAAATTATATATCTTCCTCTAATATTACAAGAACTTACAACAAGCTGCACCAACGAAGAACCTAGCAAACATTACAGCAAACTTGCGACCAAATGGCAATGTTTGAGCAAAGAAGTACAGTAGATTACCGGCCAGTTGAAGGCAAATACAGAATCTAACTGGAGTTCGAATATTCTTAACTTTATTGCTCCATAGTCCAATTAATGGAGCTGCTATGATCAGGCCGGCCGAATAGACGGCTACAACATAACCGTAAAACTCTTCTGTTACAGTTGGATCCAGCTAAAAAAGAAAAGTTATTTTGTGTCATTAAAATTAAGGATGAACATCAAGTGTTACCTAAAACAATATGATTTCTAAAAAATATTTTTGCTTCAAACTTTTGAAGGATTGAATAAATAGATATACCCCAAAAGTCATATAACCCTCACCAACTGCAAATACGGCCACATGGAGCTAAAATACAACGAAAACTGAATGGCGGTACATAGCGCCAACACTCCAATCAAATAGATCGATTTCCACGGAGTTTTTGGAGTATCATCAGCAATGATCGCATCTTTTGAAGCCGCATCCTCATTTACAACATAGACCTGAGACTTGGCCGTCATTTTATCCACTTCAGCGTCCAGTTTAAGCTTGAAAACCAGTCCAAAACTTGCAAGTTTTGGACTTGGACACAGAAAAAGCTCTAAAATGAGGTGTTTGGTTAGGGGAAATTGAAGTTTTATAGTAGAAGTCGCGAACTATTTTATAGATTATAAATATTATGAACGAAGAGGATATCAAAGTTAATATTTTCATCAAGATATTAGTTAGTTTGAAGAATACAAACCCCACTAAGTACAACTTTTATTAATTTTACAAAAAACTTAAACATTTTTTTAATAACGTCTCTTCTTTACGTCCTCTTGATTATTCTTAGAGCTCTGTTACAAAAAAGAAAAAAACTATAGCTTAATCTAAATTTTTTTTTCTTACTTTCAATTTTTAATCAAGTTTTTAAAGTTTTATAGGATTTTTTTCAAAGTTTTCTTCAACCAATCCATCAAAAAATGTCGTTTTGCGAATAATTTTGTTAATAAATATGTTTTTGATCTTCGATGTAAGAAGTGCTGCGTCAAGCTAGACTATGAAAACATATTCAACGTGACAGAGTTGTTACATCTGGTCGGAAAAATTTTGAATTTATACTGTAGGGATTGGCTGGTGTAGCCATAGGAATAGAGCCTGGGCAAGGCTATAACAAAACCATAGAAAAACGTAGCTAAATTGGAAAAGAGAAAGACTAAAGAACCAGGACAACGCTAGTACATAGGCTAGGGCTACGATTAAAGTTAAGACTTAGGTATTGGCTAAAACTTAAAGCTGAAGCTGCTCTTTATCACTTCATAGTCTATAGTTAGGAACAGGACGAGGCTTCTGGGAGGGTTCTGGCCTAATGCTAATAGAAATTATCAATCAGTCGTAAAAACTAACTCAAATTTCAACATTACCGTATTTTAAAAACTTTAGCAAAATAAAATATTTTGCACGAATTGTCCCGTGAGCCAAACCAGAAACCAAACATACGACAAGAATCCTCGATTCCATCAAAACGATGGCGTAATGAAAACAATTTTGATAACAAAGAACAAATAATGATGGATGGGCGGGGGAAAGTCGGCGAAACGTGTTGGTCGGTGAAACCCCACCATTTGTCATAACTTCCACAACAACAAAATATGACAAAAAAAGGAAGAGTTTACAAAAAACATGACAAAATAAACATTTAACGAAAAACATGGCACTGTAATAGAACACATGGCAATATGATGACTAAGAAAAAAATATGACAATTTTAAAAATTTTTACAAAGATTACAACAAGAAGACGAAAAATCACCAAAATATGACAAAACATATAAGGAAACCCCTAGAAATAGCAGATGTTTGTTGTCGTAGCAAACTTAAATTTACTGCAGTAATTCGCGTGATAAAAAGTGCAATTAGTCAACTTTGCTAGCAGTAAATATTTTTTGTAAACTTTTTGTCATAATGACGCTTACACTTTGTTATTTCTTTACTACAGTAATTGAGAGGGCAGATATCATACAGTAAAGACTAGAGATCAAAACGAATAGTTTCAACATATCTTATTCAAAGTACTAATTCTAATTAAAGCTTTAGCCCAAATCCTAGCCTAAACCCCAGGTTAAACTTTACACTACGCTCTAGCCTAAACCCTTGTCTTATTTGTAGTTTATGTCCTAGCCTGAGCCTTTACATAAACTTTAGCGTCAAGCCTAGCCTAAGCCTTAGCTTTATCTTTGACCTAAGCTGTAGCTTACGCTCTACTCCAAGCTCTAGCCCAAGCTCTTGCTCCAGCATAAGCTTCAGCGTAAGCTTTAGTCTAAGCCCTAGCACAATGTTTAGTCTAAGCCCAAGGCTCGTCCTAGCCTAAGATTTAGCCTAAGCTATTGTTCTAGCCTGAGTTCCAGACCAAGCTTTAGCCCATGCTCTTGCTCTAGTGTAATCCCTAACTTATGTTTTCATCTAAGCCCAAACATATGCCCTAGCCTCAGATTTAGCCTAAACGCTATATTAAACCCTTTTTCTAGCCAAAACCCTTGCTTTAGCAAAAATCCCAGTCGATGTCGTAGTTATTGCCTTGGCAATTGTAAAAAGATAATTTTGAAAAATCGCAAAAAATGTCAAACCAACTCCAGGTCAAACAGGGAGTACCCATCGAAAATCTTTTTCGGTCCTACGCGCGTGAATTAATCCGATTCGAAAGTGCTAATTCTGATTGAGAAACAATGATTAATGATGATGTTTGTATAATTGAATGAATGACCTGAGTGATTAAGGGGTTAGACCGTCTCGTAGTGTTTAACACGTGCTTTAAAAAATACGATTTTTGTGTTTTGGGGAATCTTTAAAGATGATAATTTGATTTTTAAGTACAATTCTCTCGCAAAAAAAACAAAAAAATATTGTAATTGAGAAGCAATGCATAATTAATAAAGGTTAGGATTCACGGAAACAAAAATATTGGGAAAATACATCCCCGCCTCAACCTAAATTTTTAAAAATTATATTAAACTTGACCAATGCTTTAGTTCAAAACAGTTTAAAAATCAACACTACTGTATTATGATTTCTGCTTTACCCTACCCTACCCTAACTAACATCACTACCCTACCTTATCCTAAAATAGGTCTTTCATATTATAAATTTATACTGACCTACACTGATTATTTTTTTATGTTGACCTTTATTATAATATACGTACACAAAAATCTTTTGCGACGCTTAAAGTTTTGAAATAGATCAATTTACCACTTTCTTTCTTAAACTCGATAGATCGTACATATAAGATCAACAAGAGATATATATAGCTAAAACTTTTTTATCTACCCTAACCTATCGGGACGAGCTTACATTTTCTTTGACTGGACTGGAATCAATGCAAAATTTTAGTATTACTTTTTTTAGCCTAACCTGTTAGTCTTACTCTTATCTTATATTAGCTTTAAGTTTTTACTAGCCTTACTTTAGTCCTAGCCTATTCTTAACCATAGTTTTCCCTCATTTCTAGCCTGAAGTTAGCCCTAGGTTTACTTTGGCCCTAGCCGTATCTTAGCCAAATCTTAGTCAGTCTTATCTTGGCCTTGGCTTTAACTTAGTTCTAGCAATGTCTTAGTTTTGGCCTTATGTTAGTCTAACTGTTTTCTTCGTGTTAGCCTTACCCGGGCCTTAACTAGTCTTATTTTAATTATAACTTACCCTTAAGCTAACATAGCTCAAGCCAACTTTTACCTATTTTAGTCTTACTTTCCCATAAGAATTATAAATATACATATATTTATATATATTATCATCTACTTACAACTCAATAAAAGTACGCGACCTCAAAAATAGTACAATAATTAAGTTGCCGGCCACGTTGGCGTCAAATGACCGCAAACTGAGACTGTCTATCTGAAATGTTTCTATAATATCCACCCCAATTTATTGGCCGACCTTTAGTCGTCTGAAGGGATCGTTTTCGGAAAACTGTAGCCAATTTACACTTTTTCAAATTGTGAAGGCGAAAAGTTTATTTTTATATGATTTAAGAGAATAAAGGATACTGTAACATTAACATTGTAAAAGTTTAAATTCAGAACATAAATTGAAACGTAGCCTAAACCCTAACGTATCCATAGCCATATCCATAAACATAGCCATAGCCATAGCCATAGCCATAGCCATAGCCATAGCCATAGCCATAGCCATAGCCATAGCCATAGCCATAGCCATAGCCATAGCCATAGCCATAGCCATAGCCATAGCCATAGCCATAGCCATAGCCATAGCCATAGCCATAGCCATAGCCATAGCCATAGCCATAGCCAACTTAAAATCAAAAATAATTTTTTTTTAAATCCTTTTTGAAAACCTTCGCCCAGTTAAAACTACAGTCTGTTCTGATAAACTTGCCACATTTTAGGACAAAACAGTAACTGAAAGCATACTTGTTTACAAGTTAAAAATAACTTGGCCATTCTTTTTTTGTTGTTTCGGCCAAAAAGAAAACAAAAATAAATTTGGCCTTTCAAAATTCAATAGAAAGAAAATAGTTTTTTGAGTTGAAAAAAGTGATAAGTAATCTCTGAAGACTGATCCTTACTTTAGTAAACAAACTCATCTGTAAGGTGTCTTTATGTTTCTTGATGGATTGACTGGTAAACAAAGATCGTATAAGTTAAATGTAAAATAAAGTTTTGACTTACAAAGAACGTATATGATTTAAGTACTATTTAGTACGAGACTAAAACAATTTTTTTAATAACAAGGAAAGTGCCCGACCTGCCCCGCTCTGATTGACTTCAAACTTTTTATTTAGAAAGATTATGTAAATATAAGATCTTTAGCAAAGTACTAAATCGCGCTTCTCAGGAAACCTCAAGAAAATCAAAATTTAAAAATTACGTTTTGAATTTTCTGCCAAATTGGCATTGTGTTTTAAGCTTATAACTTTGCCAATTTTTGACTTTTTATTATTTTTTTTTGATTAGAATACCTTTATATGAACCTACATTTTTAAATTTGTAAGCGCAGCTTGTCTAAAAAGTTGAACAAAATGCATGAAACACAATGCCAAATTTGCAATACTAGCGGAAAAACCAAATATTTCAAAGTTTAATTTAAAAAAGCAAACCCAAATTTTTTATACGTACTATTGGTGGTAAATTTGCAAAAAAGTTGTTGCTGATTCAGGGAGAGGCAGGTTGGGTATTTTCTTTTTTAGCTGTACCGCTATTTGGTCTAAAATTTATCACAGGTATTAACACGCCAACTTAAAAACCTACATATTACTACTACTTACAAGTTCTTAAAAATTGGTGTATGTTAAACCTTATTCAACTTCTTTCTAAACCAGTTTTAAAGGTTTCAATAGAACCACCCACACACTCATAAAACTCATGTTTAACACACTTTAACGTCCGTTTGTGGATCATATTTTAAGTGTGTATAAAATATTAATTGTCTCATTCATTTGCATGCCTTCCCTGATTTTGAACACGTCATTATACAATGAGATTCTGTTTTTACATATTATATAATTTTATAAACAATGATGACTGTTCTCGTATATACAATGGTATGTCTACACATTATAGTTAGTTTTTGGTCTTTTAGTACAGTATACATTATGTATACTAAAAGTATGGTACCCTACCCTACCCTACCCTACTCTACCCTACATTTATATTGTTGTAGCCTTAAAGACCACACCAACCTACCGTAACTCTACACTTAAATATTGTACAAACAAATTAAAGATCTACAAAAAGTAATGTCAAAAATAGTAAAACAACACCAAAAACCACTACTGGACATTGTTTTTGACCCCATATGACAACGAAACATATTTTGTCATTTTCGACTCGGCATAGTGGAAACTTCCAACGAGGCTTCTTCCACACCGTCGATACCTTCAGTCAACGTCAGATGGTGATCATATAAAGTTAAGGTTTAGTGACTTATTAGTCTTACTACTATACTTTTAAGGTTTTAAAGTTTTAATATTTTATATAAATAATTGTTTTTTTAGCGTCAAGGGTGGGTTACAGTAGTCTTTCATTAGGTCTAGGGTGAGTTGCAGTAGCCTTTTATTTAGACAGCAGTAGCTAGAAAGCAAAGAATTTAATAATGGTTATAGCTGAAGCTGAGCACAAAACCAACATCTGGAAAGAAAGAGGGTGTGGGTGAGAAGAAGTATTTTTGTGTTATTTAAAAAAACATTTTTTTTCTGTTTCAACTAGGCCTTAAAGGAGTTTACTAGACGGGGCTTAACCTTTTCATCGGCCTAGTTTTAACAAGATTTCGTTTGGCACAGTCGTTGAGCAAAAATTTATTATACAGAGGAACTCTTGTATAACAAATTGCTCTGGGGTTAAAAATTTGTTTATAATTAAGATATTTTGTTATACTATACACTGCGCAGTGGTAAACCGGGATTTAAAAGTTGATTTTTATACGGAACTTTTGTTATTCAAGGTTTTGTTATACAAGAGGTTTAATGTACACAGTAAAACCTTTGTGTAACGAATCGCTAAGAGTTTTAAAATTTGTTTGTTATGAGGAGGTTTTGTTATACAGAGGTTTTAAATGCACTGTGTAGTGTTAGTCGGTGATTCAAAAGTTGTTCATTATACGGGAGATTTTTTTATATAAGAGGTCCTTATACAGAGTTTAATGTAGGTAAAATACGTTATTATTTATTGTTGTTTAAAAGTGATAATCAATGTAAAATTTTAATTTAAGAATTTTATAGGTGTATTACTGTTATTTGTGCAAAAATGTTATGAAAAAAGTGTACTTTTACTTGGCGTCATGAATTAATTCTTTCTCGTGGTGTTCTTTGGATACCTGTACCAATTTTAAAAATTTTTTTATTAAAACCGAAGTCTACCTTTTACATTTTTTGAAAATTTTTTTTGAGGAATGTGTTTGCTTTTTACCCGTTGGTTCTGCTATTATAATTATTATATTATAAATCCTTTTTTATTTTTTTTATGTTTTATATGTTAAGGTTGAGTTATAAGGCTTGAACTCTAGGTTAAGGCATGAGTAAGGCAAAAGCAATGCAGTGGAACTCCTCTAAAATTAATTGCTCGGAAGTTTTAATTGCAATGTGTAGTGTTAGCCGGGGATTCAAAAAGTTGTTTGTTATACAAGAGTTTCGTTAAACAGATTTTCACTTTTTTTCATGCTTTTTTTATTTTGCTATTCCTATATTTTTTAAAATTTTTCAAAATTATTTTCCAAAAACTACATTTTTGTTTACTCTGAATCATATTATTTCTAATTGTAAACTTTATATAATTCCAGCAATTTCGCAGTAATTTGATCATAAGAGCAATTCATCAAAATGTTTTTCCAATTATTTACCATTTCTTTACTAACATTACAACAACTCCATATATACAGCGAACAAACAAATAACGTTTTTTTGGGGTTTTCTCAGAGCTTCTGAGTCGTCGGAGTGAGTTCCTGATCATCGACTGGATGAGTTTGATGTTTCGGGAAGGCCATCGGAACCATTCGGTTATAAAATACGGAAAACACAAGCAGATTGAAGGATAACATTGTCAGTTGCAGGAGCCAGGCAAAACGAGGGCCAAAACTTTCGTAAATTGAGCTGAAAATTGAGAAAAATTATATTCTCGTAGGTAGCAAAGGTTGGTTGAGGCTTTTTGTCATAACTTTTTTGAAAACAGAGATAGAGCTTTGAAATTTTGCGACATTATAGATCATTAACATTGTCAACAAGATTCTTAAATTACTTTTAAAATTCGTAGAATTAAGAAAGTTACAGTAAGTTTACAGTACCCTGCACGCATTTTCTAGAAATTGAAAACAAAGCTGACCTTTTGTGTCATAACGTTTTCGAAAACAATAATAAAGTTTTGCAATTTTGTGACATTATAGATCATTAACATTGTCAACAAGATTAAACACCGAAATTCAAAAATTTACAAAATTTTAAAGGTTACAGTACTTCTACCATAACATACTTTTTAAAAACTTCGAAGCGTTTATGTATTTAGTAAAACTAGGCTTACGAGAGTTTCTTATTACTATGTGGAGTTCAACAGCTCATTACTTTTTATCCAAGCTAGCTTTTGCTTTTCAAAATAAACTTACGTGATAGCCAACGGCCCCAACATTCGTGCATTATTCCTTGTCATGTGGAAGAATCCCATTTGAGTACCTTGTTTCTTAGGTCCCAGCACGTCAGAAAACAACGTGCTCAACGTCGTGTTCAAGATACCAAATGACAGACCAATCACAACACTGAGTGCCGTCATATATACCCATGGATTGACTGGCTTCACCCTGGTGCACCATGAATACTGGTCGATGTTGCAGCCGACCGGCTCGGTTCCATTGCCCATTCGGAAGGACTGGACGTCGAAGTTGGTGATGGTTTGCATCTCACCTGGTAGGAATGCCCATGAGAAGGTGGAGATGTAAAAGATGAAGAAGCCGAAGAGGCCGAGGATGCACTTGCAGCGAGTGGAGCCACTAAAGTAAGGTAGGTTTAAGATTTGAAATTATAAAACACTATACTGTAAGGACAAAGAGAAAATATTAGTTTGTTTAAATAATTCTGAGCCATCTCTCAAAGAAAATTTGCGAGGCTAGTGGCTCAAAATTTTTTGCACAACTTATATAGTAGTAGGTAAAATGCTTTTTTTAAGAAATATATACGTATATACAACAGCAAGACTAAGTAATGTAACTTACTACTTCTCCAGCTTTCCAAACACGTAAACACCATAGAAGCCTAGTTCAACTACTGAGAGTAGGGTAAAGCAGATAGAATAATACTGAATAGCGGCCTCTTCACTGTAGCCCATTACTGTCATCACAAAGTTTGTTCCTAACCTGAAAATGAACATACTTTTCAACCAAAATTTTTAAATTTAAAATTTTTTCGAAAAAAAAAATTTTTTTAATTTTAATTAACAGGGGGGACCAAGTCAAATTTTTAAATTTTTTTTTCAAAAATGGTAAAGAAGATCATAAAAACCCACGTTTCAACATGACTAAAAGTAAAGTAATGAACAAATCCCGTCGCATGACAAACAAAAATGGCAATCCAGTCAATCTTCAACTTCTTGGCCGGCGTATCAGTCAGCTTCTCTCGAGGCTGACTGTTCAAACCAGCATAAACCTCGTCAAAGATGCAAGATATGCAAATTAACGCGATAATGTTAAAGAAAATGGCAGCAACAGCTGGTGCTGTATACATGTTGACATTGAGAGTGGTGTTGAAGAACTGGATGCCTTTTTTGCCCAAGGGTGTGAAGAAGAGTTGAGTGCCTGGACCAATGCTGATACCCATCGCTACTCCACCGGTTACCATTGAGATCGTACGAGACTTGTGGCGGGGTAGACTTGAGGTAGAGGCATAGGTGTCGAGAAGGACTAGGTTTACTGAAATTTATTGTATTAGTAGGTTCATTTTAAAATGGCAATTAAAAAAAATTTTTATTATAAGTTTTTAAAAAAAAATTTTTTTTAATTTTTTAGTTTAAAAATAATAAAAAAATTTTTTTCTCATTTTTTACTTTACTCTACCCTACCATACCTTACCCTACTCTACCCCCACACTTTTTCCATCCACAGTTCTTCACCCACCTGATCCAATACCAAGGATAAACCTTGACAATACCACGACATAAGTTGCGTATGCTTGTGGCGCTGCTTGTGCCAAAAAATAGATGACATTACCAACAATTTGACATAAAATACAAGCAATTACTGGTGGTCTAATAGTGCCTATCTTGTTCGCCGTATAGCCAATTAATGGAGCTGATAAGATCTGACCAAATGAGTACATTGACATTACAAATCCAAGGAATATATCAGTTGTCTCTGGGTTTAGCTGAAATTTTATGTTTTTAGGTATAAAAAATAGAAGTTTAGCTTTTAAAAAGTTCAAAGCAAATATATTATTCTACTTGTTTCATTATAAAAGCTAAAATTTGTGTTTTAGAGCTACAGTAACCTACAGTAATAGTTAAAACTAAAAAAGGTTTTATTGCTGTAGATTTGCCATAGAAACCCTAATGCCATTTAAAAACTCACCGATCTCAAATAAGGCCAAATAGAACTGTAGTATAATCCACCTTGAATAGCAGTGCATACTGCCATTACTGTCACCACCGAAATCGACCTCCATGGCGTGGTTTCGGCCGTTTTTGATTTGGTTTTTATCTCCGGAGTCCTGTAAATGCCAAAGTTTTTATGACATCTTTAGTTTATGCTATTACTTTATAGTTTTTCGTTTGGACATAGAGAGTATCGTGCCGTCTGGCAGTGAGTATGAGTTTGTACATAGTATCGTTCTGGGTGATATTAAGTATCATACTACATAGTATTAGATGAGTATGTGCATAGCGCCATATAGTATCTTTTTGAGTACTATACTAAGCAGAATTTGGTCAATATGGCCATAGGAGTATACTATATAATACTGAGTACTGAAGCTCAACGTCATGTAGGTACTTTTAGAAACATACTATATAGTATTAGGCTCAACATTATGTAGATATGTATGTTTAGAAGAATATTATATAGTGCCAAGTACTCTGAGTACTAGGTTCAGCATCATGTCGCGGCATGTTAGCACCATAAATACCATAGATGCAGCATCAAATGGTAAAGAGTAATTTGTCATCTTTTTAGAATATTGAACTATAGAGAATTGTAAAGTAAAGCTTACATGTTACGATGAACTACGGTCGTCAATATGTACACAAAAATGAAGAATCTAAAGTGCAAGTTGCACCCACTGCAAATAATGTCATTAGTCTGTATAGCACGATGCCTTTGATAATGTGTATGTATATATATGCTCGCGGATATAAGTACTAGTATTATTTAAAGCATAGTACACATAAAATAACCTAAACTGTATTTACTGTCAAACTCCACTGTAAATTTTAAAAGTAATGTTAAAAGGCCTAGTATATATAATAACAAAAACAAGAAAAATAAAAAAGAAAAATATATTTTTAAATACTACTTGAAAGAAAGACAAGTTATTTTTATCTGAAAACGTTACTGAGTAACCCTGAAGAAATGTATAAATAAGATGACTAGACTGTTTCATAAGTAGCAATATATTAATAACTAAAAAATAAAAAGAAGAAGGGTCCAAGTGACAACTCTGCTGTTATCTTTATCGATAAAAAAATTTTTTTAATTTTATATTGTACTAAAGCCCTATCTGTTGATGTAGCCGTAGCTGTACCTTTAGTTTTAACTCTAACTGTAGCCCTAACTGCATCCCTAGTTGTAGCCCTAGTTGTAACCGTGACTGAAGTCTTAGCTGAATAATGCCTTATTGTAGCCTTTATTGTAGTTCTAGTTGTAGTCATAGCTTTAGCATTAGCTTTAGCTCTAGCTTTAGCCTAGTTTTAGCCGTAGTTGTAACCCTAGTTGTAGCTCTAACTCTAGCATTAGCACTACCTCACTTGTAGCCCTAGTTGTAACTCTAGCTGAAGCCATAGTATAGCCCTAGCCTTAGACTTAAAAAAATTTAAATTAAATATTAAATTTTTAAAATTTCATTTTCAGTACTAAAAATCAAGAACAACTCCTCATCAATTCCTGTTCTCCAATCCCTGCCTACCTCACTACCACTGCTTCTTCTCTCCTCTTACCACCATTCCCACCAAACCGCCACTTTCGTTTCGAAAATTGCATTTCTTCGAAATTACGTTTCCATCGACAAAATCGTCGCGGTCATAAGTTAAACCGCCCTATCTCGCGAACATACACATCAGACGACCGCCAACACGTTGCACACTCGATCCATCAACCGGATATCATATGAGATGGGGGTAGTGTGTACGTGACCAGCCTCCACCAAGTGCAATGCGAACCCAAAACGAACCGAGACATTGAGATAAAGAAGTCTCAAGCTTCAAACCCGTCGATCAAAGGGAGAAGCACGCGACTCGGTGTAAAATTCTTGCAAATGATGAGAAATAATATTCGTGATGACATTGGTCATATTATTATAGATTGCTTGCGATGATATTTTAGTTGTGAAGTTTGTGAAATAAAGCTTACCTCCTATTATTTAAATCAAGTTTGGAAGTACGGTAAAATTATGCAAGGTAAAGACAGATTATGAATATAGTCTTTTCTAGAGCTAACTAGGGCTAGAGTACTGGGCGAGAGCTCAGGGCTAAGACTCTGGGCTAGAGCTCTGGGCTAGGGCTCTGAGCTAAGGCTCTGGGCTAGGCCTCTGGGCTAGTGCTCAAGGCTAAGACTCTGTACTAGGGCTTTGGGCTAGAACACTAAGTTAATGTTTAAAACTGTAGATCTAAGTTGAGGCTCTAGTCTAAAGTTCTAGATTGAAGCTGTATCCACCAATAATTCTTTAGCTCACTCTTTGACAATACTTATATTACTCTTTTTTAAGATATAACAGTAAAAATTTAAGAAACAGTAATAGCAACCTTACTTACTTGTATAAAATGCTGTATACAAAACGCTTACTATAGAAAATAAAAAGTATTTGGCTTACAGTGATTATTATTAGAAAACCAAACTTTACTGACACTGTAACGTACATATATATGTACATTTATAACACTAAAACACATCAATATTTCCAAAACAAACCCTAAAACCCCTATTTTTCCCACCAAAATGCACCCAACCTCTAAATTATTGAACCTGTATATATGCACCCAAACTGCACCCATTTCTTATCTAAACGCATCGCATCGAATCTTCAACGCCCACCCCACGTTTTTCAGCTTTAATCCTTTACATATAGACATAACATATATACAGGACGAGTCAAGGCATTGCAAATACCATGTTTTGATCAACACATTACTCTGCAATGTATAATGAAACTCTGTTCATTAAAGATTATGTTATTTTGCGTTTTGTTTCTTTATTTTAGAGGTTAAAAGTCATGGCTTTGTATTTTGAAACAAATTTTTAAAAAACAGTGTAATTCAGCTAGGACAAAACTTGTGGCTAGTACTGTGGCTAGGGCTAAGACTAAAACTAAACACAAAACTGAGAATCAAGCCAGGGTTCTAAAGCTAAAGCTAGCTATCTATAAGGCTAGGTCTAAGACTAAAGCTAAGGCTAGGTCAAACCCTAAAGCAAAATATAGAGAACGGCTAGGTCTAAAGCGAAGACTAAAGCCGGAGTTAGAGCCAGTTAGAGCTAGAGCAAAAGCTAGGACTAAAACTCAGCTAGGACTAGCAAGTGTATTGCAACTGTCTACTGTAGAGTGAGTTTTAAACTATGTCACATTAGCCATAACTTCCTCATGTTCAAGACGTATCAATCACGCATTTATTACACTTATTCGTTGTCAAATACATATATAATAATAAGACAAAACGTGATTACAACAAAAAACGACAAATTTTAAGTACCTTGCATACCTTCTTGTCTGTCAGCAATAACATTTATTTTATAGTCTGTATTATAGCTTATGTTATTACCTAAAGAATTACAAAAGTATAAAAATATTCGATGTCTGAACATCTCAATACCTAAAAAGCAATCAATATTAATAACCTAAACAATCATCGTTTTGTTATGTACATGATCATATCATAATGTTAATAACTAGAATAATATTCATTTCAATTTCTGGTAATGTAATGTTTAACAGTCTTAAATGTTGAGCTTTTGCTTTAAATTCACTCCATCATCATTTCTCATCTTGATTGCATATTTGCAGTACAAAGTGTAATATTGTATAGAGGTTTGACATGAACTTTGCTGTTACGTGTATAATAAAACTTTTCAAATACGGTTTTGTTAAATTTGAAAAAAATAAAGCTTGTACCGCAGGGTATTTTAAAAACAACTTTAAAAAATGGTTATTTCTTTGTCCTAGCCCTAGTCTTGGACTTGTCCGTGTACTTATCCCAGATCATAAACCTGGCTTAGCTTTAACTCTGGCCCCAGAACTTTGGCCTAGAGCTTTTTCAGAGCGCCAGCTCCAGCTTTCAAGACCAGAGCCGTGGCCCTAGATCTATCCTTAATTATAGCAATAAGTTTAACCTTGACCCTTGTATTAGGTTTAACACTAGCCCTAAGTTTAGATTTAGTTCTAGTTACAATCCAATCCATAGTTCCTTATTTCATTGACCTGCTAACTACGCCCAAGCCTTACAGTAACATTTTGCAACAAAAAACTAGATATTATATTAATTGTCATTTTTCCAACCATCACGCCACCATATAGCGTATACGTATAAAAATTACTATAAAATTGACAAGTGTGCGTAGAAGAAATCATGAGATTGAGATGAAAATGAATTATTATGCTTCATAAGTATAAAGATCAAAAGACCGCGAGACATCTCCTGGCGAAGTGTAACCTAAAAACACGTAGTGAAACAAAAATAAAGCATGTGCAGCTGACTATGTCATTTTATTGTAATGTAACAACATTGTAAAGTTATCTTTGGTATAGGTTTGATTTTTCTTACTATTGATAAATTTTGTTTAGTCAGCGGTAGTTGGTAATACTAAAGGCTCTGAAGGCCTATGGTGAGCTTTTATAGGCTAGCAAAGACAGAAAAGCCGTAGCCTTAGATATCAGTTAAGGATAAAGTAAAGTAAGCTAAACTAAGGCTAATGTAAGGTGAAACAAGCTGCACTAAGGCTAATGTACGGTATAGCCCAATTTTAGCCTAGCCTTACTAATGATAAGGCTGTAACTAAAGACAAACTTAGCAAAACAAAGGTATGAATAAAGTTACAGTATAATAAAATACGATTTAAAAACATACTGTAAGACCAAGTATATATATGAACTTACACTTAATCAAAAAAATTTAAAAAAAAAGCCACGATCAAACCAAAACAAAACTATTTAAATTTTGCATAAAAATGTCTACTACATACTCTACAACTACCTAAAACCACTTCTAACCACAATAACACCTAAAATCCAGCGTTAACAACGGAACCCATTCACGATTATAAATCGTTGTGTCAAAAGCATTGAAAACTTTTAAAAGTTGACGAACATAACTACCACCAATAACAGGATCCTTTAGTCAATAAATAACGTATCGATGTTGTTTACGGAACAGGATTACACCGAATAAAGGTTGCGCACAACACTCGACACGTTTGCTAATTTCGAGTCAAGCCTTTCTTTTTACAGGAAATTATTTTCACAAAAATCGGTGGTTTCTTCGTTTTTTTCACGTCAATGTGAAGAAGTCTTTGTGTATGCAAAAGTGAATTTGAATTCCAATTTATTGACAAGCTGCTTGCTACGTATTTTTTGGAATTTGACGTAATTTGGACAAAGAAATGGCTTTAAACATTAAAATTTGTTTTTTAACTTTACGTTTTTTAGCTAAAACATGTTAAATCGAACGTTGTTCCCTCCGAATCAACAACATAAAGAGTATGCTAACGCTAATGAATATGCAGAAGCTGTCAGAGATTGGTACAACAAAAGTTACGACTGGTTGAAGGCACAAAATGACTATTTCAGGCAGACCAATGGGATTGTTAACAATGTAAGTTTATTTATATATTTTGTTCGTTTTTAGAAACATTTATATAAGGATGAAAGGAGCGTTTAAACCATTGAAGAAGATTATCTTAAAGTTTCAGGTCAATCAGTTAAGGCAAAGACAAGTACCAGGACCTCAGATCGTGGTTAACAACGTTAATGTAATAAACAACATAAATATTCATCGACCTGTGGAAGAAAGCACGTATAATGAACGGTATTTGATTCCAGCATATTGGAGAAGGTTTACTGCTGAAGTTATCGATTTTGTGATGGTTTTGGTCTTCAAAGTTCTACTGATATACACCTTGATCAGGTTTGAAGTACTGTAAGGGATTTTTGATTTTTTTTGGAGCGAGATTTGATAATATGATTATTTAATGTTATGTTTAGAAAACTATTGTTAATATGAACATAATTTTTATAAAATTTCTTATTTTAGATCGCTAAACAAGCTCGAAATTCATATTCTTCGAATGCCTTCAACAGATGTCTCTACCTGGTTCGATTTTACTTCACCACGAATGAAGGAGGAACTGATTTCTAAAGCGATTTCTATTTTCATTGAGATCATGTTTTTAAATTTTGGATTTTTGATTTGTCCTCCTGGAACAACGCCTGGAAAGTTGATGTTGGATATAAAAGTGATTAGAGCTAGGAACATTCAAGGACTGACTGCTGATGAAGTTCAACTACAGAGATTTGTTTCAATTGGGTTGAAAAAGTAAGATTTATTGTTTTAAATTATGGTTTGAAGTTTAAGCTTATTAGGTATACTGTTTGCAAGGTATAAGAAGTAATTTTATGCCCCTTTTGGCTATTTTTACAAGCGAAAGACTAATATAATGATTTCAGAACGATCCTACGAACATGTCTGAAGTATATCGTCAACAGTGCCATGTTCCCCTTGGGTATCTTTGCCTACGCGTTTAGTTTCAATCGCGCCTTCTACGATCTTCAAGCTGAAACGATTGTCGTGTCACTAGAGCCAACACAAATCATGCAATAGTTCATATATGGGTATACCTTCACATATCATTATTTATATCAAAAGCCATGCTAAACAGCATGGTATATCAGAAAAAATGTAAACTAATATAAACTGTGATTTTTCGAGATTTTGGCATGATTTATGGGGTTCAAAAGTTTGTCTTAGGAGTAGATTTTTGTAGGTCAATTATTTCAGGCGGGGTAAATTTCTTAAAGGTGGTTTTTTGAAAATTCAAGAAAAGTTTTCAAAATCGGTGTTTAATAGTTTTAAAAATAATGCAGTGAGTTTAAGAAATTTTTATTGACTACTCAATTTGAATATTGTTCAAAATCTCGGACATAATGTCAAGTTTATGTCTGAAGAGTCGCTTTCGTTCAATTTTGCATTTTTTCAACGCAAGCGGCCATTTCGAACCCATTTTATTCAAATATTCATCAGAGGAGATCTTTTCCAGCTTTTCTAGATGCCTTTTTTTCTTCCATAGCTCCACGGATTTCTCACATTCCAGTTCGTTGAGTTTGTGAAGCCATAAAACCTTAAAATGACGAAAAAATTTAGTATATGACAAATCTAAAAAAACCATAGTTTTTAATCTGTATTTTACAAATATAAAGCTTGTTTTGAGGAACTTCCACCACTCTGTTCCTGAAAGGTCACACGGTCTTTCCCTCTTCAACTATTTTAGCCAAAAACGAACCGTGGTCCCGTGGCGTAATGGATAACGCGTCTGACTTCTAATCAGAAGATTGCGGGTTCGACCCCCGCCGGGACCTAGTGGTTTTTTGCACTTTTTTTCGTTAATTTTTAATATAAAACGAATGTTCAAACTCGTATAAATAATTTTACAATTAATTATAGCTTTAATTTGCATAAAGCGTTTTTTATTTTTATGAACTTGAAAGGAAAAAGAGCGAAAATTAACAAAAATAGCAAAAGTGAGTAAAACTTACAGTTTTTTCGATGGAACTCTGGTTGTCCGTCTTTAATTCGCTGTATTGTTTGTAAAACTGCTTTGAGTACAAAGGTTTTTTGACATTGGTGTCACAAATTATGTCATTGTACTTTCTTTTACGGTCAGAAGAAAAAATTATACGTTGAAATCTTGGTTTTCGTTTCTCTAGCGATGATTTGCAGGTGTTTTTGAAGTAAAAGTTCTGGAGAATACGGAGAGTTACCAGATCTGAAAAATTCGTCATTAAATGTTTTATTGAAACTTCAATTCTATTTTGCTTGAAGCCTTATTTTAGCCTAAAATCAGCTTTAGGCCAGACCATTTTCAGCCTTAGGCTAAGCCTTTAGCTCTACTTGTACCTACCGTATTTACTTGAGGCCATACCCTACTATATCCTATCTCACCGCAACTTTTCGTACTGACTAACATTGGTAACTTACTATCATGATTCCTGACCATGTTGTACATGAAAAATCTACCAGTACGAACATCTTCAGCTACTTTTTCAAAATTCACTTTCAGGTTGTCTAACACCTCTTGTAGTTCATCTACACGACATTTCATGTTATCTTTCAAACATCGGCTTATTTTAAAATGTTCTTCTGATATAGTCAGCTCATGAAGTTTGTCCTTGTTGTGCAAAACCTGCTTTATTATCTTATTCTCCATGGCCTTTACCTCATTTTCTCTTTCTGTATTCCTTTTTTTGTAACTTTTGTAGGTTTTTATTAGCTAAAATTACAAAGTTTAATGTTTTAGTACATAAGACAAAATTTAGAAGTAAAAATATTTTAAAATTTCAAAATTTTAAAAAACTGCACTGTGCAAAAACAACAAGACCGAGAACTTTTAAAAAATCCACAATTTTCAAAACTTACTTGATGATAAGACTGCCAATACAACTTCTCTTTCTTCTTCATGATACACAATTACTATTTAAATTAAAATTACAGTAGAATTATCTCAATACAGTATTTTACAATAGCTATATGCAATAGCAGTAATTATCTACTATAATATCTTAGTCCAATATCTTTAATTTCAAAGCAATGAAACGAAAAATTAAATATATAAAGCAAAGATTTTCTTTTTAGAGTCGTTTTCTTTATTTTGATGGTATTATGCGTTAACTTTGCGTTTTTTTTGTTTATTACAAAAAAGTCTGGCTTTTCGGCCGAAAAAATTGATTTTTTGCTTTTTTTCAAAACTTTAAACAAATTAAAAATATCAAATAGATTTTTTTATTTAGAATAAAATATTTTACAATTTTCAGCACCTTTCAACAACCAAAACGTATTTTACATCGAATTGCCTTCCTTTCGTATAAATTTTGACTTGCAGTTCTGAAGCAGCTCGCGTCCGTTATAACAACTGTAAATCATCTTGTAAAATCTTGTTTTGATGAATATTTACTCAACCCTTTGTAGAAATTGATAGTTTTCTTATTTTTAACGTAGTTTTTGTATAAAACTCTTAAATTTTATATTTAACTTAAACATTTTGTCGATATTATCTATGTTGATCAACTTTTTGTTAACATTATTAACTTTTTATATTCTTTTATGTCTTTATTACATATTTTCAGATCCAAATACGCAAGATGGTATTCGATGCGGACTTGTATCTGTTCAAGAAGTCTCACCAGGTCAGTATTATTGCGCAAACGGTTAATATCCACAATGGGGTAATTTTGTTATTTGCATTTTTTGCTTTTAGGTATGACTTGTGCTTAACAAAGAAGATGAATATAAAAATTAGTTTTGAAAAATGGAATAGAAAGTGTAGATTCTGATAATAGAATGGGTTTTTTTTAGTTTGGGCAAGCTTTTGTTTGAAAATTTGAATGTTTATATTATACTTGACGTATAGAAGGAAACATAGCATAGTTTTTGAGAATTGGTAGAGAAGAGGTTAAATTGAATATTGATAGCTGGAGAAGAGTATTTTCTAATTGATCAAAATAACATTTGGTTTGCGTATTTGGTTTTTGTGAAAAAATTGTTCTTTTTATATTATCCATGACAGTCAGGGAAAATGCTTACATAAAGTGGTAATTCAGGCAACAAAAATTAAAATGGGTACTATTAGGAGAGTCGCGCACAATATGGAATTAAGAAAAATGATTTTATAATAAGTTAAGTTTGAACTAAAACTTCAATATTATTCATGTCGTTTTAGGACCAGGAGCCGATAAAAGTGGATGAATCTACTGGAGAAACCCCGTCTTTTGCCGTATCTGATGTATCAAGTTCGGCGGTTTTAGAGAGCTCGAGCTCTGAAGAAACATCGAGTTCGGAGACATCACTGGTATCTGAAGAATCGGAAAGAAGCCAAGAATCAACCGGCTCCACACAGTCAGATTATTCAATTTTGTCGACAGAAAGTTTGGATTCTGCTGAAACCGAGACTTCAGAAACTTCAGCCGAGCCGTCTGAATCATTAGAAAGTGAAACTTCAGAAACTTCGCAGTCTTCTGAATCTTCATCGACTTCTGAGTCCACAGAAACTGAACCTTCTGAAACTGCTGTACCAGAGCCAGTGAGGTTTTTGTGTGAATCTTTAGGTATTTCTGACAGTGATGAGTCTAATTTACTTGAAGAATCTTCGCTTTTTTCAAGTAAGTGTTTTTTGATGGGTAACATAATGTTTTTGGCTTTAACTTGGTTTTTTTGGTCTTATCTACTGAAAATTGTGCTTTTTAGATAAAAAAAGTTTTACCAACATATTTACTACAAACTTATCTAACTTTTGTTTCAGAATCAAATTCGTTCGATACCTGCTCAGAAGAAGATGACCCGTTTCGAGGATTGGGCGAGTTGAACATGAATCCAACTGATGCTGATCTAGGAGATGATTTCAACAACTTGTCAGTGTCTACTGCTGCGTCAATTTCTTTGCTGGATTATGAAGCGGATCAAATTTCGGAAGATTTTGAAGAAGTCGATGTTAAGGACGTTACACAATAACTCGAAACTTAACTTTTACCCAAACTAACACGTTTATAATATTGGAACCGAATTTTATAACTTGTGATGTAGAAATAATGTCATTTTTATACAAAATTATTTTTTTTGAAATGAATCTCGCAAGAATTTATACTGCCTTGGTGGTAATTGATCTCATGTATAATATAAATAAATTTTTTAATGCGAAGTTTTTCGTATTTTGGTCTGAAAGAGCTTTTATAAGTTATAACTATGTTATATCTTAATATTTTGCTATTAATTGCGAGTAATGTTTGTGCAAAAAGTTATGGCATCTTTTGCACGGTGCACCCCAAATCCCTCATTTCGGACGCACCGTGCAAATAGTGCCATAACTTTTCAAACCTTTGTCGAAATTTTTTGAAAATCGTATGTTTGGACCTTCATACTATAGTGTATCTGTTGTTTTCAAAATTTTTAAATTCCTTTTTTTATTTTGAGAAAAATCCAAAAAAACCTTTATCTCAATGTTTATTAATCGTCTTTTGAAAAGTGAAATAATTAAAATTCGTGAGCATAAAAATATATGTTGTAAATGAGGAAACACTTATTATTATTTATGACAAAATCCATCCGCTTCGAGTATTATAACGAGAAAACAACCAGTATTTTATGACGAAATAGTGTAGCGAGAGATGAGAGAGTGGCAGAAAAACAAAAGAGGATAAAAGCGATGTTCATTTCGGATATTCAACAAGGTGATGATGAAAAAACAAAATTGACACAATATAAAGTTTGTTGGGCATGATTAGGTACGGTGGCGGTGTTCGATTAGGATATAAAGGCTGAAGGGGGTGGGGTTGGGTAGGGTAATATAAGTTTTTTGGTGAGGGGGAGTAAAAAATTAATTTTGTTCATAAAATTTTGAAAAATAAAAAAAAAATCTTAAAAATAATCATAAAAACTAATTTTTGTTGAAAAATGTAAAATACGTCCTGTTCCTCTTTTTTGTGATAAAAATTTTATATTACCCTACCCAAAAGTTGGCCAAAATTAGAAACGCAGTGTTGTTGAGGGTGTGTGAGGTACCCGTAACACAAAAGTAATAAAATTAGAAAAATTTAGCAATGGTTGATAAAAGATACAGCAAAAAGGATATAAAATTCACAGTTTTGTTACTATTGCTGATATTATACTAGAGAAATCTTCAAAAATTTCAATTTTTTTCGATTATTTTCGAGAATTTGTCTAGTATAACATATCAGAATTGAGTAACAAAAAAAGTTAAGTATAAAAAATAGTAATATGTACAAAAAGCAAGATTATTGGATAATCTACCAGTCGATAAGGTTCGTTGATTAGACCAGTCGATAAAAATCGTTTTTGGAACAAAACCTGGTCTTTTAAGCAGTTTTGAGTAAAATATGGTACAAGGAGCAGACCAAAACTAATATGGTACTAATAAGTGTCGTGTCCCAATATTTTAGGCCCTTTTTTGACTTTGGTACCAATTTGGGAAAAAATATTGTACCAGAATTGGTACCATTTTTGGTTTAAGTATTGTACCACAAATTGTACCATTTTTCGAAAAATAATATTGAACCAGCTTGGTACCACTTTTGAAGCATATATGGTACCAGTACTACAAAGCCCGCTCTTCTACCAATTCGAAAGGCCGGGCTTGTTCAATGTCATAAAGTAGATTTGGGAGGCTCCGCCGCCCTTCGCCGACGAAAAGAAGACTTTGTCGTTTCGTTCGCACAAAAACTTGAGTTTTTGGGCCTTTTTGTGCATGAAAACCCCGTCCAAGTGGCCGGTGTCGACGTTGCGGATCTCGATGGCTTTGTTGCCCCAGCCCATGATTTGGTTCGTGGAGATGTAGGCTAAAATACGGATGTTAATTTTTGAGTTTTATTGGGCTGTTTAGATAATTCTGTGCCCCTAACTACCAAAATTTTTTTGAAGGGAGCACGGAATTATTTGAACAACGTAATATTAAAAATGGCAAAAAATAATTTTTTGGGCAAAAATATAGTTTTAGTCTCGGAAAGGAAGTCTTTTTTTTAAATCAAAGGGTACCAAACGTAGTAATATTACTGCAAAAAAATACGATTTCCATTCCATCAAAATGTTTTTTTTTGATAAAAACAAATTTTAGATTCCAAAAATCATTGAAAATCCACTTACCGACCGACGATGGGGGTTCTCCCCATTGAAGTTGGACGTTCTTCGTCACTTTACCATAAGTATTCACGTAGACACCTTCGTCTGAAATACGAAAAGCATTAGTAGGAATATTGAAAAGACAATCTATGCTTAAAAAGATTAAAAAAGACCATAAATTCTTAAAAAATCAAGCTTAAAACAAGCCAAAACATCACAAAAAAAATGGAATTGCCAATTCTCAAAAAGCTGAATTTTCTTCAATTTCTACATACTATAATATACCCACTTTTATTGAGAAATGAATCACAAGATCTGTCATACAACTTATTACCCAAAAACATCTTTTTGAAAACGCTCAAAAACCCCATCCTAACCCTAAAACAACAAAAAACCTAAAAGAAAATGAAAAAAGAATCTCAAAACCCTTACTATCATAGCACAAAAGCAGTTGCATTCCGGAAGTGTTGGGCAATATGACAATACAATGTGGTGTGATTTGAGGATTGTTCATTGATGGAGCATAAATGTCATAGATCGAAGCTGAATCCAAATCGATGGCGTGAAAACCTTCGTGAGATCCGTACAAAACCTTGAGACGAGCACTTTCCTCCACCGTGAGGTCAACAATTAATGGCATATGGCTGAGTTGGCCAAATGATTTGAATGCCATAAACTTGTGGTAGGGTTTTGGAGCCCAGGCATAGATGGAGACCGAGTTCTCCAGGCCTACCACTAGGAATTTGATTCGATCGTAGCGGACGATTTTGAAGTGGATGGCACCTTGAAGGTCTCCGACGTTTACCCAGCCATTCCGTTTCTCTTGTTGTTGGACCTGGAAAGGGGTTAGGGTTAGTGTATCGAGGAGAATATAGCTAACAAAATTTTTTATGAAAAATGTCATAAAATAATCATTTCTGGTGAAAAATCACATAAAATCCTTATTTCTAATGAAAAATGGCATAAAATCTACGCCAAAATTCATAAATCAATCCCCAACCTACCCCCTCTGTCCTCAGGATCTTCTGTTTCAACCAGCTCAAGTAGTAGACTCGTATCCTTCTCTTTCTTCCAGAAATGGTCACCAATATATTCTGTCCTTCCAACACAGTCATCTGATCGAATCGTCTTCTCGTGATCAACTGGTACACTTTGCCTTGGCCGGACCTGTCGAGAAGCATTAGGCCCGAGTCCGTGCCTATCAACAAGTTCACTCCCCATAAGGCGGCACACAGAATCTCGCCACTAAACTTCTTTTTGTATTTTCGAATCTCGGGCGCGTCATTATCCATGCTGGCTCCGGCCGCCGGATTTGGGTTGACATTGACCTGGACTTGGTTTAGGTCTTGATTCACGCGGCCTGGTCGATTAATGGTACCGGTCGAGCCGAGACCGTTGGAGAGACGAGCTCCTGGCTTTCCAAAGTAAGCGACGAATGACTTTTCGCGATCACGTTGCGACAATGGAGTTTGGGGCTTTGGTTGAAGGCTTTGGCCGTTACCGTTGGAGCCAATTGGGAACTGAAAATGAGGGGGATTAAAAAATTAGGTATGATTTTATGTTTCAATACCAACGAGTGACAAAACAATATTAAAAATGAACAATTTACAACACTTTTTCGACTAGGCAGAGCTTTTTACGTTACTACACCAAAACTCACGTAGAAGCTGCCAAACAGCGAAGCGATCTGCAGAGATTACAAGATATTAACTTTAAACTATTTTCTTTCAAATCTATAAATTTTAAACTTTTTTAAACTTTACTTCAGGCGAAAAATTTCAAAAAAAAATTCACAATTTCAGCAATATTAGGCCCAAAAGATTGTTATATAAAAGCTTATACTAGCCATATACCATTCATTTTTAATAATATATTTAGCTAATTACTATATAAAGCAAAGTGCTATCATATCATGCCCAAAACAACATGATAAACGTTGCCAAACCCCTTATCTTCCACTAAAGCAACATGTGCAGCATCATTTCCAAACCTTTAAAAGCCTGATACAACCTACCTCCTCGACCGACTGTGAATCCACACTTCTCTGCTGAATGATTCTTCGTTGCGGAATCGGGGATTCATCGTCATCGTCGTCATCATCTCCATCGTCATGCTCGGTATCTTCTTCTTGTGCCAACATGCGTTGAGCTGCACGATTGTTCACAATGTCGTTGGGGTTGACGCCTAGGCTGGACTGGGATCGGTTCGTGGCGGGACTGCCTTGATTCGCCTTGGTTGAGAGAATTCCTGAGCCGTAGTGGCGTCTGGTGTCGTTGCGAGGGGATTCTGAAGGCGATGGGCCTTCACGGCTGCTTGGTGAGGAAGGAGACGAGGATTCTGGGTCGCCGGCTGTTAGGATGTTGTAGTGCTCGGCCTGAAAATTAAAACTTTGTAAAACATATTGTTTTTGATACCTAATTTTAAAAAAATCAAATTTTTGTGAAATAATTTGCTCAAAACAAATTTTTTTTACCTAAAGCTTTGAAAAATGCTAATTTTATTACCTAAAATAATTTTAAAAATCTATCTTCTGATGTCTGAACATTAAAAAGCGTCATTTTCTTGCCTGAAACGGTCAAAAACTCACATCCGGAACACTAGCCGCCTTCCCGACGATACTCAATCTGTGTCTCGAGCCAATCGAAGCCGGTGAATCCGCCCTTCCACTGCTATTATGCCTCTTCACACTTGTTGAACTGCCATTTCTTCTTCGATGCACCATCAACGTACCATCTTGATCATGGTCTGAGTCGAGACCATTATCTGGAGTTGGAGGTAATGGCTTGTTCGGTCCTCTGAGAGTGTTTTCGGCCGGTTCTGAAGCCAGTACGGTGTCTTCTGGGCTGGTGCCGTTGTTTGGGCCATTGTGGTTGGCTATGGAGGTGTCACGTGGTGGTGGGGCGGGTGGTGGAGGGCTGGTGGAACCGTTGGCTTGGTTTGAAGATGAGGTGGGGATTCGGCCGCCCATGCGGTTTAGTTCGCTGGCTAGCACGTCCAAGTCCTAGAATTTAAAAAAGTCATTTGCAATGTAACAAATGTTGATTTTTTGTCATATTTAGAAGAAAATTAAATATCCACTCCCGAAAAACAAAACAAAGATTTTCGCCCTCCCCTTTTTTCAAAAAGTAACTTTAAATTTTAAAAATCAAAAAAAAAATTCATAATGACATCCTCCCCTCCCCCCAAAAAAACAATTTTCAACTTTTTACCCCTCCCAAATAAAAAAAACTTTCATCCTTCCCCTAAATTTCCAAAAATCAGTCGTACCTTTGCGCTCCTTACCTCCGGTCTTCCATTAAGCAAAGGTTCGCTCAGTTTCCTCAGCGGTGACACACTCGATGGTATGTTGGCACTGACTCTGGCCATATGAGGTGGTTGGATACCATTCGAGTGTCGGCTGGATTGTCGTTCCCGTTCCGAGGCTCTATGTTGTCGATTCTGACGACTCTTCTCGAGCTCGGTGAGCTGAGGAGCAGCCGGGTGAACTAGGGCACCACCTTGATGATGAGGAGAGATGTGGCGTTGCGGCTGGAAAAAATAAAGTTTTGAAAAAAGTTGAAGTTATAATAAAAAAAAGCTGGATTTTTAATCTTACCCCATACTGCGAATGCGGTCTGGACTGTCTCCTATAATCAGCGGCCGGTTGTCCAGCCACTCCAATTCTTTGTGGTGGGCCCAGCCTAGCATCGTGATTCCTCATTCGAATCTCTCGTTCCCGCGGACTCTGACTTCCGATTGGTTGTGGATGCCGGAAGTGGGGTTGGGGTTGCTGTTGTTGGCGATATTGGCGTTGCTGCGGTTGTTGTTGGGCTTGACCGTTCGGGCGAACACGGTTTAATTGTTGAGGACCAGCGTGCTCGAAGGCGTTTAGGTTGGATTCTTGAATACGTTGGAAGCCTCGACGTAACGTGTCTCCGTATGCGCTTTGGGACATGTTGGCTAAAAATGTGATGGTTTAGGTAATAAAAACTATTCTGAGGGTGTTTTTGGAGATTGTTTCAAATTTTAGGTAACAAAAATGAATGTTTTTGGTTCGAAACAGTAAATCAAACCTCAAAAAACCTTCTCCCTTACCCAAATCCCTATGCCTGTTCTGCCCATTAGGCACGGCATTCTCTTCATCTTCACTTCCAGAATACTCATACTCAGCCTCGTCCTTCTTGTTCATCCTTCTGAATCGGTCGATGTGATCTTTGATCGAGTTTCGAACCTGATTCACTGGTGGGCCGTCGCGCAGGAACAAATGCCTCAACAAATCATTGGTTTGGGGCCGTTGAGTGTAGTCTTTGACAAGGACGGCTTCGATGAAGGACTCAAATTTCTTGGTCCACTTCTTTTTGTTCGACAGCCTCGGGGGTTTGTTTCGAGGGATCAGGAAGAGGGCTCGCATTGGGTGCATTTCACACAACGGTGGATGTCCTTCGGCCATTTCCAGCGCTGTGATACCCAAAGACCACAAGTCTGATCTGGCATCGTACGTGGCGTTGGGGTTCTCTTCACAGGCTATTACTTCTGGAGCCATCCTGAATGCATAGGAATTTAAAATTTTAATTTTTGTAACATCTTCACATATTCATACTGGCATATAAAACTTTTCACGATGACATTTTTTATACGGTCGTCATGACATGTGAAAACAGTCAGATGGTATAACAATTCCTAAACTCAAAATGAAAAAATAAAAGAACATACCAGTAAGGTGTACCAATAAAAGTGTTCCTCCTGCCCACAGTACGATCCAGCTGTGCGCTCACACCAAAATCGACCAATTTCACCTCACAGTTGTCGGTCAATAACACATTTTGTCCTTTAATATCTCTGTGGATGACTTTGTGCTTATGCAAGTGGTTTAAGCCCTGTAATAATATTAGTTATACTACAATAAATATTGAAAAATATAGTCTCCTGAATCAAAAATTAATTTTTTTTAGATTTTAGGTGACAAAATTGCATTTTTAAAACTTTTAGGTAACAAAACCGCATTTTTTCAAACTCTAATATCTTAAAACTTACAGCACAAATCTCCCGACAGATGTAAGCAATCCATTCCTCCTTCAAATAGTTTCCTTTGGTCGATTTCACCAGGTCTGTGATAGATCCACTACCACAAAACTCCATCACCAACCAGAGTTGGTCGTGTTTACCGGTGGACGAAGGCAGTTTCTTGATGAATGAGCCATAGTACGTTGCTATGTTTGGACTGTGCGAATACTAAAATCATTTTTTATATTAATAAGAACTTATAACATTTAAAAACACATTTAAAATGGCAGAAATGCATCAGAAACTTGTGTTTTCAGGCTGAAACTAAGATTTTTAGATCAATGTCAGAAGAAAATCAAAGCTTTTGATAAAAATAAAAAGCAGATAGCCAACTTTTGATGTTCTAAAACTTGAACTTCTTGTGCAGCTTTCAAATCCAAAAACAATCAACTATCTATCCATTTCTCTACCTCAACACAAATTTTCTTCATAGATAATATCCAAACTCTAACCTAAACTTCAAACACACCAAAACCATTAAAAACATACCACCATGAGCATTCGTATTTCCATTTTAATTTCTTCCTCCTCCTCTTCATTTATGTTCATGATCTTAATCGCGGCCAGTTGATTCGTGTTGACATGTCGACCTTTGTATACTTGGCCGTACGTGCCATTACCCACAACCTCGATAAGCTCAAAAATCCCTGAGGGATCTTTCAGGCTTGAAAGATCAATATCGTCAAGATCTCTTGACATTTTCGATTAGAGTCACGTTATGTTGACATTGGACAAACTTTGGTTGAGTGAGAGACGAGGGTTTTAGCTGGGTTTTTGGAGAGAGAAGATAGAATGGCTGGGTATCCTGAAAGAGATGGGTGAATCATTAGGTTATTAGGTATTAATTTGTATTATTAATCATTAGAAACGCAATAAAAAGATAACTTTCTCCAACATTCCATCAAAACACAAAAAATATGCCTACGATAAAAGTACTGTAACTTCAAAAAGCAAGCCATTTTCAAAACAAGGCATATTGTTTTAGTTAGCCCAGTTAAAAGTGTAAGACTCCACAAACTCCCAAAGTTTTACTTATTCATTAAAAAAGTTATGACCAAAAAATCAAAGAGTTCACTAACTTCCCCAACCCAAAAATAAAAAACTGATATTTAAGGTAATATAACGAACATGCGGGCAATTAAAAATATCTCCAAATGTGTTCATTAGATAAAATAAACCTATAAAAAGCATTTTCGAATCGTTCCCAACATCTTTAACATCAAAAACATAACGAATTCCTTTCATTTCCATCTGTTTTCCCTCGTTTTTTGAGAAAAAAGTTGAAAAGTATAATCTTCACACAATATAAAAAGCCTTTTACTTTCTGTTGTGCTTTCGATTCGGTCTAAAAGTGCGTGGTCTTTATTCTATTATGATTTTAGTTTGCTATTATGTCACAAATAAGTTCAGCTGGCAGAAAAATGAGGTCGAATGTGTGAAAATTGGCGCGAAGTTGAATAATGTAGGTTTAAAAGTGCATTTTAGAAGTTGTGAAGCTAAATTAAAGTCTGAATTTTTACACAGTTGTTAAATATAGTATTCGCTAGCTTTATGCAAAATTTCAGCCAAATATGTGCGTTATCAAAATTTTTATTGCCTACGCAAGTACCACAGCCCAAAAATATTATAATGAAACTTGATCTTTTGTGTCTTTTTCCAAAAACTTTCTTTCAATTCCACAAATTTTGATTTTAAAAGTACAACTGGACTCTGTGGAACATTGTTCCAACTTTCTTAACTCTCTTCATCCACTTCCCTTCTCAAACCATCTAAAATTCAACGAAAATCGGGGGAAAGAATTTGATGTTACCTTTGTCAAAAATGGATGCGGAAGCCAATATTTGATGTGAAGCCGAAAGTCGACGGGTTGAAACGCAGCGAACACACCAACGTAACCACTGTGTGAATTATCGGGGCGTATTACGACAGGAAAAGATTTGTTTGACCGCTTCTTGTCCTCCTTCTTCTTCTTCTTCCAACCCCGCGCTTTTCTTCTCGGTCGGAGAACACTAAAACATACGAAAATCAATTTTTATTCGATTTTAACATGACACGACATTTTGCTACACGTTGGGAAGGGAATCGGGCTGCTGTAGGCGGTTTTACAGATTTTAGATAACAGTTTGGGCTTTGTGATCGAATTTATATTATCATAGAGGTTGAAATTGATTTTTTAGGAAAATCGAAGAAAAATGCCATTATTTAATAAAAGGTAAATGTAAAAAGGAAAAAAAGGCTTTAAAATAGTTTAAAAAGATTGAGATAAATCAGTAAAAACAAAATTCTGTTTTATTTTTTTATTTTTATCAAAAATTCAGAAAATCAATAATCGACGAAGTGTCACAAGGCAATAACTTGATAAATCAGCGTAAAATGAATACCTTATATAAAAAAAATGTAAAAATATATAAAGTATAGTTTAAATTCATTTTTGCAGAAATGTTTCAAAAATTTCAATCTACTTACAATTAAACTACTGCAATATAGACGAAATGCCACAAAACACAATAAATAACCCCGCAACCAACCAAACCACTATAGCAAAAACTGTGAAAAAGTAAGAAAGTTTAAGTAATTCAATCACTTTTTCGATAACAGCCGTATCGTATTTTGAGTGAGTCATAGCGAAAAAAAGTTCGCAAAAGCGAGAAATTGGCTGTTATCAGGCGGACTGACCCAACGTTCCGAAACACTCGTAAATCACGGTGATCCGTTGGGTATAATTGTTTTTTAGGCAATTATTTTTGACGAAAAATATATTAGGGGTATTTTTGTTTAAAAAAAGAATGTCCATTTTGGTGGGGGAATGGGTGATTTGATAGAGTTTGAGGTAGGGGTTAGCGGTTACTTGGGAGAAAATGAGGTATATTGAAGTGATTAATTATAAAATAGAAAAATAATAGTTGTAATATATGTTAAGCAGTCTCTGAGGAGTATTTTAGTAAAGATTTGGAATATTTCAAATATTGGTCGAAAAGTTATGACATTTTGAAAACGACAGTGCAATAAACATGAAGGTCCATGCACTGTGGTTTTATTGGAGTATATAATCATAATAAGATAAAAAACATAATATTCAATACACAAAAAACTAAAAAGAGTAAAAGGTTTGGTTAGAAACGAATGAAAACCCAATATTAACCTCGGTTGGCCAGCTGCCAATTATAAAAAAGTTAAAAAAAGTGTTTGAAAAACAACATCAAAGCTTGCCTTTCCAAGTTTAGTTTTTAACCTTTCAAAAGCTTCATCAATAACAGGATTAACGTTATTTTTACTTTTTTTAAAGATATTTACATTACAAATACCATATGGTTTTAGCTTTACTCTAGCCTCAACCTGGTCTTACCCTAGCCTTACTCAAATCATACCCCATCTTTAAACTATACTTGCTTTAGTCTTACTTTCGTCTTATTCTAGCTCTACTCTAGCCTTCCTTTTGCCCTACACCAGCTTTCTCTAGACCTACCATAGTCCTACTCTAGTCCTACTCAAACTTTACCCGAGCCTCAACATAGACTTGTCCTGGCACTTCAACCGTAGCCTTGCTCAACCCCTGCTCTACCCCAACCCAAAAATTAACCAGCCAAGCTAAAATCTACCAGTCAATTAAAAAAAAAAACTCCGTGAACAATAAGGTATAACCCTGCAGGTATAATATGGTTTTTTGTGTAATACGGCTGGCTTTTACAACGGAAACGAGAGCGGGGTTCAATGACCGAAACAAATCGCCGGCAAAAAATAACCAGATGAACAGACCAGATAAAGGTACACTCTCATTTGCATACCAACGCCAATTTGTTTATGGAAACAAAAAGTTTTAAATTGTGATTGGGCACAACGCGGCAAGAATTTAGTGAGAATAGGGTAAGGTTAGGATAGGGCTGGGATTGGCTTAAAATATGATATAAGAGGTATAATTCTTGTATAGGGCAAGGTAGAGTAAGATAGAGCTGTGGTAAGAATAGGGTAGGACAAGGATAGAGCTAGAGTGGAGCCAGGGTAAGGTACAGTAAGGAAGATCAATGGTAGGGCTAGTGTATGGCTAGTGAAGAGCTAGGGTACGCTAAGGTAAAGATAGAATTATGTTAGAGTAGGGTGGATTATTTTTGGGTAGTGTAGGGGTAGGCCAAACACAAATTTTAAAATAAGAAAAAACTAAAAAAACCCCCCCCCTACAAAAAAATCAAGTAAAACTTAAAAATAGTCCCCTGAAATAAAAAAAATTAAAAAAATCTCCCCCATTCCCTTCAGACTCAAATTGCTAGCCCGGCATTACATTTAAAAAAAATGAAAAATTTTAAGCCATAAAACCCCATTTTTGAATTGAAAAACCTTTTTCACGCTTAAATACTTTATTTTTTAACAAATCAAAAATTTTTTTTAAACCTGAAAATCCTAATTTTTAATTTCCTTAAAAAACGAGCCTTAAACCTTCTATTCAAATTTTAAATCTCCAAAGAATCCGCTCAAAAATGGAGGTTTTTGAGGACGCAAAACCCAGAAATTAGTGGAAAAAGGACGGAAAAGCGAATGGCCGAGACATTCTTCGGTCCCAAGAATTTTGACGCGATCCAGGGGGGGGAGGGGGGGGCGAGAGCGGGAGAAGGCTGAAAGGAGGGGGGAGAAAACCCCCCACCCCATAAAGTGCGCATCGCCTTTTTTGCCATAGCGGCGAATTTCTTGGACACAGCGAAAGTTTTTTTATGGACATTGAATAGAGTGCATTAATAACATAAATCTTTATTTTGTTACGAGCGGATGAGAAAGCGAGTGAGGGTGGTAAAAAATGAAAAAAAAAGTGGGGATGATGGAGAGGTGAAAGAAAAAGACTTTTTTTAAATTTTAAAACAAAAATAGAAATTTTAAAATTCAACTCATTAAGAATGAGCACGACAAAAAAGTTCAAATTGAGTACAAAGTTTTATAAAAAGAATGAAACGACTATTTTTGGAGAATACGTATTTTACTTCATAAAGTATATTTTACTTTATTTAATTTTAGTATTAAAAAAATATTTTTAAAAAAATATACTTCTTCTCCCATTCCTCTCTTTTTTTAGTTGTCTACCCCTACCCCGTCCTTTTCCACCTCATTCCCCTTGTTTTTTTAACCATTTTTGCTTTTCTCCCACTCTCCCCCTATTACTTTTTTTACCCCTTTATACTCCTTCCACCCATCTTTTTGTATTTTTTTACCCCGCTCTTTCCCTCTCACCCCCCTCCCATATTTTTTTTACTTGTTCCCTCCCCCCTCCGCTCTCCCATGCCTCTTGCTAACTTTTTTCTAATTTTTTATCCCACCGCCCTCCGAATTCAAAACTTTTTTTGTCCATGATGGCCATGAACTTTTAACTCGATTTGACTTTCCTTTCGGGACAACGCCCTCGGGGCGTCATTTCATGGACCGCCGGAATAATTGTGGTCCTGTTGGGATTTGCCCAACTCTCAAGAATAATTAAAGCCCCCAAAAACGGGAAATATTTGTTTCGTCGAGTTGCAAACGCACAAAAACCAAGGATTCACCGTGGTATGTAACGAGACCGTGGGGAATCGGAGGGGTGTAATTGAACAGTGCGTAAAAAATGTTTTTGGAATGGAATATCGTGAAAAATGGGCATGTTGTTGTTGGGTGGTGAACTTGAAGTTGGGATGAAGCGAGGCTGGGATATTGTCAAAAAATTAGAGGCTTGGATTGACCTT